CGATGTCGCTGAGCTCAGATGGATGGAGCACCCCGGCCAGGGCAACTTCAACCTCGAGCGTGAATACACCTTGAACGAAAAGCACAAGAAGAAGGAGCACCACATGTACTCTAATCTTAACATTCTCTGCTTCCTGCGTACCTTTGAGATCCTCTATTCGCGTCTTCAGCGCATCAAGCAGCAGGAGGGCGAGGCTCGCGAGCAAGTCCGACGTGGTCTTGTGCCTAAGCCTGCCCACGATCTGTGCCTCATGGATCGATTCCCAAGCGATTTCTTCTATGATGTCGATCCCAAGGCCAACCTTTACAAGCAAATCGTGCGTATGTGCGAGGAGGTCATAAAGGGTGACATTGACCAGATTCACCTGGAGGAGACTCTTCGTCGCTTCTACATGCAGAGCGGATTCCTGCTCTACAACCTGGAGCGCATCTTCTCTTCCATTGCCAAGTTCGTGGCGTCCATCTTCACCGGCGATTCTCGGGACCGCAGCTCAGACATTGCCAACCTGTTCTTCAAGGAACGCGAGAAGGAAGAGACAACCCACCACCAAGAAATCCAGTACCGCAAGCAAGTTGAGCGCCTGGTCAAGGATGGCGATATCTACCGCATTACCTTCGTAAGTCCACCCACCCATACGGCAAAACCAACTACTAACAACATCTAGCACCCGACCGACCGCCGCGTGACAATCCAAGTAATGACCAGCGAAGAAGCAACCCTGGACAACGAAGACCTCACCGCCGAAGAACGCTGGTCCTACTACGTAACCGCCTACTCAATGCGTGACCCAACAGAAGGCGTCCAATTCTCCAAAATGCGCATGCCCTTCATGAAGCGCAACCTCCCCGCAAAACTGGAAGAAGACGAAGAGTACGACCGCTACTACCGCAACCTCCAGCACCACGACGGCCTAATCATCCGTATCTGCGCAAACAACTACACAATGCTGTACCAGCCCCCAAGCTACGACTGGTTCTGGCGCTCCAACGCCCCCATCCCAGACAAGGATGCCGACGCCGACGCCATCAAAACCCAGCTGGACGATGCCGCAAAGGAGAAATCGGCTATCCGCGAGAAACGCCATGATCGCTTCGTCGAGAAATTCATTAATAACCCCTCTTGGGCTCGCGGTCTCAGCAAGGATAATGTCGATCAATCCAATCAGCGCTTCCGTTCTTGGATCAATGGGACTCTTTCTGATAGTCCCGGTCCTTCTGGCCCTGAGGTCCCCGCCGATGTCCCTCAGAAGGAGAAGGCTGATGGTAATGGTGATGCTGTTGATGCCACTGCCAAAGCCAACGCCAGTGCCAACACCAACGGCATCGCCGATGCTGCCTCTGGTGCTGGTACTGGTTCCGCCGAAGTCGACGCCGCTGCTGCTCCTACTTCTACCTCTGATGGCCCCCAGATCCAGAACCAAGCAGAAGGCGACACGGAAATGACAGAGGCCGAGCCCGCCGAACCCTCAGCCGAAACCGAGGCGTAAATTGTGTAACATAATGATGGGGTTTAGTTCCAGTTTTTTTTGTAGTTTTTAGTGTCAGTTTTCCACGTTTCCTGCGTTCGTCTTCCTCGTGCCTTTTGTCTACGCCTTGCGAGGCTTGATGTGCATTTTATTTATTTTTTTGCTGTGTGGGTGGCGTCTACTATGAGGAAATTGCGAGATGATGTTACTACGGTTTGCTTTTTTCTTCATGTTGTATTTGTATCTTTCTTTCTTGTGTTTTTTTCCCTTTTTAGTTGATTTTTTATCTCTCCTTATTCAATGGAATGGAATAGCTTGGATGGCTGGGCTGTTTTAATTTTCTTTTCAGTTTTGCTTTATTTATTGTCTTTGTAGACTTGTGATTAAACTTGTAAGTTAGTGTGTTGTTCTGAAGGCTGACCTTCACCAGGCCTGTATCGAGAATTTAGCAAGGTGATAGTAATATGAATAGTTGCAACAGTATTCGTTGTAAACAAAGCTTGCTTATCCTCTGACTACCGTAAGTTTGGGCACAAACAAGGTCAAAGACATGGGTATTGCATACAGGACACTATCGATATGACGATCATCTTACTCAATAAGTGCAGTGCATGTTGACGAAATCGTGTGCTTAGCTGGCAATAACAGTCAATTTGACCCTAAATTATTTCAAGATAACCATCGTGTCTAATGTACATACATAACCAGGTAAATAGCGATAGCTCACCACATAATGAAGAATCTTCCCAGCAACAGGTGTTGGGTTAACACCCCACAATTAAAGTCGATCAGGAGATCAAAGATCGACCCAGTAACTTTCGCCTAATTTGAGTCCATCCCCCTTGGCAGGGTTAATGTCGGTTATCAAAACCAAAGCTCCGTGTGGCCGAACAGCTAACCGAAACAGTCCCGAGACGTAGAGTCGGGCGAAACTCGGGACGGGGTTATGCATATTGTCTCCTTCCCCTCAATTCGGGCTTATTCTTGTAGTTTTTGGATGCATGGGATATAAATAATTGCCTTGTTATTACCAGAATCGCCTTTATTATCACATTTTATGTTGGCGTGAGGCGCTGTCTGGGTTGCGGAGCTGAAATCCGAAACCGACCGAGGGAAATCCGACCACCGAAGAAATGCCGTAGTTGACGTCAGCATGAATCGGGGGCGACGGTTTTGGGAAGTTGGCATCATAGAGGAAAGGGGAAATGGGAAGGGAGGGAGGTAATCCATATAATTGCAATGTAGATACTATTGAGCGGAAAGATATAGTTCGTGGCTTCCCCGTGAAGTATATACACATCCCGTGGGAACTGGACCTAGAATTAGAATATAATACAAACAACTCATGGAAATCAGTCCCTCTTCCATTCTCCCGGTTCTCCGTACTTGTGGGGATTGCCAGGGTTAAACATATATTTATCCTTTTCCTCCTCTCTTTCCTTTTCAACTTCTAGACCACTCTCCACTCCCCATTCCCCATACTCCCCATACTCACCATGGCTGCTTCTGCACTCCTGAAGAGTCGTGTGCGTCGGCCTTCGTATCTGAAGAAGCTCTGTAAACCAGAGGACCTCATTGACCTCTTCCCCCATGGCTCCTACATTGGCTGGTCCGGATTCACCGGCGTTGGATACCCCAAGTACGTTACACAACTCGGATCCAATTTACTCAATTCTAACAATTGCACAGGATGGTTCCAACTGCTCTAGCAGACCACGTCGAAAAGAACAAATTGGAAGGACAGCTGAAGTATAACCTCTTCGTGGGAGCTTCCTCCGGCGCGGAGACGGAAAACCGCTGGGCGCGCCTGAACATGATTGAACGGCGGAGTCCGCACCAAGTCGGAAAAGAAATTGCCAAGGGAATCAACAATGGGCAGATTAAGTTCTTCGATAAACATCTGAGCATGTTTCCCTCGGATTTGGTCTATGTGAGTATCGGGAGAACCCGCCGAAACGACCACCTGCTAACCTTAACTCCAGGGCTACTACACCCTCAACAAGCCGCAGAACAAGATTGACGTGGCTGTAATTGAGGCTTCGGCTATTACGGAGAATGGCGGTATCATTCCTGGTGCTTCCGTGGGCGCATCCCCCGAGCTTGTCCAGATGGCCGACAAGGTCGTCATCGAAGTCAACACCGCCACTCCCTCCTTTGAGGGTCTCCACGATATCGTGTGCTCCGACCTTCCTCCTGGTCGCAAGCCATACCTAATTATGGCTCCCGAGGACCGCATCGGAACAAGCTACATTCCCGTCGACCCAGAGAAGGTGGTTGCGGTCGTCGAGTCCAACTACCCAGACCAGACCCAGCCCAACGCCCCAGAAGACGAAGGCTCGCAGGCAATCGCCTCCAACATCATCGAGTTCCTCAAGCACGAAGTCAACCACGGCCGTTTGCCCCAAAACCTCCTCCCCATCCAATCCGGCATCGGCAACATCGCCAACGCAGTAGTCGGCGGCCTAAGCAAGGGCGGTGCAGACTTCAAGAACCTGAAAGTATGGACAGAAGTCCTGCAGGATTCCTTCCTGGACCTCTTCGACAGCGGAAACCTCGACTTCGCAACCGCCACTTCCATTCGCTTCTCACCAGACGGCTTCAAGCGTTTCTACGATAACTGGGAAAAGTACGCTGGCAAGCTTCTCCTCCGCTCCCAGCAGGTCTCGAACTCGCCTGAAATCATCCGCCGTCTCGGCTGCATTGGCATGAACACCCCCGTCGAAGTCGACATCTACGCCCACGCCAACAGCACCTGTGTCATGGGCTCGCGCATGCTGAACGGTCTCGGTGGTTCCGCCGATTTCCTGCGTAACTCCAAGTACAGTATCATGCACACTCCCAGTACCCGCCCTAGCAAGGTCGATCCTACTGGTGTTAGTTGTATCGTGCCTTTCGCTACCCACGTCGACCAGACGGAGCATGATCTGGACGTTATCGTTACCGAGCAGGGTCTCGCCGATGTCCGTGGTCTTTCTCCCCGTGAACGTGCCCGTGTTATTATTAACAAGTGCTCTCACCCTGATTACAAGCCTATTCTTACGGATTACCTTGACCGCGCTGAGTTCGAGTGTCTGCGTAAGGGTATGGGTCATGAGCCGCATTTGCTGTTTGAGGCTTTCAAGATGCATAAGAACTTGCAGGAGAAGGGTACTATGAAGATTGATTCCTGGGAGTAAGTGGTGTAGAGTGCTTGGCGCTCTGTTTCATTACAAATTTTGTAAAATGGCTGTTACAAGCCGTGGTTCTGGTGTCTGGTGTTTTGTAAATATCATTAGCGGTTTGAGGAATTATGTCTATTTCTATTTATTCTTGTTTCTTCGTATATGGAATCGTAGATAGTCTCTTGTTCTTTAAATAATCCAGAAGAAGGTGAAGATTGAAGAAAGTGGTAGGGTTAATGTTGGCTTTAGGTGTGATGCTACAATCCCGATCTCCTAGATCGACCACTGAGCTTTTTCATCACGTTGTGTAATAAATATGGTTTTAATTGGTGTCGGAAAGCACATTTTTGATAAGCGTATACACTTCACGCAAGATGTCCCTTGGGAACGATGGGCTTTGCAGATTGGAACAGATTTGCATTCCTTTCATATTGCAGAGTAATGTTGTTGTTGACGGGAATGGAACTGCCATCAGTTGCAAGGGAATGACTTACGAGTGGCGTGCTCCGGAATTAAGGGACGAGGAAGCTCTCTTTGACCTCCCTTTTCAGGTGCGACAATTGAATGACACCTGGGCTTATGGGAAGCTTTCGTTGGATCTCGTTTTGGGTATTAGGGACAGTGTCCTGGACAGCTATTTGTGGGTGCTTTGAAGGATAATGAATCGCCTAACTGAAGAGGATGTACAGACCAGGTTGAGCTTATCTGATGCACTACTAGATTGAACTTATCAAACCATTGAAGGACCATTCAAATCGTCTAGGTACAATTGAAGGCCTTGGCCCTGACCCAAGGGATAAACTCGGTTAAGATGATATGTAATCCTTTTGGGTAAAATGAACCAAGATATATATAAGATAAACAAAGATAGAAATTGACCAGTTGCAAGCATAAATTCAACAATCGAACCCCAATAATACCAACTCCAATGCCAATAAAGCAATCAAATAGAATATATAAAAGAATAGAACTCAACAAGCATCGTACATTTAGGGCGAAGTACCAGTAAGCCTAAAAGAGTTAGCTAAATCCAATAAATACCAGTAAAAGAAGTAAAAACTCACCGGCTCCAAATCGAACCAAGGAATCCAGTCTGCGAATCCGTTGACTTACGTCTAGCCCATCCAGACTCGACGTTGTAGTGCTTAGTATCCTGAAGACCAGCGAAAAGGCCACGACCTGCAGTTGCACGCTATACTTATGTTATTATACTGTACAGATGTGACGTGATAAGATGAGGTATAAGTGATGTACTCACGCGGTGTTCTTGCGCAGAGCGAACCCAGTAGTCAGCACCGAAATCGTTTTGAAGACGGGCGTGCTCGGAGGTGGTGGGAGACTTGGAAGGGGTTGTCATTTTGATGTTTGTCTGTATTGAATGGGATGGTTGTGTCGTGATGCTGTGTGTGAAATATAGTCTGAGTAGTAGATACTAGACTTGAGTCTGTGGTGTTGAGATAATATATCGAAGTATTCAATAAATCTTTGTGTGATGATGAACAAATAAAGTAGAACGCCGTGTAACAAAAAGACCCTTATATATCCTAATTCCAGTCCCTTTGCTATCATTTACCAAAGACATCTTCTATACTACAACGGAACATCCGAAGCTGAGCCACATCAGCATGGCCTGACACAACTGGCCGAACCAAACAAAACTCAAACCGAGCCTCAATTCGGTTCCGAGACGCTGGATCTCGGAATTCCCCAGCCGTTTCTCCGCCAGCTGCTCGACATGATAGGCTTAAACCGACCGGAAATACCCATTTCAAAGACTGGATAGCATGATCTCTATCCCGTACGATTGGATATCGTCCGATACAAAAATCATTAGGTCAGATGGCTGTTGGGGAGTGGTTGGGCGACGATTTCTAGTGGTGACGTATAGATCGGGTGGTGCGGTACGGCGTGGTCGGCCGAATTGAACTCCATGTCACTATGCACGGGGAGGGCCGTGGCCGTTTCGGAGGTTGCTGGAGGATCTTCGGTGCGGATGTTGCCGAGGGTTTGTTTTGGGGGTTGTGTGATTTGCTGGTTGTTGGTTGTTGGTGATGGGTGGCGTTGTACTTTTTTCTAGTCATGTGTTGGTGGTATGATCGGGTGGCATGTTTTATGGGCAGATGTAATAGCTTTGCGAAAATTGTTAGGAATTGTGTTCTTTTGGAGGACTCGAGGATTCCGAGTTTATTCATGTGTTGGATATCTTTGATGTATTGTGCGATGTGATCTCGTGTGACTACATATATCTTGTTCGCCCCATACTTCGAGTTGATGCTGAATGCAATGTCCATTTCTGAGGGGTGGGCTCCCTGGCATTTTCTTGACATGAAAGCAAATCAAGTCTACCTGACCTTTTTGCGTTCAATTAGATTGCCTATTGATGAGTTTGGGAGTCTTGACATACTGTTGGCTATGGTTGATGAGATCTCCAGTCGAAGATCACATTATTGTGTGCATACCCTGTCTAGAATGCGATGTTCAGCAAATGGCAATGCAAATAACAAGAAGACTGATCTTGAACTTAATCGAAAACTGAAATGGAGAGTGGATTAAAAGATGGTTAGTCGAGAGGGCAGTGGTGTTGTCCAAGTGGCACAGGCCCCAGGAAAGTGCAGGATCCCTATTCAGTGTAATGTGTTTTGATATATTGATTGTGATAAACAGAGTCAATCAAAGCCAGAAACCATATCAGATAGTTGGTAAATCCTGCATTTCAATGCTCGGGGGTTGGTGAATTCGAATTTAAAGTAAAGCGAGGAGGTATGTACATTCGACGATCACACATTCCACAGATAATATTCCCTGCCATGTGGATGACCGACACAGATCTCACCCCAGAATACTCGAGATGTGGAATGTGAAAACGTTAAACCAATGACACGTCTCACCCACAAGCAGAGAGATCATATGCAGTCAAAGCCGTTGAACCAAGTAAAAAAAAAAAAAAAAAAAAAAAACGTAAATCCTCAAAGGAAAAGCCACAGATAGACCCTTGCACCCTTTTAATGAACAAAGCAAAAAGAGATCCAATCATTTATTGATCATCCGACAGATTTCTGTCCAGTCATGCCCCAGATTCAAAGAACACCCCTAGAAGACAGCCCCTGAATAACCTCAAAAAGGGTGGTGCCAAGAATACACTAGAAACTGACGGTATCCGCTTCAACGCCCAGACAGTCCAGATCCGTTGTCACTCTTGGCTAGTGATTGAGTGGATTACAAGCCTAGCCAAGATTCTTTGGGCGGTCTGGACTGCTGTGTTGTCTTCGTTCGTTTGGTAGGCTTGACTGTACAGTATACGGCGGTTCATCAGACACAGTACATTTACTACCAACTCTGCCTTGTACAGATACTATATCGAGTCCAGCAATGCGACACATCCGATAAAGAAACCAATTTCCAACGCCCACCCAAGATATTGCCAATGTCTTACCCAGACCTCATACCAGCCATCCACCACTCCCCATCCCAACCCCAATACCGTCCTGAAGAAACCTCATCAATAATCCAAGCCAATCAAGAAACTATCACACCAAACCGCCAGACTAGCGAGCCCAAAATATTAAGCCACCGATTCAGCCTGATTCAGGAGAGCCGGCGCTACCTAGCTCCAATAAAACAGTCCATAGCCCTTCTCCACAAATGGCAGTAACCCGGGCCCCCGGCATCCGTTGGGATCTACCCCGAAGAAAGGGATCGCCAGTCTAGGAGATCCAGACTTTGACTGGATTGAGATCAGCAATCAATCATTGACAACTTGCTACACTACGTGTACTTGCACTTGAGATGACTTGTATTGTAGAACATTCAAAATGCTGCCGTGGCTCCATATATGTACAGTTAGGGTTCCCACAATTAGCCTCGTCTCGATCGCATACGTAGGCTGCAATGTTTATTTCTCTGGTAACGAACACACTAGGTTATGCTATACTCCGAGTAGAAGGTGGTTCGCGGACGAACACGCGGTCGGTCCCTACTTGCCGAAAGAATTGGATATGAATTAATTAAATTGCTCACATCCATGTTACAGTAGTCCATTGCTTGGATTGAGTTCTTGTCGGATGATCGGCAGTTCACGGGAGTGAGTTGATCGTCAGGGGTGAAAACAGCGCATAGTGTAGAGTGCGGGAAGAAGGGAACGGGAATAGAGGTTTGAATGTATAGGATTATATTGTTGAATATCTGATATTGATATGGTAGAATGACTAGAGATGCTATGGAGAGACATACTCTTGGCGCCGTGGCCTCCGGGCACGCCGTATACTTATGGAGTCAATAAACAGTGGCCATACTAGGCAATACCGTATTGTGTTTTGATGAGATCGGCAGGGCGGAAATTAGAGATACACAATTAGCCAATAAAATGCCAGGATCTATCCCATTTTAGCTTTAGCCTTTCCTATTCAGGACTGGCGAGGACGCTATGATATCCAGCCCCACATGGCGTGGGAGGAGATTTCCTGTTTCCTTTTCGTCTTGAGAGCAACCCAACTCTGCAGTGAGACTGTATGGCGGGTACTCAGCTCCACAGCCTCTAGACCTGTCCAGAGACATTCATCTTAGGGAAATGAACAACCGAACATTCTAGGGTTTTAGGGCACTTGCAGGATGGGTTTGCCACTGCCCAGGTGCACTGTAAGCCACAACGGGGGTACCTTACATATGTCTGACAGGGACTCGTGTAACCCGGTGGCTTGAAAGAAGTTAGGAGTATCTGGGGGAAGGCCCTCGCAGCGGTAAGGGGGCTGTGAGACAAGGCTATTTTGGATGTAAGACCGGTGAAAAGGAAATGATCCGTGCGGATATAATAATAACAACAGCAATAATAGTAATGAAAGTGTAGACACAGAGTGACACAGAGTACAGAGTACTGGCCATGTAAGTGTACAACGCACAAGGTACATTTGCATGGTGGAAATGAGCGTTGGGCGAGATCGTAACATCCTATACATCCAAGATATTCAGTATACAAGTACGCAAGAGTAAACTAAACGTATGTAACAATCCACTCTGCCCGACCCGTGCGGGCCAACCATAAGCAACAAACAATTGGGTCTGCAGCAGTAAGCCAATCACATACTGTTTGTCCCTGAAAACACATCTAGACCCCAGGGGTAATTTTACGAATTTCACGAATCCCGGCCTTTTTATGGTCTTTTCTCCCCTTTTCTCACTTCTCCCCCTAACCGCCTTTTCTCCATCAAAAGGCCCTTGCCCCCTCAACTTCCTTTCCTTTTGCTACCCACGTTCCTTGATATCACTGACCACCGCTTCACTCGTTCAGCGGGCATTCATTCTTTCTGTGTGGGCATTGAAATTCCAACATGAAGGGATCTCTTTTCGCCGCCGCCGCCATGGTGGGCTCTGCCATGGCTGACGGTGTTCACCGTCGCCATGATGCTTTCCACCAGCGTCGCGATGCTTCGTCCAGCGTCTGGTCCTCCAGCGTCACCGCTAGCCCCTCTGCCCCTGCTCTGGCTGAGGAGACCTGCGGCTGCACCACCAAGGTCATCACCTTCTACGGCTCGCCTACTCTGGTTCCTATCTCGACCGCTACGCCTACTTCCACTCCCACCCCGGAGTCGACCAGCACTCTCACCAGCACTGTGCACTCTACCAGCACTAGCACACTGACTGTGACTGTCTCTCCCTCTTCCTCTTCCTCCGTGGCCCCGATCCCTGAGTCGACCAGCACCGTCGTGGTCCTGCCCACCCCCGGTGTCAGCACTTTCCCCTCCACTGGCACCTACACCGTCCCGGCCACCACCATCACCGTGACCGACAGCACCACTGTTTGCGGTGCTACCTCCACCGAGGTCCCCAGCGGTACTCACACCTACGGCGGTGTTACCACCGTTGTCGAGACCGCTACCACCGTCACCTGCCCCTACGCCACTGTCAAGCCCACCGGCAGCACCGTGACCAGCGTCATTGAGACCACCACCTATGTCTGCCCCTCGGCTGGTACTTACACCGTTGTGCCCCCTACCACCACCACCGTGCCCACCAGCACTGTCCTGGTCTACCCCACCCCCCAGACCGTCACCCCCGGCACCTACACCCAGCCCGAGACCACCCTGACCGTCACCCGCACCGACTACACCTATGTGTGCCCCTTCGCCACCCCTACTCTGGCCTCCACCACTGCCCCCGCTCCCGTCACCACCACTGCTGCCGCTACCACCACCGCTACTCCCGTTGAGTCCACCACCAGCGCTGCTGCCACCAGCACCCCCACCTCCGGCTCCGGCCTCACCGGTGAGGGCCAGTACGGTATGACCTACTCTCCCTACACCGAGGGCGGCAACTGCAAGACCAAGCAGGAGGTCCTCAAGGACATCACGGACATCAAGAAGAAGGGCTTCAACCTGGTCCGTGTCTACTCCAGCGACTGCAGCGGTCTCGAGTTCATCGGTGACGCCTGCAAGGAGCTCGGCCTCAACATGATCGTCGGTGTCTATATCGACTCCACCGGCACCTCTGGCGCCCAGGAGCAGGTCGAGGCCATCTCCAAGTGGGCCCAGTGGTCCATGGTCGAGCTGATCGTCGTCGGTAACGAGGCCATCCAGAGCGGCTACTGTGACGCCGGTAGCCTGGCCACCTTCATCGCCTCCGCCAAGTCCACCTTCAAGGCCGCCGGCTACACTGGCCAGGTCACCACTACTGAGCCCATCAACGTCTGGCAGCAATACGGCGCCTCCGCCCTTTGCTCCTCCGTCGACATCGTCGGTGCCAACATCCACCCCTTCTTCAACGCCGACGTCACCGCCGAGAAGGCCGGTGAATTCGTCGCTCAAGAGTTCAAGGTCCTCGAGCAGATCTGCTCCGGAAAGGACGTTGTCAACCTCGAGACTGGCTGGCCCAACGCCGGTATGTCCAACGGTGCCGCTATCCCCGGTGTGTCTGAGCAGGCTACCGCGGTTAAGTCCATCGCCAAGGCCGTCGGCTCGAAGTCCATCTTCTTCTCATACTCCAACGACCTCTGGAAGTCCCCGGGTGCCTTCGACGTTGAGCAGCACTGGGGCTGCGCTGACGTCTTCTAAGCGTCACGTCTGAACGTTTGATTTGTTTTGGTCTTTTTTTTTTTTTCTTTTCTGCAAAACTTGTACAGGAGGATAAGGAGTTTCAACCTTTACTCTCTCATTTGGTTTTGTCTATAGTCTGCGGATTATGGCGGGCCATCTTCATTTCTTGGTTTCTATTTTTAAACTTTGCCCTGTTTTTAGTAGATACTCCTTTTATTTGATGTTGTCTACTGACCTGGTTGTGCCGACCCTTGTCTCTTTGTTCTTATGCTTTTAGTGTGTATATTGTTATTGATGTCTTCTTACGAGTTTACCAAGTAGCCAAGTAGTTTGTACTGTCATCTGGCATCTGTACACCGCACATCCATGTTATATTGGCCATGTACATTATGCATTTTGTGCCTCGCCCTACTTGTCAGGATGTGTCTCAAGTACATGTACATCTGCTGCGTCGTTCTTGTGAAAATGGTTAATTCCATCTCGAATCGTAGATACATGAAGTCCGCTTCCAAACCTCGACCGGCTGTACTTCGGAAGACCATCCTTCTGTAGACGAATACTATCGAACTATTCCATTCCATGTCGACCTAACTCTTTAATGGATCACGAGTAGCGTCAATAACACCTTATTGACCCAAATCAAGATTCCTACATTGGTATTCTAATTATTTCAATATCAAGTTCCAGCTTAAAAAGCCAGTACTGCCTACAGCAAAACCCGAATTGATGCTATACAGATGTGAGATCACGATCATGGGCCATGACACTCTTTAGAACATTATGCTGCGTTCGGTTATTTTTGTCCAGCGTCAGATATCCATCACACCTGTAACTTCTGTTACACAATCAATGGAGATGACCATCAAACCTCTCATGAATACCCACCAAATCACAACGCTGACTTTTCTTAAAAGTAGCAGGGAACTGATATAAAGAAATATGTACCATTAACCTGTTGATAAATACAAAAGAAAACAAAACATCCGTCCGACGATACGTATATCAGCCAACCCAAGAAAGGGTATCATCATGTCCAGAGTTAACCAACCATGCCGCAGCCATATCCGATATAGAGCTTATTACAGCTGAGTGCAAGTCTGTGATATTAGTTAGTCCAATTCTTAAGAACAACGAGTAACAAGAAATACTCACACCATTGGAAGCACAAGTAAGTCCCTCACAGCAACACCCCTCAGTACCACAGTTATCAGCAGTACAAGCCATGGTTTCCTACAACAAAGCGAGCAAAGTTAACAATCGTCCCTGGTACATCCATCCATATATTCTCCTCATCGGTCTGATAAACACAAACTCACAGATTGACACGCGGTCTGAACCTTAGGCAATGCCTCAGGGAGAGCGACAGTGAGAGTAGCAAGGAAACCAAGAATAATAACCGAAGCGCGCATTTTGATTTGAATTGGCCAAAAAGAAAAAAATGGGAATGTGGTAGAAATGGAACAACGGTAGGTATCTGAGAAGTGAGAGTGAAAGTCAGCGACCGAGCCAGATATAAAGATAGAAATAAATTGCAGAGGGGGCATAAAAGACATGTATGGGTATGCATGTGCAGTTTTGGATTGAGGTAAGGGCAAAAAGAAACGGTGTGCGACATACTTGATTGTTGGTCGTTAGTACACGAGGAAATGTAGTAGTTGACAACTATGGAATATCAGATCAATTAAAGAAATGCTACTCCGTACATGTATGTCGGACCCATTCTAGTCTTATAGCTTTTGCTAACTGTGGAGAAGGGAATGACACAGGCCACGCACTGGGGCGAGGATCCATCATCGTGTCTGAAACTGGGCTGGAGGATCTGCAGGGGCGGTTTCGGGATCAGCGTTATACGTGAGGGCTGAGGCCTGCCAAGTTGTTGTGCCCTATGGCGTGGTTGGATGAGGCTTGCGAGTGTGACACCGTTGCTTAGATTGCCTGGTTAATTAGGTGAGTACTTATAGCGGGAGTTTACTATAGTTCTCGAGGTCTTCGTTGACAACTGCTTTGTCGCTTGTGGGGATTGTGGTGGATGCATAATATTGACAATCCACTCGCTGACTTCATACAACGTCACGCAAGTATCGATTAAGTGAAGCTGCGCCTGATGTTTTTGATGGGAGTATATCAAATCAATATTCAATGGCTAAGGCTCGGAAAGAGACAAGCATCCGATACCAAGCCGGGATCCAGTATACGGGGCCGGGACTGCAGCGGCTGGCGATGATACCAAGCCCTTGGCATGAGATATTGCAAAGGATGCACGGTGCAGTTGAGGTTGGTGCTTGCAGTGGCACACGGAGCTTGCGTGGGCTGCCTAGACTGGAAGTGATGTACTGGGAGGTGGGCCCTGAGAGCTAGGGGTTGGGGCCATGGGGATGGGGGCGAGAAGTTGGAGTGTGGCGGGTTGGATTCACGTCAGAAGGAGGAACGCCGAGAAGAGTGTCAGTCCAGATGATAAGTAATGAGATGTTAGAAATTGCTTGAAGCTTCCATATTTAACTAATGATGGTTGTCCAGATTGACACCTGGAATTTCAGGCCACAACAACCCTGTCTTGAGTTAGACATAAGGCCACAACTACAGTGTAGGATAGAAATGATTGATATTGTGATGATCTACAGTGCTCGTTATTTAATTTACGGGGACCGCTGAACCGTACAGTCGAGTCTTTGATAATGCACAAGAGACCCTTTTCATCTCGAAATGCAATAGCAGAAGTCGAAAGTCAATCGTGATTGGCAAATGTAATTGTTCTTCTGACATGAAGCTTGAGAACGAGGGATGCTCGACATACGTATATAATAATGGGCCATTGCCAAATCCGAGTACACTACAACGTCGGTAAATATAGCCAATTCTTGTACATAGAATCGGTTCCAGTCCACACGATCTCAGCCGAAATAAGATCCCCGGCCAACTGATTGGTCTCAGTTATCAGTGAGAAAAGGCAGATTTGCCCGAGTTGAAGTATTAGGTAGGAAATATTGCGCCCCAAAGCCGAGGAAGAAGGACTAGCAACTGAAACCGCGCGCTCATACACCCACTCGTAAAGATTCAGAAACTCAGCTAAGCCACAAGAGCCACCGGGGTCAGCGATAACTCACGGCAAACAAGCGCAGATATCTTAGTCATATCTAAATATTGGATTTGATGCGGATTTAAGTATGCATTAACTGGTTAAACGAGAACGTCCACAGCAGAAGTGGCACAGACATCACCGAAATCGATAAGAACAACCAGCTGATTGCATTGGCTGGCTTGATATGCATGCTTATTTCAAAGTTGGTTACTATTGGTTAGTCGTTTCTTTCAGCTTGATGACAGCGGGGACACCGAGTGTGGCGCATCGGCATGATTGTCTTCAGGTGAAGTATGTGGAGCTGAATAGTAACCCAATTACGACGAAATCCCGATGTAGGGAATGTACTCGAGGGTTAGTTTTACCAGCAGTTTATTGCTATAAGAGCGAGGATGACCAAAAGAGAATTGTAGTGTATCTATGATTCTATTTCACAGTTCTCTGAAGATACTTTGCTAGTATGATCACCAAATCCTTGCCTGCTTTGCAGCCTACTCTTTTGCAGGTTTATCTTGCTTGGGTCGATGCTTGGTTTTCTATCTCGAATGGTCATTACAAGCCTACTGAAAAGATTATCTGCTTGGACGAGATAGCTTCTCTATTCGAAGAGGAGAATCTGCACCAGTCGATAACTCACTCCCGCTTGGTACATGTCATCTACTCATTTCAACAACATGTCAAACACGGAAGCGTCCGATTCGGAGGCCTAAATCCACCATCCTGCGAAGAAACCAACCTCATATCAGAATCATACAACCCACAAGTCATCTGCAAATGTGAAACCACTAATCCAGTCAAACAAACAAAAACCACATGCAACGCCCTCTTAATCATGCAAGACATCAAGGAAAAAGTCATATCCCGAAAAGACGAATGGCACAGCACCGGCCTATTCACACCAACGAAACTCCGCCTCGCCGTCGACGAACTTATCGACTCAAGCACAGACCTCCAGCCAGAATCTCACACCTGCCAAGGTGCATCCGCATCATCCCACATCCCAACAATCAAAGCCCCGGACCGCCACCCAAACCCGTCAGTTGATAGCAACCCCCGAATAACGAACCAAATCTACCAAACCGCCGAACAACTCAAAATCTGCACAGATGCAAAATACTTCGGGGTAGTTGCCTGCGGTGCCAGCCTCTGCGATGAAGGTCTCGCACGTGCAGTAGCAGATTCTTGCAACGACGTCCTTATCGGCGATTACTGCGAAGCAGCCGGTGAAAAGGGTCTCAAGCTACTCCAGCAAGTCGGCGCGGCGGCAACGGCGTTTTTGAAAGTCTGCAGTTTGGCTGGTCGGGTTAGTGACTGGCAATTTGATAACTTGGCTGCTTATATTGTCCAATGTCGGGTTCTAGGGTATTACCGGGACCATGGCAGGTCTCGACTTCGCGATGGAGTTTACGGAAGTCGCATGACTGGGCTTGGGGTCCACCGGCATATTGATGTTGCTGCTTTTCATGGAGTTATGACTGCTTCGTTGGGGACGGGGATGGTTATTGATGAGGAGCAGTATGCGCGTATTGTGGAGGCGGTGGTTTTTGTTAATGATTTTGTGGATATTCGGGGTGATACTATGCGAAAGCAACGGGAGAATGTTATTCTCCGGGGATTGCGGGGGGATCTTTGTCGATATCTTGATCGTTCTATTGGGGAGTGTTTGGACGTTGTTGCTGATGTTGTTAAGGAGAGTGAAATCGGGGCTTTGGTTGTTATGGGCTTTTGTAATTGGGCTATTATGTCGTCTCATCACAAGGTGTATGAGTTGGTTAAGGGTGTTCGGCCTGTTCGGAAGTATGGGTATTGTGAGTATACTTCCGTTGCGGATAATGCGCGGTATGAGCGGTTGATTGAGGCGTTGCGACCATATGGTACACTTGGCAATGATGGACCTAGTGTGTTGAAGAAGAGGATTGAGATGGATAAGACTTATGATGTCTGTCGACAGTCACCAGAGTTGCATCTATCGTGGCTTGCTGATGCCGCTCGGAATTTGTTGGAGCCGACGACATTGAGGCAGATTGTGGATGTGGTACATTTTGAGTGGAGCGGCGATGTGGGAGCTGTTGATTATTGCCCTTAAACATTGTAGACCAACTGTATAGATATATGAACGAATTGATGATTTTCAAGTTTCAAAGAATGGAACGGTGACTAAGTAGGGCAATCCACGGATATGAGGAAATTCTTCGGCGCCACTCCACCCTCTTCTTCTTTTACCCCAGATCCCCAGATTTCAGAACAGAAAAAAGAAACATGGAAGAACCAACTCCAATATTAGAAGCCCGACTTCCTGAGACCTTCACTCCAATCGAAGAAGACTTTCTATCACCGGGCACATTCTCCAGCGCCGATGAATACGCCGCCAACCCCAGATTTCTAGAACTACAAGAAGAACTTCGCGGCGTCCTCTTCTCAGCAGTAGCAAGTCTCGAACCATCAAACTACACCCCAATCCCTCAACCAAGTGAACCACGCACACGACAGAGCCTAGATTTCACCCGAGTGATCTCAATCCCCAAAATTCGCCTAATCTTCTACCTCAAAAACTGGATCACAGAATGCGCCCCGTACCTCGACAAATTCGACGAAGCCCGTCACTTCGGCGTGCACATCCCAATTCTAGCACAAGGCTCACCAGCCCTCTTTTACGCCATTCTCGCCTTCTCAGCCCGCCAAACGGAGCGCAAAGCATGTCTCGACAAAGCATACGACAGCCTCGAACTCTACCAAGAATCAATCCGCCTCCTAGCTCCATGTCTCCAAGCGAAAGATCCAAACGTCCTCGTGACAGTATGCATCCTAGCAGTCATGGAACTAATGTCCGTCAGTCCCCGCGACTGGCGACGCCACGTAGAAGGTTGCGCAGCCCTCTTCGAATCATTCAACGTAACCGGCCTCTCAGGCGGCCACCTCCAAGCCGTATTCTGGTGCTACGCCCGCATGGAATTATGCGGAGCAATTATTTCCAACGGCGCAGAAAGCACAGTCCTCCCACTGGACAAATGGGTCCCAGCAATCCCCGCCAAAAGCGCCGAAGAAAAAGAATCCCGCATCCGCGATCTGTTCCGTGAACAGGGCCACGTCTCACCTGATATGCACGCCAACTGGGCCGTCTACCTCTGCGCCAAAACATGCGACCTCTCGAGTCGGCGCACGCGTTTCCTTGAATTAGGCGAGATATCTTCTGACCCGCGTCCGTTCCCGGAACAATGGACCCGCCTCTGGGATGAATTACATTACTGGCTCGACCAACGGCCACCAGCTATGCTCCCCATAAAAACAACAGGTATGGGCTCTGGCCAGATATTCCCGGAAATCCTATTCGCGCACTGGGCCGCGATATCTGGGAACCAGTTATACCACGCAGCTTGTATAATGATGCTTGATATGAGGCCTGTAGAGCGGGGTCCGGCGGCAGCGTCTAAGCCGTATTACTCGGCGATTTGGCATGCGCGTCGTGTGTGTGGGATTTCATTGACAAATCCCCACAGTGGGAATTTGATTAATGCTATTCAGCCGCTTTATATTGCGGGCAAGTTGCTCAGTCATCGCAGCGAGCACGTTGAGGTTGCGAAGCTTTTCAAGATTATTGAGAGGACGACTGGGTGGGGGGCTTTGTGGAGACTTAGGGACCTCGAGAGGGCTTGGGGGTATGAGACTGGGGAGATTTTGGGCGTTATTTAGATTATGTTTTGAATAAATAGATGTGCTGTACATTGTATTCTGAGTATTTGGTCTAATCCAAATGGCAATCTATATCTTAGCCACACATGGATGTTTCCAAAATTTAAAAGCGAGGGACTAAGTTTTCAACCCTTTACTGCAAATCAGCACAAGATTTGGGATATTGCAAAGCATGCTTAATCCGCTGCTTAAGTCTCTCGGCATCAACCTCAAAGACATAGTTCACCTCGCGGATTCCCTGGGGCGCGAGAGCCTTCTGGTAAACATGGATATTGCCGTAGTTGGGGCTTCCGTAGGAGGTATCCACATCCAAGAACACTAAAAAACCAATAATTAGTCTCGTAACATTTAATAGAATTCCCTACAAGGGTTTGACGTACCTGAGGTCTGGTTGACGGAAATGGTTGGATCAACCATCAACGCAGCAGCCGTTTCATCCCAGAAAGGGAACGAGAGATCGTAATATTTATCAAAGAGCTCGCTGTAGGGGTTTGGCACGGAAAGTACCTCTGCCTTGAACTCTTTTGTGGGGAAGACCTGATTAGCAACATTACCAGCGATGGTGATGTTTGGGAAATCAGCAGTCAAGGCAATCTTCGATGCTTCGGGGTCGATCATGAGGTTGATCTATAGACTAATCAGCGGAGAAACAAACCACCTGGGAAAGAATCCTTACATCAGACTGATAATCAGCAAGCATAATACTTCCCGTCGCCTCAAGCATATTCAAATCAACATATCCACCCATAATAACAAGGTCCTTAGCAAGCGACGCGAACATCGGATCCATACGCACTGCCAGCGCGATATTCGTCAATGCTCCGGCCGAGTAGATAGATACCTGGCCAGGATACTTGTGAACCATTTCGACCATAAAGTTCGCCGCGGATGTCGAGTTCTCCGGTCGGCCTTTAGGGAATCCCTCCTTGAACGCCTCCTTGACAATGCGATTGGGGTCGCCGGAGGTGGGATCATTGCCCTCGGCTTCGAGGGTTTTGTTCTCGGGCGCGAAAGCGCCTTCCCAGGGGAGTTTGCCGTGGATTGTTTCCCAGGCTTGGAACCGTTGTGGTGTGTTTATGAGTGGCCATGTGGCGCCTGCGTAGACGGGGATGCAGCTTAGATTTCCTGCTTCTAGGGTTGCCACAGCGTGGAGGGCGCCTTGGGGTTGCCAGCTGTTTGCCGTATCTGGGATTGTGTTAGTAGTGGTCTGATAGGGTTGATGTATACTATACAATACTCACCCGAGGCCAGGCCTAGAATTTCCACATCGCCGTCTAGGGCAACCAGGTACGGAACAAAACCCGCTGTATACCAATCATTGTCCATGATGGCATAGTGCTTATCCGCCTGCAGAGCTGCAAGCCCGCCTGTCACCAAGCAAAGTAGCGGAGCCGACCAATGCATGTTCACTTTGGGATGTAGGGTATGCTTGCCGAATGCAGATGTCCCTGAGTGTACTCAATTTCAATGCCAGACATCTTCATCGACCTTTTATACAGAATATCATCGCGGCCCCAGCTTTTCCCGAGAGTGCGGCCCATTACGAAAAGTAATGCTTGGACGATCTCGGGTTCCCCAGTGTTGATCTGCTTGGACTTAGCCAAATCAGCGAGACAAAGGCTCTGATTTCCTCAATTGGAGTAAACCCCACACTCTGCAAAGCTAGAGAATAGGGCCGACTGAGACATGTCATGTGAAGCCAGTGTGGGCTCAGCCATGCAGGGTCTGTGGAGTTGGGGAATTCCGAGATTTCCACTCTTTTCCGTGTGAGAGGCCGATGTTAGCCGAATCGGGACGTCGTAGGCTACGGATCGCCCTATTTGGCTTAGCGATCGGGATCCTCCACGTTTTGCCTCCACAAAATGTTTGGGGTTCCGGGGGAATTTACGTTGCAGCGAGTCGGGACGCCGAGATGAGAGTTTTTTCTACTCACGTGGCGCCACTTTGAGAAATTAGGCAAATCCAGGTGTAGAGTGACTGAGATGAGGTGAAAAGTGAGTATATATGGGGCCCCATTTCCCCCGTGTTTTCTTTCCCCACGTTTGAGAGTTGAGACTTGAGACTTCACATTGAGAGACTTGACTCAATTGCCCATCATGGATGTCATCGCTAAGAAGTCCATGTGGCAGTCCATCTTCGAGAACCCCAAAGTCCTCTTCATCGCTTTCTTCGCCTCGTGAGTCCTCAACAATCCCACTACAAACAACACTAACCTCCCTAGATTCGGTGGTTTCGAATATGGCTACCAACAAGGTGTCCTGGGCCAATCCCTAGTGATGACCCGGTTCACAGAGAACTTCCCAACAGTCGTGGCCTCTTCAACAGCAACAGGCTGGCTCACCTCCGTCCTCCAACTGGGCGGTATCGTTGGCTCCCTATCAGCCGGTATCCTAGGCGAGATCTACTCGCGCAAGTACACCATGTTCTTTGCCTGTTGCTGGGTTATCCTCGGCAGTTACCTGTACATCGGCGCAACAGCCGGCAACCCATCCCTGCTCTACGCCGGCCGATTCTTCACCGGATTGGGTGTTGGCTTGTTCAGCGGTGTCGGTCCTCTCTACAACGCCGAACTGGCAGCGCCTGAGATGCGCGGTCTGCTCGTTTCTTTCTACCAGTTCGCGACCATCCTCGGAATCATGATTCCTTTCTGGGTCGGGTATGGAAGTAACAATATTGGCGGGACGGGCGCGACTCAGTCTGATCTCGCTTGGCGTTTGCCTTCTATTATTCAGGGTATTCCTGCTGTCGCATTGGCCTGTGGTATCTGGTTTATGCCGTTCTCGCCCCGCTGGCTTGTGAAGCAGGGCCGTGATCAGGAGGCTCAGCAGACTTTGGCGTGGATGCGCAAGGTTCCGGTTGAGCATGAGCTCGTCCAGGTTGAATACCTTGAGATTAAGGCTGAGGCTGTCTTTGAGGAGCGCGCTTTTGCGAAGGCCTCGCCTAAGCTTGCGGATAGTGAGAAGAAGAGCATTTTCATGAATCAGATTGCGCAGTATGCCAATTGCTTCCGCACTATGGATAACTTCAAGCGGGTTTGTACTGCTTGGTTGGTTATGTTCTTCCAGCAGTGGAGTGGTATTGATGCTAGTAAGTTGGTTGATCTGGGTTGGTCGTTCTTTGCTAATGTTAATTTCAGTCATCTACTATGCGTCCAATGTGTTTGTTAGTCTCGGTCTCACTGGTGGTACTATTGCTCTGTTGGCGACTGGTGTGACCGGTGTCGTTTTCATCATCAGCACAGTTCCTGGAATGGTACGTCAACAATCCAAGAGAATATGAACCATTGCTAACAAAACCAGTTGGTCATCGATAAAATCGGCCGCAAGCCCATGCTCTTAGGTGGCTCCGTCGTCATGTTCTGCAGCATGGTAATTGTGGGCGTGATTGTCGCTAAATTCCAGGACGACTGGCCCGGCCATGTCGCCGCCGGCTGGACAGCAGTTGGTAAGTAAATTCCATGCGACCATTCGTCCACAGAACCTGACAAACTCGCAGCTCTGATCTGGCTATACATTGCTGGCTTCGGCGCAACCTGGGGCCCAGTCTCATGGACCCTCGTCTCAGAAATCTTCCCCCTCTCAATTCGCGCCAAGGGAGCCTCAATCGGCGCGTTCAGCAACTGGATCAACAACTTCGCCATCGCCTTCTTTGTACCGCCCATGCTTCAAGCCTGGGAATGGGGAACTTACATCTTCTTTGCGGGATTCCTCCTGGTCGGCATCGCCTGGGTCTGGTTCTTCCTACCCGAAACTAAGGGAGCATCCCTGGAAGAAATGGACCGCGTCTTCAAGAGTAACGCCGGCGAAGCAGACGCGGAACTCCTCCGCGAGGCCCAGCGCGACGTTGGCCTGACCGATTTCATTGCGCGTATGGGTTCGGCTACTGGCCGTGATCTGGAGAAGATGGAGGGGTCGCAGTATATTGAGAAGCTTTAGAGCTTTTAATTGATGGAAATAGCTATTCAAGCAATCAGCATAGCTTTAGTGATACCAAAATGCAACTAATGAATGATGTTCCGCACTTCACCTCCAACCTCAACTTCAACCTCGTCATAGTTTGCCGTATGTCCAAACCCACATATCAACCCCATCATAAATCTCGGAAGATCGGGTGGCGTCCAACCCATCTCAATCTCCATCTCCATAAACTACCTCATTAGGCCAAAAAGCAGAGAAAACACCTCAGATCGTCAACCCGACATAATCCCCACACTCGGCTCGACTCTCCCCATTGGTGGCGCCCGCCAAAGCCAAATCACGGCCATCTCCGAATTAAGAACTGCGGAGCCTCCACTCCCTTCTTTTCTCTCGACGGTGTCTACATGTATACCTCAAAATGCCCAGGAAACCCACGCCGGCAGCCAAGCAGCGCGTGAGGACGGGTTGTTTGACGTGTCGCAGGCGCAGAAGAAAATGTACGTGTCACGTGCTTGGACGTTCCGGTGATGGTACTCCATGATACTCGATACTGACGCTGTTGCTGTAGGTGATGAGCAGAAGCCCAGATGTGCGAATTGTGAGGTTAAGGGATTTGCTTGTAAATATGGAGCTGATTTGGCATTTGTTTCGCCGAGGGCTGGTCTTGCGCATGGGTCGGGTTTGGGGCAGGGGTATAGCTCTATCACGGTGTGCTATTCCAGTTTCCAAGTTGGATCAGAAATATTTGACGAACAGTGTGCTGACCTTGTATAGTTTGTTGATGATTCGCCTCTTGCAGCTGGGAGTAAAGACAAATCGAAAGAGCAGCAGCCTCCACCAGATGAGGAACAGAACAATCCTGCGTTCGCTGATGGTCTGCAGCCATCAGTTGGAAGCCATGATGAGACGGGAGATGGTCGGGCTTTTGAATTTCAAAGCATTTTATCGGCCGACGTGCCGAGTGTTGATTTCTCAGAACCTCCAGTTCCATTTGCTGGAAGACGGAGCACGCCAGATGCCCGGTTCATGACTAGTCCTTCCTACTTTAGACATGTGGGTTCTGTTGCTAGTTCACAGACAATCGAGCGCCGGGGGCTATTCGCAAATGGAAGCCAAGAAACAGATCTGCTACGACATTTCCGTTATCATGTTGGTCCGTGGATTGACACCGGAGATCCTGAGCTCCCATTCGGACTTCAAGTGTTGCTGCTTTCGCGGACGAATCGGGCTTTACAAGCTGCGGTGCTTTCACTCTCTGCTGGACAGAGAATGCTTCTGCCATTGGCGACCAGTGAGGATGTTGAGAGCAGTCGGCAGTTCCGGAAAGAGGCGAAAGAGAGTCTTGCAGTCGAGTCTGATTTGGCTAGACATGCTGGTCAAACACTCTTGATGCTTCAAGATGTTTTGCCTGCTGGACCACAGCGGTGGAGGAATATTCTTATGCACAGCATAGAACAAGGATGTGACTTTTCATCGCAGGCCGGTCTGGGAGAAGAAGTTGGAGAGGCGTTGTTATGGCTTTACTTTCGACTCGGTATGTGGGAGACGTGTTCCAAACATAATACCAGCTAACTTACTATTGTTTGCTATAGATCTCGCAGGCTGCATCTCGTCTTCCAAGCCACCGCTAATTCCTTTCCGATCATTACTGCGGCGCGACGGTACATTAATACACCTCCCACAATCTCAAATCCAGCCCCAAACCGTCAACCGTGCATACAAAAATATTCTGTGCTCTACTCGGACATTGCTTGTCTCTGATATACGGAGACCCCGAAATACCGTCTCCGCATGCAACCTCCGCAGAACTCGCATTCCCCTCACTCCGACAATCACACTTCCTCTCCCAATGGACCTTCCTCTGGACAGATTGTCAGAAATGGTACAACGAGCGCCCAGTAGATGTCCAGCAGATTGTGGATATTCGAGGTGGAGAGGCTGATCAAATTGATCCTGATCACAACTCGTCCTTCCCGATTCTTATCTACACGACGCCAATGGCGCTGGTCGCTAATGCTGTCTACCATATTACCTCTTTGCTACTATTGACACACAAACCACGGCTTTTGAAATCTCTTCCAGGTGCTAGGTGTTACACCTCGCATATTTGGCATGCACAGTCGATAGCTGGGATTGCAGCAAGCAATGATTCCCCAGAGCAATGGGACCCGATTTTAATTGCGAGTCTTCTCACTATTGCCCGCGATATGACACATGAGTCGCAACAGGTTGTGCTGTTGGAACGATTAGCCAGGATCACTGCCACGACGGGGATAAATCTTGACCGGGAGACTGAGGCGCTACAAGCATCGTGGAATATGGCGCGATATGAGGAGGAATTTGATGATGAAGCTGATGTATGATTTCATAACTATACCCACTAAACGCCGTTTACTTCTATTTACATCATGTGCCTGTGTATTTTCAAGTTCACTCCATGTCATAAGCAAATGGAATACTTTGCATCGCACCCCGACGCTGCACACACATTGCCGCAGCAGCATTAGCCACCGAGACAGCCTGTTCAACCTCTTCAAACTCGTCCAACCCCTTCCCAGTAGCAAGGAAGCGCGCCACAGCAGTCGAGAAATACCCAACGAACGTGTCCCCTGCCGCAGTGGTATCAACGACTTGAGCAACCTTCACACCGGTAACAGTCCCACATTTCCCAGCGCGAGTAGAGAAATAAACACCCTTAGCACCAAGCGTAATAAGAACAACTTCAACCCCAGCCATCTCATGAAACTTCCCCGCAAAGTCAGCGGGATCAAACTGGTCATCATCAACACAAACATCCCCCGGAACAGGAAGCCCAGCAATCGACCTCGCCATCTGCACAACCTCCGTCTCATTCATGATCAAAACAGCCGTACCACGCAACGCAGAAAGCGGAATGCCTTCAGGGTAAACGGGCGCCGGGTTAAAAACAACCTTGGCCTCCCCCTCCCCGTCCTCCCATTAAAATACTCTAACAAACCCACAGTCGTCTCCCGCGGAATCTCACCCTGCAAAACAACAACCTCAGACCGCTGCGTAACACGAACAATCCCATCCACATCACCCATCAACCCACTGTGATTCGCACCGGGAACAACAAGAATTCGATTCTCCCCGCTCCCTTCTTCAACGATAATACTCGCAGACCCAGTCTGCGCAGTAACAGACTCTTCAATCGATCCCGTGTCAACACCCGATTTCTCCAGTGCTGGCTGGAGGAGTGTGGTATAGTATGGATCATCGGCACCAACGCCGCCAATCATGCTCACAGTTACATCTTGTTTCTCTTTTGATGTAAATGAGGCGCGGCCTGCTGCTACGGCTTGGTTGCCGCCTTTTCCGCCCGCTAGCACGCTCAACGAGGTTGCTGTGAGCGTTTCGCCTGGACCTGGGCAGCGGGGGGTTGTTGTTACAAAGTCGATATTTAGGGACCCGATTATTGTTATGTGTGGATTTTGAGGTGGCATTTTGGATTTGGAAGTTTGTTTGGATGTTTGAAAGCTGTTGGTGGACTTTGGTGGTTGTGGTGAGTGTATTCGTGGTAGTTGCTTTATGTGTAGATTGATTGGATTCGACGATTGAGTAAGAAAGAAGAATTGAACCTCGAAGGTCAGAAATATGCGATGCCGACCTTTCTTATTTTTTCGGCATCTTGCCCCGTCGGGAAGGTTCTATACTTACCGATATCCCGTCTCGATTGGGAGGGCGTAGGCTCTGTACCTCCCAAAGGGGTTAGACTGGCGCAGATGCACGCCCAATAAGCTTTAGCGCGGGGAACCTTCCAAAAGTTCTTCCTTGGATGGTTCAGTGGCACGAGGTATACGATTTGAATACTAATAGTGCAAACAAGGAAAAGTTAAGATGGGCCGGACTAGAGCTGCTTTGCTACTTTCTGCATGACTGCTCTCGGTTATTTCTCAGTTATTTCTCATGGACTAGCAAAGAGGTTCGGTTTTTTTGCGTGCTCTTTGCCCTGAGGCTACCGTCCTGTTGTTCTAGTTCTTTAACGCTTGGCTTGAATTGCCCGCCTTGTAACTATCAGGTTCCTTAGCCAGAGTTGTGTAAACCTCTCCCGATCTGTATTAATGGCTATGCTTTACTTATCACTTCGTCACATATATCAACCGATTAAGTATGAATTATATACAGAACCTGTCGTCTTAAACGAATGATCTATTAAAAATATACAACATAAATCGCTTCACAACGAATACAGCTTCACCTAAGAAGGGCCCATCCAATCTAATTTCACATCCCATTCGTCCACATCAATCAAGAGCTGGCATTAAGCTCACTGAGAATCTCATCAGCAGCCTTCTCGGCAACCATGTAGGTAGACACAGCCGTGAAAGTACCCGGAATCTTGGGGTAAACGGAAGCATCAACGACACGGAGACCGGAGACACCACGGACACGGAATTTGGAGTCCAACACAGCCATAGGGTCATCATCAGCACCAATAGGGCAAGTGCAAGAGGCATGGTGACCCCAAGCGCCATCCTTGACGTATTGCTCAATATCCTCCTTGGATTGGACGTCGGCACCGGGAAGAACTTCCGTGATGTTGACGAGCTGGCGCTTGAATGCGTCACGGGCGAGCTCGACGGCGTCGTAGAGAGCAGTGAGATCGGCCGCGTAGTCGCCGACGCCGGTATCGAAGTAGTTGAAGGTGATCTTGGGCATGTCCAGGGGATCGGCGGACTGCAGGGCAACAGTGCCGGCAGTGTTGCGCGGGTGAGCTTTGAGGATGGCCCAGGTGAACCAGTTGTGTTCGTCTGTGGCGTTAATGCTGTAGTCGGGGAAGTAGCCGCGGAAGTTGACGGGTCCTCCGAAGCAGAAGATGTCAAAGTTATCGTCGGTTGTGGTACTCTTGTAGAGCATGGTGGCGGCGAGACCGGGGGATGAGTAGATACCGCGGTCACCGAGAATGGGAGTCTCCCAGCGGTTGATGCAAGGGTCTTCCTGGTCGCGAATGCTGAAGGTGCATTTGTCTAGGCAGGAGAAGTCCTCCTCGATCTTGCCCTGCACTGAGATCTCGTAGTGGTCCTGAAGGTTGGTGCCGACACCGGGGAGATCCTTGATGACTTTGATACCAAACTTCTTGAGCTCATCGGCGGGACCGATACCACTCAATTTGAGGATCTGGGGAGAGTTGTACACTCCACCGGCAACAATAACCTCACGAGAAGCACTGGCGGAACCGGGGATACCGGCGAGAGCCGACTTCGACATCGGGCTGGCCCTGTAGAGGTGCTCGCCATCGAGGAACTCGACACCGGTGGCACGGGGCGGGGTGCTCTCATCGAAGGTCACCTTGGTGACGTGGGTGTTCATGCGGACATCTAGAGGGTACTTTTTGGAGCCATCGTCATTTTTGGCATCCCGAACAGCGATAATGAATTCGCGGGGACCATTGCGGTGGGCATCATCAGTTGCGATAGGAATTTGATAGTAGCCAGGCTCGGTGTCACGGGTTTTAGCATCAGCATTGGCGTCGCCAGCCAACAGAGTGCCAATATTCATGATGTTATCGGTGAGGTTACCGAGGGCAAAAGCACCGCCGGTGAGCATGCTCAAGAGCTGGGGGTCCTCCAAGACAATGCTAAGGGGTGCCGTCTCGGTCGACAGCCAGCCCTCGTAGCCGTGACCCTTAGCTCCAGGAAGCAAGTAACCGTTCTTTTCCATCTTGGTGAAGTACTTGCGCATGTTGTCAGGTGCCCAAGAGCTATCGCCGGTAAGGGTCGAGATGAATTCGAAGTCAGACTGGTGGGGATAGACTGCAATCAAGGCGTTATGCGCAGTGCATCCACCGAGAGTACCCGTCCGAGGATAGAGGGTTCCCTTCATGGTCGAGTTCTCTGGAGGACTCAGGCCAGTGTATAACTCGCCATCAGGTGTTTCGTAGCTCGTTTTCCAATCGCGAGCCTGGCGCTCTTCATCTTCGTAGTGATGGACGAAGAAGTTCCAGGAAAGCTTCTCGTCCTCGGAGGCTCTGGCCGAGTAAGCAGGGATAGTATAATTGTAATTTTCACCCTGATCATCACCAGCCTCAAGAAGAAGGGTCTTGTGACCAGCCAAGGCGAGGCGGGCAGCCAGAGGACCACCACCAGCACCGGATCCAACAACGACATACTCATAGCCGGTGATGTTGACGGCCGTGGCCACGCCGGCCGTGGCGACCAGCAGGCCGAACAAATGGGAAAGAATCATAATAATAAAGAGTGACTATGGGTGAATTGCGATTTGCATGCAGGGATGCCATCACGGTTTTTATACTAAGTGCCTTTTTTCCCCTGAGAATGGATAACTCGTATGCATTGTGCGTTTTCTCAAAAGCCGTTGAAGAAATGCCGCGGCCTCAACTAGCTCGTGGAGATCTACAGTAATTGTACCCACAAACAGCTTGAGACACCTGAGCCTAGTATGTTTACGGTGGAAATTCCCGAACGATCTTCACAACTTTACATTCGGACTCCGCAGCGTTTACCTGCCACCCCTGCTGATCGCGAAGGGCTCCACATATTTCGGGGGTTTCTCCTTTTAGCACAATTTTCCTTCATTTTGCCAAGCCCTGTGGAGATTTCAGGGGGTTCATTATCATTGCCGTTACAGAGTCCGGAGGCTCATTGAATACACCGTTTTTCTATATCACATGCCCCTCCATGCTCTATTGTATCTAGTGATCTCAGAATTTTGAGCCCTGTCATGGAGTTTATACATTTAGGTTTATAGGTAGCTATTTAAGTGGAACTCCTATCAGTCTGTCCTTGCAACGGTTTGACAGGTTTGGCAGTGGGATACGTTTCGCTCTCGATCCAGGTTCACTAAGTGGATACAAAATCACTAAGGCAGGCCCCGGTTCTTGACTTAGTATCGGTCTCTTTGCGTTCCTTGATTTTCTCTTCTCTTCATTGGCAGAGAATCTTCCTTGCAAAACCGTCGCTTAGGAAAATGCCTCGGTCTCTTTTCTTATTCTCGTTTGTTTTACAAATAGCTTTTCTACCTGACTTAGAGCTTAGTGAATAGTACGGTGGATACGGTCTAAGCATAATTATTGCACCGAGAAAGAGCTAGAAAGCAACAAGCTATGTTGGCACTCTATTTCAATCGACTGTAGTTTAGGTTGGGTTAACCCTCACCCCGGGTGTGAGCATTCTCGCTGTTCGATAAAGCAAAAAAAAGCAGAAATAAGAATGCAAAAAAAAAAAAAAAAAAACATACAACAGTAAGGATTCGCTAGTGGTCACCCACCTAACTACTAACTTACCGGCGTGTGGCTTAAGTACGGCTGAGCGGACGGGAAGCCCTGTTCTCCACACCCTGTGGTCGTATGTACTAGATTGTGCATTTAGACAAACCACATAGGGTCAAAGCGTTTCAAGAGTGAGTTGCAACCTATGTAGATGGATATAGACAGGGTCAGAATCAGGGTGAGATTAGGGCGAGAATCACCCGAGTTGGGCGACCTCCGCACTAGCCCTTTCGGCTAAGCTATTATATAATATCATTGGATAACGTTAGTTGCTATCATCTGAAGCACGAATACTTGAAGCGAAGCATATGCACACAGCCACTATATAATATAAAGATTAGGTTATGATCGCCTTAAACCACATCGTTGTCTACTACACCCGGTGGCGATCTTAGTACACGTTGAGGATGCCTACAATTTGAGCATATACAGCTAAGGTCGATTGGTTCTTCTACTTTGCGGCATATTTATTCGATCAGCGTGGCGCTGAAGGATTGAAGTAAATTTAAGAAATGACTGGTTCCTCCACCTAAAAATAGGCACTATGTAGGCAGTCACCTGACTTATCCAGGTATGAATTGAAGGCGCCTCGGGGTGATATTTCTTTGAGCCTTTCCGTCAAGGAATTGATTTGTAGACCACATGGCTGGCGGTCGCAGGACGTATTTTTAGCCTTCTAACTCCTGTCACTTACGTGCTTTGCTTGGTAGCAACCGTTGAAGGGCACGGGTGGCTATACTAATTGAGTTCTGTTGAAAGCCATTTCCTTTTTACCGCTTATATTTGGAGCAGCTTATATTTGGAGCGACATTCTTAATCCCAATTTGAAATGTCCATTGAGAGATACAAGCCAAGGTCACGTTAGAGAATAGTGATGTTGAGTCGGTTTAAGGAACATTGACTGACGATCAAACCCTCCACAGTCCACGACCCTACGTTGAATTCAGTCACTTTAACTCGCCACAAGTGCCTACGATTTCATCATGTGACAGCACACAGATTACAGATAACCTTTTCGTTCATTTCCTTTGCGAATCATTCTCATCCTCAAATCTCCCTCCTCCCGATACGTCGATTTTGGTTAACACTTGGGGTTCCTTGCCGAGGGGTTTCAACGAAAGCCAAAGGGGAGTCGACCAGGGGACTGACATCCATATGGGAAGAAATACGAAGATACAAGCCTAAATCGTAGCCCCTTTCTTACTATCATATTAATCCTTTTACCTTCGTGCGTCAGAACTTTTGGTTCTAAGATTAAAAGGGTGCTTAAAATCCGTTTTAACAGATTGAGCAACTACGATATAACAGCAGAACTAGAAAAACGAATATAAATCTGGGATCGGCTCTTATTAGCATTTATAGTTTCTGATGTGTAGGCACGGGTGGCTTCCGTGTCATACCAAAGCGCGTAGGTTATTGTAGCAGGTGCCACCTGGTTCGGCTCTTGCAGTATGAACTTATGGGTAGGCCAGCGAGAGCCTAGCGAACCAAATCCCTAAGAAGTACGGACATAAATATAATTTATGATTAAACGAAAGAGTTACTAGTGTGATAGTGCTGTTGGCCGCAAGGAAAGTCTACATATAGCTTAGTTTAGAATTATATAAGCATGTTCAACTCTAAGCATTCGGGCAATTTAAGTGCCTTCCGGTGTCTAAAAGCAAGACTTAGCTCTTCAGGTTACTGTATAATATCTGTTTACGTGTTCCTGCTAACTAGCAGAAAAATACCGTCGTAGTGCATATTGGATGCGAAAAGAAATGCCACGTATTGGCCGCGAAAACGAATAAATTGCTAGATTTTGATTTAAGAATAGCCACTGGATGAGGGAGAACCATCAGTAGGACGACTTTTTGCCATGCGAAAAAATTGTAGAGCAACAATCCTCCAAGGTGATGCTCAAATTTATTTGTCCCAAAAATATTTTGGACAGAACACCGGCGGTAATCAAAACACCCGAACCAAATTCATTTTCTAGAGTATAGGAATTCACCAGAAGCGGAGCAATGAGAATTGAATTTGGCACTAATTATTTATGCCCCCTTCGCCAGGTGGAAAGGGCCCTTATTGGTATTCGGCTGGGCAAATTGAAGCAACTCAGCTAGTCAGCCAGCCACTAGCACGTCCTTGTGGTTCGGGGGTCTCCGGTCCTGCATTACTTGAATAGGCAATTGTTTGTTAGACAGATCGTATTTTCGTATATTTATCTATCATGGAACTGGGTAAAGAGGAACAAGAGGAATAACTTAGACCACTAGCTAGAAGTGCAAATAGACAAGTACAAACACGAGGAGATCAAAATGCGGCATATTGAAATATCTCAGTGTAAGACACGTGACGATGAGAGGGGCAACAGACTGAGCTCTCTAGGAAAATTGCTGGTCGGAACGAGTCAGTATCAACGCGGGCTGAGGTTCTAGATCCGATCTTACAGCATTTACAGCTTCAGGCTGGCTGAGGAACACCAGGTGGGGAGATTCAAGAAAAGGCCGTGCTTTTCACTGCCTCCGACTTCAAAAGGACTTCGCTCCTGTCCGATTTACCAAAATGGGCGCCGTTCGGGGGATTCCCCTAGAGCTGAAGGTAGCTCAATTGGTAGTTGCTGTAGTCATCTTTCATTTCAGTTAGTTAAACGTATCTACTGGCCAATGGAGGGCGATAGAAGCGTGCCTTGACCGTCCGGCGCGTCCAGGTGAACTGTCAATCGAGGTGCAGGAGAGATGCAGTAGGGCCTGGGCGCTTAATTAGTTCATATGCACGTCAGACTCAGGTGATTCGCACTCAGTAGAAAAGAATTAATCCAAGTCATTTGGAGTAATCTAACAGAGAACCTTGCTTGAATAGTTCATTATAATCTCGAACAACCTTTCCCCAGCGAATCCTACAGTAAATTAGCAAGCTGAATCACCACTTATAACCAATTCCGCTTTTGAGCCCTGAGCGTTGACAAGCCTGAAATCCCCACATAGCCTTCTAATATTTCAGTCCATAGAAGCTCATCGGCTATCAATACCTATTCTAACCCAGCTACATAGACCTCTGGCCTCTCATGCATAGTCCCCAAGTCTCTGCCAGTTATTTTTATTGCACCTGCATGGTCAGTTCGTCCCTTTCTCGTTTGCCTGACAGTTACAACGCCGGCAGAGCTAACTAACTAGTCACCAGTCACTTTTACTCGCTTATTCTCTGTGGTGCATTATTTTCGAGTTTGCTTACCTTGTTTTCCTTTTTTCTAGGTGGCGAGGTGTCTATAAATGAGGGGCCCAGCAAGGCGCTATTTTCAATTACTGTCCGACTTCTGGGATCTCCTTCCTTTTCTCAACCACTGCCTAGTAAACTTGTACCTCTCAAAGGATCCGCAAATATGAAAGCCGTCATCTACACTGGCGACAGCAAGATCGCAGTCGAAGATCGCCCAAGACCAGTCATTTCGGAACCCACCGACGCTATCGTCAAGGTTCTTCATACCACCATATGCGGGACAGACCTGCATATTCTTCAAGGCCACGTCCCGTCATGTACTCCAGGCCGCATCCTCGGCCATGAAGGAGTCGGCTACGTAGAATCTCTCGGAGCAGCTGTTACGAACTTCACCGTCGGTCAAAAGGTGCTCATCTCCTGCATCACCAGCTGCGGGACCTGTCATTACTGCCGCAGGAAGATGCCGTCTCAATGCGAGTCCGGTGGTTGGATTCTCGGAAATAGGATTGACGGCACCCAGGCCGAGTACGTCCGCATTCCTCATGCCCCGTTTTCGCTGCATGCGTTGCCGGAGAGCATCGACCAGAAAGTCGCGGTTACTCTGTCTGATACTGTTCCGACTTCTTATGAATGTGGGATCCTGAATGGTGACATTCAACCCGGATCTACCGTCGCGATCATTGGGACAGGCCCGATTGGGTTGATGATCCTCCAGATGGCGAGGAATCTGTTCGGTCCATCGATGACGGTGGTAGTGGGGAGGGGCAGTCCCAGACTCGAGACGGCCAAGTCCATGGGCGCTGATCATACATTCAGTGTCCTCGATGGACTGGATGCTGTGATGTCTTCAGCTCTAGCGGTGACCAAGGAGCGAGGCTTCGATGTGGTTATTGAAGCAGTGGGGACGGTTGAGTCTTTCGAGATCGCGCAAGCTCTGGTAGGCGCTGGGGGGACCATAGCCAGTCTGGGTGTCTTCGGCGAGTCGTGCGAGCTGCATTTGGAAAAGCTGTGGAATCGCAATATATGTATAATTCTCATATACCTCTTCCTGTGCTGGTCATTCATTACTGACCCTTTCTCGCCAGGTTTGAGGACTCGGCTTATTGACGCTGTTAGTACTCCCGATCTACTTAAGATGGTTGAGGCCGGTGGCATCGATCCTCATTTTCTGGTCTCGCACAGTGCGTCTCGTTAACCTCATTACCCTTGACCATGCTAATTATTGTGCAGGTTTTGCGTTTGATGATATTCACAATGCCTACGAAGCATTCGAGGCATCCTCCAAGCATGGCGCCCTAAAGGTGGTAGTCACCATGCCTGAGCTTAATATGAATGGTTTTTCATAGTTGTCCTATTATGTTCATTGCCTTTATGGCAGATTGTGGCCGTAATTATGTGTGTGTCCCTGAAGGGTTTGCCGAGTAGATGTTATTGCTCTTATTCAACTTCTGTATCCATTCTGTGTTCTGTATCAACCCCGAAGACTACTACTTCGTCGCCCGGACAAGAGAATCCCTAGCTCATAACCCATCACTTGGGCGAGAATATTTTGATATGGTCTGCGTTTCTTCTAAGTTCAACAACCTGGCACTCTACTCTTGACTTGCTCGAAACATCGAGCCCTGCCGTCAGCAGGAAATGCTTGTAATCATCCACCCCATCATCGTGATTGCCAAGAGCATGTTTAATGTCGTCTTCGTATCTTCCATGATAGATTGCATTTAAGAATAACATAACGAAATACTTATGAAGCTAAAGATGCAAATACTTAGTAGGGCTAGAATTACAACGATATACTTTCTACCACGAGCACATCGGTAACTTATCCGAAATCAGGGAAAATATTGGGTGCATATGGGCGGGGAGTATGACAGTCATCTGATTCTACCCTATGTGTAACCATTCTCATGACCAATTTTAGACTTAAACCAGGCAGATCAGCAATTTTATTGAGGATTTCACAAAGAGCAGACATTATGGAGGCGTAATAGATAGTGGTACATTGTGGAGGAAGTAGGTATATCAATCAAGATCTGTATATGCAGGCTCAAAAGAGGAAAGACAGAGCCATCGTAAATCAAGGGCATATGAGAAGGGCTCTGCCACTTCCCGTGCCAGTTTGAAAATTACGGGCTGCAAGCTTTAACGAAGGACCTCTGGCCCTCACTTTCCGACTTCACTGCCATCCAATTCGTGATAAACTGGCTGGATCTGTGTTCCGTCGCCATCTAATTCCATCCCATTCTCATCAACACTCTGCTCATGGTTCCCATTCCCACCACTGCCACTACTCTGGCCATAATTACTGTCGCTAACACTGTTCAGGATGGCTTCCGGAGACCAGAATCTTGTCTGCAGTCCAGAATCGTCTGACGACTCCGGAGGAGGAGGAGGAGCGTTGTGCACCGGGCCGGAAAGGACAGATACATCTGTCTCTGGCGGAGTCGCTTTGTATGCCGTCTTTTGGCGCTGACGGCGGATGAAAAAGAACAAGACCGCCGCGAGAATGGCAACTCCAACCAGTGCCGCAATCGCGATACCAGCCACTGCGCCGTTACTCAGGGACGAAGAGTCGTCTGAACTACCTCCAGCGGACGGGCATGCATTTCCCGAGCAAACGGAGTCAGAATCTTTGGAACTGATAGTGACGATGTGCTCCTCCGCGGTTTCATCCCAAGCGCATGCCGATACATTGAAGATGCCTCGCTCGTAATCGGCTGAGAGATACCTGAAGAAGTCAATGTATGTTGGGGTATTGGAGCGTTATGTACCTACGCTTCTTGCAAGAAAGCTCGACCCAAAGTATACTGAGTCGAGTTGGCTGCGCGTTTCAGCGGGAAATAGTAGCTGCTGTTGTCGACTAGCGGAGCTTGTGCAGTCAGAGCAAAAGCATCATACGGAAGGGTGATCGTCACGGCATCTCCGCCGGAAGCCACATCGGAAAGTCGAAATGTGACCTGCGCGTTTGAGTTGAGTAATTCGGTGTTGTGAGTATCATTTACTAAGTATAGACCACTCTCATTATCGAGCGTAAGCCCGAAGGCCTGTTCGAATGCGTCACAGACACCTTCCGGAAGCCAAAAGTTGGGGTCGGTCGAGTCAATGAATATTAAAATTGGATCAGATAGTAATATGGCTGAACTTGATCCACTATAGCTGATGGACTGAAGATAAACAACTAGGTCACGGGTAACGTCATCGGCCATGGAGAATGATACTGAGTTCGCAGTAAATCGAGATGTATCATATCCGGAGAAGATGAGTTGAGCATAGACATGTTTTAAGCCTAGGTCAAAATGGCAGCTTAGAGACAAATTCTGCTGCGCATGTGCCCATGGGACCGGAATACTTACGATACTTGGCACCAGCCGTATAGCTCCAGCTGAGACTCGGAATGATGCCTTCATCTTTGAGGGTAGTAAAGTATGAGGGCGAAGAGAAATTTCCCAGAGAGGTAAAGTTGACGGGTTGCGGATTCAGGCCGAATATTCCACTGTTGGTGCTCGGATCAGTGAACCATAGAGTAGAGGGATAGAGTTCGTCTTTACAGATAAAAAGGTTCAGGAGTTGCAATCCCGGCGACAGTCTGATTTCCAAGCGTCGGACCAGTGAGGCCAATACTCAGAGTATCTAGACCAAAGTCTGCTCTTTGGGAGTATCCAAGGTTGGCCTCGAGACCAACCCCATTCTGGTTAATACCGAAAAGACCCAACTCGTCCCAGCTAGAGGACTGGTTCGCATTGAACAAGGTTCCTCTGGAAACTGCACAGTCTGATGGCGCGTTGGAAAACACTGAATTAGAGCAACCGTAGTCTGACAACACAACCATTGACTCCGGGGAAGCCGTAGAGACAAGCACTCGAACGGACTGCTCTGGGGTCCCCACACGAAGATAAAAGCTGCTCCAGGGTCCATCATTCCCCTCACTTGTAATATTAGCAGATGGTACGCAACCCAGGACAATTCGGTGGAAATACAAATATTGGCTGGGTGAAATAACGAGGGCAGATGTGTCAGTCGCCAAACATCTTAGCATCCAAGAAATCATTAAAATTAACTCTAGCATAATTTTCGAATGCATCTTGACGAGCTGAGAAATCGCATCTCAGGTGTGTCTGCAGGGTACAGCAATACAAAAATAATTCCCATGTGGCTGGTGTGACGACAGGAACCTGCAGCAGTCATAGTCTAGGCCATTAGGTTTGAACTGCCATGTCACTGCTGAATTTAAGATCTCCGAACCAATTGATTCATACAGATCGGCAGTGTCGGGACTCAGGGGCAACGGGCGACTCTGACAGGTCGAAGCCCTCGCACGGCCGGGGTCACAAAACCGGCTGACCGTCGGCCAAAAACCTGCTCCACGTTGAAATCAGGAACCAGCGACCTTGTTTAGCTTCTTTTAGCCTCGTTTTCGGATGTGATGTAAAGTTCGACGGTCTTACCAAAAAAATCATTGCCCTTCCTGGCTAGTAAACATGCCTCTCCTTGCCATTCTAAGTTAATACGCCCAGCGTGTTAGGCACAATGACCGCATGAAGAGGCAATAGCTCGTTGACACGAGATGTTTAGTGTTGGTTTTGTAGGATCATTGTTTACCGCTATTTTTACCTTTATTTTGTTCTTTTATTTTAGAGGTGCCTGTTCCTTGCTTTCTTGTTTATCGCTCGGCATATATACCGCGTATCTACAAGGTGTCATACTAGGCCGTGTACTTGCGATGAAATCCGTCGCCATGCTGTCTACCATGCAATGGGTAGCTCTCGTGCTACTTGTCTCCCGGACAGACGCCTCTCAGCTCTCTGGTGAGTAATTGGCAAACAATAGGGTGCTTTTCGGGCGCTGACATGGTGAAGCTATTCACACTCCACATTCTCCAATGTATGATCCATCAAGCAGTAGTACCACGACATGTACATCTGAGCAGATTAATCACTGGCCCACTTCATCCATCAAATCTAGTGATACCACCATCGACACCACTACTGCGGTTCAGGTGCCACCGCCGATGAACACTTCAACTATATCGACAACATCAACAGCATGCTTAAATAGCACTATCACCACTACCATCATAGTTTCAACGGCTGAAACACACTGGTCGACGACCGCATCCACTACCACTACTACGGTAATGAATACAACTACCGACATTATCAAAGATACTATCACGGATACCACTACGGAAACAACTACGGAAACAACTACCGATACTACAACAGCAACGAGTACAATTACCGTGCCCACGACCATTACAGAAGCTCCAAATCCCTGTCCGACAACTTGCAGCATGTACGTCCTTAATAGTTACAGAATAGAAATAGCATCGGAAAGCTTTACTAACTCTACGTAGGTCCGTGGGAACCGTCAACTTGGTCTACTGGCCAACGAACCAACCACACCACGTTTACCCATCGACTTACATCAATTCGCATCTCGATTACACATTGTGAGAACTTCCTCCTGGAACTACCTCTGCTGTTGGGCTAACCTTCATCACCACACACAGTACCTCACCGTCAGTGTACATGATCGTCGACTACCTCTATGGCTACAACACCGCTGGTCGGACCGGGCCCTCTGGCACCAGCGTAGTGTTTCCCCTTGACCTGGATCAAGTCTCGACCATAGATCTCACCAACTCAGCGACACGCCAGCTTACCCTGAACGACCTCGGTACAGACTGCCCACAAACCGAAGCTCCCTCGGTGATCGCAACGGCAGCGCCTAACAGCCGATGTGATCCTATTCTTGTGGCTCCGGAGCCCGTCAAATCATGGGCTTCGCCTTGCAACGCATGCGGTAACTTTGGGATGTTCGACCCCCCGTATGCAGTGGCTCCGCTCACTGGGGATCTGGTACCGGTGACAACGACTGTTGCGCCCCAGTCGGAAACACAGACTATCCCCGGTATAAGTTCTGTCACTGAAACTACTGCTACACCGGTAAGCTCTACAAAGGTGGCGGATACTACGGAGTCCACTTCACCAAGTGAGGAGGCTACTTCTCCTGTTGTAGAAACGACTTCTCCTCAGACTGAGATTACTCCTTCCCATGTGATCCCAAATCTGGCGCCATCTAGCACTGGCCAGACTGGTGCTGCATCATCATCCTTCAGTTCAGTCTCCAGTCCAGCTACTACTTCCCCGGTGTTCAATTCTGCAACCAAAGAAAGTTGTCGTGGTACATGGCTGGGTTTGAGTTTGTTCGCGTTGGCATTTTTGCTGTAAATTATATACCAGCAGACAATAGGGGTAATAAATGTATACACAGTGCTACTGATGAAGTGTTAGACCGATGTGGTTAAGTCATTTATGTAGTGAAAAGAGACTAACGCTGAAGGTCTGTTTCAGCTACAATAAGACCTTTCCGGTGGTTACTGTCCCAGTGCAGATTGTAAATCTTCGAGCAGACTTATCCAATTTTCCTGGCACCAGTTGATCCTGGGGACTAGGAACGTGTGTTCCTGGTGCTACTAGAGAATATGAGCGCCTACTCTCTTCTAGCCAATCTCACCAGCAACGCAACTCTCGCTCCCGGAGCTTATGTTACCCAATTTTGGAAGGTGTTAGTTTTCTGTGGTGCAATGGCTGGTGTGAGATTCGGATTAACTACGTATGGAAGTGATTTGCGCCTGGGAACGACTCCGCGTGGAAAATATATCCGTACGGAGTTGGTTTGCGTTTGAAAGCGACTCCGTGCGAAAAATATCTGCGGTCGGAAATCAGAAACACAAAGTCTAACATAGACTAGACTAGGCTAAAGCCAGATAAAACCCAAGACGTCTGCATCTGCCACGGTAGTGAGCCAATATCAAAAAGCTACGATAACATCATTCTTAGGTGCCCTGAATCTCCTGCGATCAGACATAATATACGAAGGGGTATGACTTCCCGAATATCTTATGATGTCTAGTCTGCCTCGGCGTAGTAAAGCATGCTTATCGTAGATCATAGACACTGCAGCGATGCCCCGGTATAGAGCATGTCGCATGATAGGCTATGCTTTAGGGGCCCTCTCCAAAGTGGTATTGCGACCGACTGGATGGCGCGGATGGCACGGATAACTATGGCCTATCTCCACGGTCTCACAAATTGTGGGACGCCTAGGGGCGCTTACAGCTAAAGCAGAATTCCCCGGCAAAACGCTATTTCTCTCCCGGAAGTCAAGTTCACAGCACTGGAGGACTCCTAGACTCTAGGTGTGTACTTGATGCAAGCTCTATGGCTCCCCTAATCCGTTGTGACTAGAAGTGCATTTATTGTAGATCCGTTGAGCTAGCCTTCCTAGTTAGAGAACCAGATGAAACTTTTCCTGACCACCGATCCGATCCCCTTGGAATGACGTCCAGCCCCTGTCCTAAGGAAAGCCTATCGGGTTTCGGGCAGAAACTCGAATCCTATTCCCGGTTATATTGATGGCCGTTATATACCATAATAGGAGTCCTGGCATACGTACTACCTGCCCTGTCTGATCGCATTTTTTCTAACCCTGCCACCTACCATCATGGGCGTTGCTTCGGATGCTCTCTACTTTGCTCTTCATCCGAATCAGCTAGGAGTGCTGGTTCAATGGTTGGTCTAGATCTACATCGAAAATGCCCCTCTCTTGAATGACTGCCGAATCTTACTGACCCCTGGGTTTATCAATCCTGTAGGAAACTACGACATGTTCCCATACACAAGAGAGACGAAACGCAAGAGTCAGCAACAGCCAAAATCTGCTTCGAATTCTTGGATCAGACAGGTCGCAGCTTCAGCCCCGTTGTCAAAGAGCTACACCCTGAGCTACTCTTGCCCGTATGCGTGTTTTACCTGGTACTGCGTGGCCTCGATACGATCGAAGATGATACATCAATCCCCCTCAATATTAAAGAGCCACTTCTTCGAAAATTCAAAGATCATCTAGACCAAGAGGGCTGGACATTTACCGGCAATCGCCTAGAAGAAAAGGACCGCGCGCTACTGGTGCAGTTCGACAATGTCATTACCGAGTTTAGGAAAATGAAACCAACTTACCAAGCAATTATCAAGGATGTCACCGACAAAATGGGGAATGGTATGGCTGATTTTGCGAGAAAGGAGGCTCTCGGGGATGTACGCGTGAATTCTGTGGAAGAGTATGACCTCTATTGCTGGCATGTAGCCGGGATCGTCGGCGAGGGTTTGACTCACCTCTTCGTCGAGGCCGAGATGTGCGAGAATACCCTGATCAAGGATACCCTGATCAGCCACTCACTGTATAGGTCAATGGGTCTCCTCTTACAAAAGAACAACATCATCCGCGATATTCGTGAAGATTTCGATGACGGTCGCCGGTTCTTGCCTAGAGAAATTTGGTCCAATCACGTCGACAATTTTGAAGCCCTGTTCGAACCCAAGTATCTTAGGAATGCGCTTAATTGCAGCTCCGAGATGGTTTTGAATGCTATGGAACATGCGTGTGACTGTTTGTCATATCTCGCGGGCTTGCGTGAGCAGAGCGTGTTCAATTTCTGCGCGATTCCTCAAACTATGGCTTTGGCTACGCTAGAGTTGTGTTTTCGCAATCCGGCGATTTTTAATCGAAACGTTAAAATCACTAAGGGGGATGCCTTGCAGTTGATGATTGAGTCTAGTCAGGACCTTGAGGGAGTGGTGAAGGTCTTTTGTCATTATGTTCGTCGAATTCAACGAAAGAACGATCCTGAGGATCCGAATTTCTTGAGAATTAGTATTGCATGTGAAGAGGTTGGTACTCCCATAACTAAAAGATTGTTGACGACAGCTAACTTGATAAGATCGAGAAATTTGCTGAGACTCTAGCCCCAGAGAGTGTTGAGCTTGCTGAAAAAAAGACCAAAGGGAAGGAGCATCAGGCTGGGTCTAATGCTGGACAAGTGATTGCCGCTTTGGCAGTTGCCTCAATCTTTGTATTGGGGGGTTCCTGGCTCATAGCTCATAGAAGTTCGCGTTGATGCTTGAGCTTCTACTAGATAGGCAGAAGCTTGGAGTACAAATAAACACTGGAGATAAATTTCTGAAAAATGTAGGTATATTCCATTTTGAATTATACTGCTGCCAGACTGCCTGAGCCCGATCCCGTCAGTCAATAACAAAATGTGAGTTGCTCCCCAGCTGCATATAGATATCATTTACACAATGACGCGTTACCTTTAAGGTTTCTTGCAAACGTAAATCGCTGAAACCTGTGCGTGACCTTAGCTAGTTATATTATTTCTCACAGATGTGTGGGGTTCTATCACCTTGGCCAGAAATGTCACCCCGTTCTCATCCATGTCACCCACACTCACCCTAAGACAGATTTCCCGGCCACTTTAGTGTCTAAGGCACCTGAGGATTGAGCGCGCAGGGGTTAAAAAAACAAAAACATACAACAGTAAGGATTCGCTAGTGGTCACCCACCTAACTACTAACTTACCGGCGTGTGGCTTAAGTACGGCTGAGCGGACGGGAAGCCCTGTTCTCCACACCCTGTGGTCGTATGTACTGGATATAGGATCAAAGGTAATGATATAGGGCTTAGACTGTACTTTTTGCTGTTCCATTGACGGATTTTCTCTAGCATCTTTTTCCCCAGTGAGTAGAACTAAGCGCCTCTAAGCACCATCACCTGGTATTTAGCTGAGCAGTCTGATCCTCGTCTGAGCGCCCTGAAGTGCTCACTGAGCATCACCTGAGAAACCAATGTTCGAATGTTATTTTGTTCAGTAGGTCTTATATTGTCCAACTGCTTTCCACCGCTGTACCTAAGGTGTATATTTATGAATTGTACCCACTGGGTCCCTCACCATCGTAGCTTGGGATCTTCCCGGATCAGTAGTTCGTACATGCGTACTAACATATGCCTAGTTTCTGGCTTTTCCAACTTTTCTCTCCCACTCGATCCCTTCCTCACCTAAATGTACTGACAATAATTCAAGGCTCTCCGCATCCATGACTGCAAGAAGAGTTCTTCGGATTCCTCATGTATCCAATCAACGCAGCCTTTCCGCCCTCCACGGTATTCGTTATCCTACTCAATGTCCTCATCTGCAATTGCTGTTAAACGTGCGGCATCGCGCTAGGCCTTCTTCGTGCGGTTGAATTCAACCATCCTTTCCTTATCAGCACTATTATTAATTGTTTTTTCTAAGAACCTTACCAATTGAGGACCTATTCCACGAATGTGTCGCTTATTTTGAGTGGAATTCCTGCGTTTTATGCTGTACAATTCCTACGTTGTCTTCCATATATTGAACACCGACTTCAGCAGGAGCGAGACCACCAGCCAATATCTAACACAAGGCTTATTGGATTCCTGAAGAAATTGTCGTATCGTTTACTATATGCTTTGTGACCTTCGTGGTTGCTTTTCGTATCCGGGTGAATGGAGACTCCCAAGTAAACCTAAGGTGCGACTCCGTAAAAATCCAAGACTGATGCTGGAAATCAGGCATAACATGGCAGTTACAGCTCCCTGATACCCGCCTTTAAGATTCTCGCGCGAATACGCGCGAGTTGTGTACTTGCGAATCCGGGGATGTGGGGAAGTGGGTCATCCCGAATACGTCTCCCTTGAGCCGTGGGGTGGCTTACCGTGCACATATCCCTGTCAATCTGTAGCTCTAGGCGATGCGTGCGGAACGACTTCCTTGCGTTTGTGGAGATCAACTCCTGATTCGACCGAGCTTCCCTACGACTTCTGTTTAAAGCCCCAGTCTCTTGGCCTTTTTCTCCAGGATTCGAGGCATTGCTTTCGATCTTACTTTTATCCAGTCAATAGCTCCTCAACATCAGCAGAATCTGTCACCATGGAGAAGTCGGAAACCGTGGACCAGGTTGAAGATGTGGCAAAACTTCCCATTGAGAATGCCGACGAGGTCACGATCACAAAATCAAAGGCCAACGCCAGTGGAACTGTGAAGCTCTTGGCTGGCAAAATTGTGTACATTCCGTCTCCAACTGCTGACCCCAGAGGTTTGTACCTTGAACCCGGAGTTTTCGAAGACAAGCGGAACTAACCTGAAATAAGACCCCCTGAACCGCAGCGCATGGCAAAAGGGAATGATTGTTATCGTCATTTCTATCTGTGAGTTTTCGTAACTTCGTCCTTTTGGGGCCAACCTGCTAACACATGTGTCCTCTCCAGTCGCAACCGTCGGTCTCTCTCTCGTATCCGGATTCGGTGGCATCATGAACTTCTACAGCGAACAGTACCTCGCCGAGGGCAAGACTCAAGAGGACCTGACCCATCTGACGAGCTACCCGGGCCTCACCATGTAAATCTCATCTGAGACAACTGGCCTCTTCTCTGTTGAAGTCGAGAATAAAAACTGACAAAGACCACCTGTTAGGGGTATCGGTAATCTTATTGGCATGCCGCTGGCCTACTCTATCGGTCGACGTCCTGTTCTTCTCGCTTCTACGGTCATCCTGGTTCTCACATCCGCGCTTTGTGCCACGGCGAAAACATACGAGTGGCACCTAGCTGTGCGCCTGGTCATGGGGCTTGCTGCCGGTCAGGCCGAGGCGTTGGTTCCAATGATCACTCAGGTATTTAATTGATCTGTGTCTGACTCTTGGCAATGGGCAGTTTACTAACCGCGACGACAATCTTCAGGAAATTTTCTTTTTGCATGAGCGAGGCACGTACCTTATGATCCAAAACTCATGTCAGTCGATCATTGCCGCCGTTTACATACTCTTTGCTGGTCCGATTGCTGGTGCTATCGGCGCTGGTTGGTGGTATGGTCTAGGAGCATGCCTTTCAGGACTAACGCTCATTCTCGCTTTCTTCTTTCTTCCGGAGACTAAGTATGCTCGTCCTCTGTCTTCGTTCCAAGAGGCAAGAGGGAGTGAAGGAGAGCCTGAGACCAAAGAAGATGTCGAGATTGAGGTGGTTACTGAGAAGCCTCCTCTGGACTATGAGCGTTATGCCCCGCGTACGTGGAGGTCTGACCTGAGTTTATGGAGTGGCGAACCTGAGTGGAGGAAGGGACTTGACATGCTCAAAGTAAGTTATGGCCTGTCGTGCATTCCCCAACCTTGCAGAAGCAAGTGACTGACTTACACCCACAAGGACACGTTTTTGCTTTTATGGTTCCCGAATATCTTCTGGGCCATGGTCCTCAACGGCTTCGTCCTCGGAGTCAACGTTGCCATTAGTGTTGTCTATAGTACAATTCTCACATCTCCGCCGTACAACTGGCCCAACTCATCACCCAGCTACGCTAATTGTGGACAAATCATCACCTCGATCGTTGCTGTCCCTGTCCTGGGATATGGCTCTGACAAGTTGATTGCCTGGCAGGCCAAGCGTCGTGGTGGTATCCACGAGCCCGAAGTCCGTCTTATCCCGTTGATTATACCGATCATCATAGGAACGTTCACCAGCGTCCTTTTTGGACAAGGCGGCTCTCATCCCGAGCACTACCACTGGTTCCTCTATGTGTGGACTATTGCAGCTTACTACTTCGCCTTCATCGCTGTCACCATTCAAACTATTACCTATCTGCTTGACTGTTATCCTCAGCGGTCTGGACCAATCCTGATTATCATTTGCGCCTTCCGCGGTATCATTGCCTTTGGTACCACCTACGCTATAACGCCCTTCGTGCTGGGTTCGGGCTTCGATTTGTCGTTTGGCATATATGGTGTCCTCACCTTCGGTATTGCTGCCATAGGAATTCCAGTCTATATCTGGGGTAAGCAGATTCGCCAATTCACAGGCCGCTGGGCTCAAGATCCAGACAAGCGTTCGTATTGATTGATCTACGGCCCATGGTTACTGTGACCTAATTTACTCGACATCATCAATATAAGCAAACGGGACGATACCACTCGGTGGGTGCTAAGAGGTGGAAATTGGATGAGAGTGCTTGGATGGATGGAAAGTTCTCAAGTACGCTACATCTAATAGTAATTGATGGCCAAAGGTCGCCGATGTTTGAAGCCTAGCTCATAATTCGAGATTGTCTTTCGCAACGATGGCATCGGACAAAACAAACTTTTCAATGCCATATTCAATATTGCCAATTGTTTCTCCTCCTTTTCTCATTAGGATTTGCGTAGGGCGGTCTGAGGTTGATTATTCACTTGATCTGTACGGAGTGAGGTCAAAGATTCTATGTTCGGGTTTGCGAGCTATACGGAACTCTTCCGCGGAGATAAGTTAGGTGGCATAGCACTAGTTTACCCTTCCGAATCGTTTCCGACCGACCGAGGCCTCGTACTGGAAGTATAAATTTTTCTGATGGTCACTAGGCAGGTAGGTAGGAGGACAGGTGAAAAGAGCAAAAGTTTAGGTGGCAATGGTTCTAACGAGTCTAATACTAGCCACATGATGGGAAAAGCGATCTGGTGGAGGATAACTTGCTGATGGAGCTAGACTATGAATGTGAGAATTGGGCACTCGCGCGAGTTCGCGCGAGTATCGGGCCCGGCGAAAGTCAAAAACTAGAACACTGGAGCTTGCGGAGATATCAGTCTGGGGTAGTCGTGATATTGCTCTCTGACTGGTTGTTTCAGGGTTAGGGCAGTTCTATGTCAAGCCAAGCCATAGGAAACGCCTAACCAATCAACACCTGATTATGTATTTCTGAACCTCCTGTCCTCAAATTCTCGAGCCACTCAAGCCGCCGTCCTGTCATGTAGGAAAGTGTAAGCTGAGAGAAAGTTTTCCAAATCCAACCCTTTACACCTACTTTTTACCGTCCTAGAACAAGCGGCGCCGCGTTTGGTTTCGTGAAGGTGCCTGAACACGAGCAAGTCGCCGATAAAGACAGCTAACTACACTGCAGCACGAACATCTATGGCAGAGATACGCGCCAGTCAGCGTGCCCCTTTGCGCTGTACAGAATGCGCCCGGCGCCGTGTCAGGTGTGATAAGAAAACCCCATGTGGCAGATGCATCGCCAACCGATGCGCCCACCGCTGCAGCCGCGAAGTTGTTCGGGTGAGAGGGAAACCGACAGTGTGAGCACCCCACACAACATCATTCGCTGCTAACTCCGCCGACTAATCCCGGGCGTCTAGTGCAACGCCGATTGAGGATGAGAATGCCTCGTTGGCCCGGCAGAACTCGAGGCTGCAGGAGCGGGTGGCGGAGCTCGAGCTCGCCCTGATGATGAGCTTGCGGGGTCGAGCTGGGGCTCGCCGACCGCTACCGACTAGTGATGCTTCTGTCAGCCAAGACAGGCGGACGCTGACTGACGGCCATCAAGTCACTCCCTTTGAGGAGGTCGGAGCCATCCTAGACGAGTGGAACTTTGGTCTGTTTAAACATGAGGAGTTGGGAGGATTGGGAAATCGGTCTTCGGAAAAGGACTTGCACTTCCTTGTTGACACGCTGAGGTCCGTCCCTGAGAAGACGACAAGCACCCGAATAGTCGAGTTCTCCTTGCAAATGTTGGGATGGATTCACTGTGCGCTCCGTGCAGACCGGTTCCTCGTCGAGCATGAAGCTTTCCAAAATGCGCTACTAGACGGCACGCTTGAGGTTCTTCAGGACCACAAGTGGATGGCTATCTACTTTAGTGTTCTGGCAGTTCGTCCAGCCGATAAGTGATACAATGCGCGAGCCTCTTACTGACATATTTTTTCTGTAGGTGGGCCTTTTCTTCATGGGCGAGGAGGACACGTTGTCGCTGAATCTGCCCTCGGTCGAGCAGAGCCCGTATCCGTTCTCAGTATGTCATCATTGGTATCATGCGGCCCTCCAGCAGCTGGAATATTCGGACGCCATGGGCAAACCGCAGCTGCATGTGGTGCAGGTTGCTGCCATTCTGACGCTCTGTCATCCTCACTTTGGGCAAAGATACCGGGACATCAACTTATCGAGTCTTGCTCAGAATACTGCCCGTGCATTGCAGATGCATCGCCTCGGTTCTGAATCCTCATACCCTGAAAGCTTGAAGTGTATCCCAGCCTGGTCGGAAGTGACGGACAGGGAGCTTGGGCGTCGGCTGTGGTGGACTCTGGTCATATGCGATTGGTAAGGCTGCTCTCACGAGGCACCAGAGAGCGGCACACGTTAACAGACATGTCTCCAGGCTAGCTGGTCCCCGAGTTCCACCTTCTATTCTGGGTGATTCCTTTGACTGCGTCCTATCGAAAGGGCGCTTTGACTACAACGTCATTCTCGAAGGATCTCCCTTATCCGACGGCGTGGAGGTATTCTCTCCTCTCCTTCACCACATAGAGCTTGCAAAGCTTTCGCAGGCGGTCCATGAATTTATTCAAACTCCAAAGGGGACCCCCGCAACGCTATGTGAATTTTTGAACAGACTAGATGAGTTAGAAAATGACTTCGTGTCTAAGGCCGATCGTCTGTTGGCGAGCTTCAGTGAAGGTGTCAACCAAGGCCGGCATATTCCGGCGTGGCTTTTAGGGCAGCGGTCTCATTATCTGTGCACGATAAATTTCCTTCGATTGATATTTTGACGGGTTTTGTTGCAGCAAAGCTTTTCCAAGCTGTCAGCTTGGTCCGAGATACGTAATCACGGGATGCAAGCGGCCCTGGCGATTGTTCATATGGACAATGTACCGTCTACATACCAGCTGCTGTGGTAGGCAAATTCGTCCTCCTCAACTCTAGATACTGGTAGCCTTTGTATTAATAACGTTCTTTTCCAGGGTTTTTGGATCTTCCACGATCGCCGCTGGGGTATTTCTTTGCCTGGATCTTCTTACCTCCCCTGAAGACAAAACAGAAGCCCAGGTGCAGGATCAGAGAGACTCTGTGAAGGTTTGCATCCTTACTCTTCAGAAATACGGTTACAAGACCACCATTTGCCGAGAGGGTACCCAAACACTTCGGCGACTCTTGGACTTGGAGCTGGCTCAACAAGGTAGGCCTGTCGACCAAGGCGGCTTGACACAGATAATCAAGAGCATGGCTCGTCTACCTGAGCAAGAGTCGCGAGAGCATACGGTAGATGGACATGGTCAGTGGTCGTGGCCAGCTCTAATGGTGGACCAAGCTGGTAGCCTCGTCGGCGACGATATGAATCCCCTTCCAACAATTGCATCGTCTTCTGTTCCGGGAATGGTCGGTGGAGTTGATCAGCCAGATGCGTACTGGCTAATGGACAACATCATTTTTTCGGGATATTAGAGTCCCGAGTATAGCCACGCCAGTAATGTAGACAACTGAGCTCGTGGGTTGGCAGCCTTGTGATGTGCTGCGGTGAATCTTTTCCTGCACACGATCAGGCCTCACATGCCGCTCTCTTTCTCCATACATCTGCTTCCACACGCCTTGGCTTCGCTTTTCCCTTCTATGAAGTCATCGTTGGACTGGCCTAGACTGTAGGACAGAAACGGAGTATTCTTGTTAAAAAAAAAAATCTTTAATTGCTAGAATGAATATTAACCTAGTCATGGTAAACAGAGCAGCTCGACTTTAATTCAGACCACGGGAAGGATGATGCGACTGGGGTACTGCCCACCAAAATGAACAATATGGTTCCCTACATTTTCCTCTCCTGGAATTGGCTTGGGCTGCTCGAGGGCTGCATAATCCTTGAAGAGGGGGTATTGCCCTTGTATTTCGACACTAATACCTTCTCCCGCCTCGTATTCAATACCCATAGCCCACAAACCAATCTCAAGCTCGACGACCTCGCCTTTGCTGAGTTTCTCCTCTCGGTCATGAGTGTGGAATGGGTATTGGGGATGTATGCTCATGCTCGGGTCGATATGGCGACGGGACGCCCTGAGGATGCCAAGTGGGCCGAAATAGAACAAGAGGTTGTGATGATCTTTGCGGTCTAGCTCGTCAAATGACTTGATCGGCGCATGGCTCCAGGGGATATTCAAATTGAGCAAGGGCTTTCCGTTGCGGTCCAGTTTCCGAATGAGAACGTAGATGTTCATATCATCCGAGTCATTGGTAGACAGGTAAAGGACAGCCTTGGGCATGCCAGCCAGCCTCGTTTTTTCAGAGAAAGTGTGTGTAAACGAGACTTTCTCGAAGCCGTTGTTCCTGACCTCCGAGAAATAGGATACAGTGTTTCTTTCCTTAGGCGCCTCCAAGGAAAGTTTCTGGTCAGTGCTTAGGAAGAACTCGGTATACTGTGTCCACGGGATCGGGTAGTCTTCCTCCACAATAGGGTAAATCGGGTCATTATCCCCGAATCTGAGCAGGGCCAGACGAACCCGAGGAACCTTTTCAAATCCATTGTCCTTGCCGTTGAGGAACTTGTCGAAGAAATCCGCAAGCTCATCTCGAGACTCCTTGACGGTCCACAAGTCGAACCACTCCTGATAGGGGTCCCATCTGAGCCACTTGTCCGTCGTGTCCACGTCTAACCAACCGCGGATTGAGCCCATCGTGTGAACGAATGTAGAGTAAGATGCCACAATGTAGGTTGGTATATTGACATTCTTGATATCGGCACGCTTGTCCTTCCAGTAGTTGTTTTGGAGAGGACTGCGCCGGTACATTTCGGCGAAATGTTCAAGTCCACCATTCCCCTTGATGACATGTGCAGTGATGGTATCGAACAGAGCACTATCCCAGACACCTCCCCGAGCGAATTGTTCTCGGTATAGATCTCCGGCAGCTTCCCAGGGAGCAATCGCCTTCAGAGAAGGGGGCCTCAAGGCGGCAATGAACCACTGAACAATGCCAAGGTGGGAATTACCAGCAAGACCAACGTTGCCAGAACACCAGGGCAGCTTTGCAATCCCTTCAATCACATCGTATCCGTCTTCTCCTTCCTGAGTCCCCATGATCACAACTGACCCCTCAGAGTCGCCAACTCCGCGGGCATCGACATTGACAACTGCGAAGCCTCGAGAGACGTATTCAGCCGGGTCAGGACCTTCAAAGCGCTCCAAACCACTCGTCGTATCCGGAGGAATTCCAATACCCCAGGGAAGCGTTTTCATCACATGAATGCCGTTGAGTTTCTTGCCAAAGGGACTCCACGCTACGATTGCAGACACCTTCTCGTCAGGGCCGGAAGGTACGGGCCGGTAGACGTCGCAATAGAGGGTGCAACCGTCACGAACTTTGATGCCGACGTCGTGGTCAACAATGATGTCGCACGGCAAAGGGCGGGCGTTGTGGCCGTTCCAACCCTTGTGAAGGACCTCGGAATGGGGGTTGAAACCCTGGTAGCCGTTTTCGCCTATAGTAGGCTTGCTGATAGGCATCGTGCCCAGTTGCACCGGAGGAGGCATGGCCTACTAGCGGCTTGTGGAAATGGAAATCAAGAGAAAGAGAAAGAGCGAAAAGGAACTGACTGGGTATGGAAGAGAGACCTTACGGAATCGACTGCTCAAGCACGTTCCAGTGACGAGTTCTTAAGCCTTTGACCAAGCCATCACGGAAGTTTACCGCTGCCGAAGACGGTTGCATCTCGACTGCCAATCGCCGCTAGACTCCGGTATGCTACTGCGGTAGCTTGAGTGGCTCTGATCCGGATCATCGAGTTGGGGGAACGTAATGTGGGCTGGTGGGCATAGTCTCGCGCGTCCTCGCGCGAGCTTCGGGTCACAGCCAGCTCCCCAGAAAAGCGGCAATTCGGGAGGCCCGTTTAGCGACTTCCGACGCTGTTTCTCCACAGTAGACCTTGATACATGTGAGCGTCTAGGCTCGCGCGAACTGGCGCGAGCATCGCTGCACTCCGCCTCATCAATCAACAGCGGATAGCATTTAAAGTCGGTCAAGCCACGCTGAACAAAAAATTGTTTGATACTCACATCAGTCTTGTTTTTCTGTTCAGAAACCATCCCACTACCTGCACTCAAACCGAAAGAACATCAAGGAGAATACATTCTACTACTGCCTTCAGAACTCTGGCTTTCGCCACAAACATGTTGACTGCTCAGGCAACCACAACAGCTCCGGCGGAAAAGGCTACTCCCTCCTTGGTTCTCAACGCCCAGAACAAGTACGGCGACTGGCGCGACGACTTCTTCAAGAATGGCTACTACATCTTCAAGGGTGCTGTCTCCAAGGAGAAAGCCACTGAGTACTATTACAAGAAGTCCCTTGACTGGTTGCAGTCGTTTGACAATGGTTTTGACCTCAACGACAAGGAAACATGGACAAAGGAGCATCTGCCGCAGAGCTTCAAGAACATGTACATAAACTACTGTGCCGCCCATGAGAAGTTCATGTGGGATGCCCGAACTGAGCCTAATGTCATCAAGCCTTTCGCGGAGTTGTGGGGTACTGACGAACTGATCGTCTCTTTCGATGCCTTCAATGTTACCCTTCCTAGTCGCAAGGACGATGATTTCCGCCCTTGGCCTCACTGTGATCAAGCCCCTGCGCGTAAAGGTCTCTCTTGTGTCCAAGGTCTGATAAACCTGGCCCCAGCTGGTCCCAAGGACGGCGGTCTGTTGCTTACAATTGGCTCCTCGGCCCTCTTCGAGGAGTACTTCGATACTAATGGCACTCGTCCTCGCCTTAGCGACGAAGCCAAGCATCATGATCTCTACCGCTTCCAGCCAGATGAGATTGAGTGGTTCAAGTCCAAGGGATGCAAGGAGATCAAAGTAGAGGCAGAGCCTGGTGACCTGGTCCTTTGGGACTCCCGCACCATCCACCACGTTGCCAGGATTGAGTCTGAGCAGATCCGCAGCGTCCTTTACGTCTGCATGACGCCGAGGGACTTGGCCTCGCCGGAAGATTTGGCCTTGAAGAAAGATATCTTCGAGAAGTACGAGGCAACCACCCACTGGCCTCACTGCAATATCTGGCGTCAGGGCAAGGCTCAGAAAGATGGGAAACGGGATCCACTGGAGCGGGATGAGCCTCTTGAGAAGCCGGTCGTGACGGACCAGATCCTTCGCCTTGCTGGTATCAAGCCTTACAATGAGTAAGGAACTGCGAACTTGATGTGGATGGGATTTTGTAAATCACTGCTCAAACCATGCTTCAGACTAAGAATAAGAGCCTCCCGTTCTGATGTATTTTCTAAGCTTGACCTACCCTCCGAGTAGATTTATTACCCTCTTTGAGCTTTCCGAAAGTGAATGGAGCATATTAGTATGAACATCACTTCTCAGATCACTTCAATGTCAGTGATCAGTCAAGCGTGTGACTCCAACTCATCTTCCCTCACTCTTTCTCCATCCTCATATCACCCTCCAGAGGTATATCTGTCCGCTGACTTCCGTTTCAGTCACTCCTTCAATCACCCTACAGCCTTCTTGCAGCTGTCGTACCGTTGGTTACGACGGAGTCTCTCAAGATGCGCTGGGCTTCTTAGCCTAAAGAATTCCCACTTTCCTGATTGTTGATCTGCTCCTTCCCCTTTTGACCAAGCATTTGTTGCACGTTTTCTATTAATTCTCCCTTCCCTTCCCCCCGGGTTTGTTTTCCTTTCTTCTCTTCCTTTTCTCTCGTCCTCTTCCTTCTCTCTCATCTCAACCCCCCTCACTCCTGATCCTCCGCAACCACCACATCCTGACACGTGCCAACCGGCACAACTCTTTCCTGCTTCCCAACTCTCGCTTTGATATCCCAACCTTCCTCACTTCATAACATGCACAGCAGCAATCAAAAAGCAACCCCCCCCAATCAAACTTCCAACCTCCGTCTGGTATCATTCCTCCATGAATTCCTGTTCTTTCCAGATCCCGGTGGCAAGCTCCTCGAGCATGTCTGTATCAAATGTGATATCGCCCTCCCTGGCATCCTCTGCCGGCCGAAGGAACAACTTCTCAAACTCGATCACTAACGGACCGCCCTCGACTCTGATCTGCTTGTTGTTGCCCATGGAGATATCAACTCGTCCAGTTCGATGTTGGCGGTCGTTCCGGAGCTCCCATTTCTCCAGTGTGATTTGCGGCCCTTTGCGGTTGATGGCGAGCGTCAGGACGACTTTGACGGCCCCATGTGATTGGTTCAGCCAGAATCTCACATCTGAGCTCAGTTTTGACTGCGTCTCAGACAGCGCTACCTCGAGAACGACGGTGGGCATGTTTTTTGGGTGACCGCGAGGTGGGCGATACGGTGCCCACGAGCCATCGGGTTCCTTTCTGCCGCTTATGCCATAGACTGTGGTGGTTCCTAAGAGTCGTATAGCACGGTGAAGCCCCATTGGCCTAAGGATAGTAAGAAGCAACGTCTCGAAAAGGTGCGAAGCAACTTCGTGCGGGGAAAGGCGCATCTTGGTCAGAAGTAAGCGAAGTGAGCTATCGTATGAAGGGCAGTTTGGAGTCCAATCGTCAATTCGGTGAGTTTCGTTCGTTAAGTTTAGGAAGTCGCGAGTGAAGGTCTCCTCGTCCAGATCAGTAAATAGCACCCACTCGCTCCATTTCTCGATTGGATCGCTTGACTGTGCTCGTCTTTGGAATTCTTGTTTCATGATGTTGTTAAATTGTCGTTTCCCTTGGTATGGGAACCTCTTAATTGAAGGTTCAAGATCGCCCAGAAAACTCGTGCCATGGTCATTTGTAATCGAATCGGTCGAAGGCATTTTGATTTTGGCAGGAGCAGGTAGGTCCGAACAAGTTGATAAGTTTTTCAGTTTGAATGTGGGAGTATATCGATAGGGAAAAAGTGTGTGGGATTGCTTCATAGTGATGCGATGACCAAGTAACGCGTCCACACACGTCATGTGCCAACTGGGAACCACTACCTAGGTACCAGGTGCCTCTCGCAGTCTCATTTCGAGACATACAGAAGAAGTTCGTAATTGCTAGATCGACATCCTTCCGTCAATATGGACACCGCGTTCCCTAGTTCGGCAAGGAGGAACAGTATCACACCGAAGGAAAATGAAGCATAGCCATATCAAAAAAGCGCAGAGCAAGGAAGGATATCAAGATAGAAGGATATGAAGAGCAGCAACACTACAAGGACTGAAGAGGGTAGCGTTCGCATCACATTGATGGTCGACAAATTTGTCGTAACATGTGCGACGTGAGAATGACGTTAGATCTGCCATCGGGGAGCGGCTTTCTCATAAGCTGGGAGTAATCCAGTGTAATGGGTGCAGGATCGTGATCTCTGGCGAAGTACGTGGAGTGAGTGCATTCCAGCCGCGGCATGACAACTTGGGGCAAGGGGGAAGCAGCAGCAGATCGTAAGGTACGTCCGGTATGGGGTGTCGAGACCTCCTGCCAAAGTTGAATGTGAACAGAAAACGTTGGGATTCGTCGAAGTTCGAAGAGCAAGATCAATTTCGTTCTGCGGCCCGAGTTCCTGTACCACCAGTCGGCCGTCGCGCGAAAGCTCCGCGAGGACTGAGTGTAACCGGCTTCCATCACCATAGAGGGCCAAGCTTCTTCAAGCTGAATGCCATCCGTCTCTGCGTCATATTCACTCGGTGGGAGCATTCCATAATCAGCTCCTGGGACTATGCCATAGTCGGGTTCCTTCCCACAGAATCTCCCGGTCTTTCGTGTTGCGCCGGTTGGCATCCATATGCTGGGATCCATCGGGATGCCTGCTGCTTGCATTGCCAGAACAAACCATGATGAAAGGTTGGAAACAAGCCTTTCATGACGTGACCCAGGCATGATGCGGAAAAGTATTCTCTGACCAGACACAGTTGCTCGCGCTCCTGCAATTTTTCTCTCGAAAAGCTTGGCTTGGAGGTCCTCCTGGGCATCGGTGATGAGAAGGTACTGGGTAGATTCCTCTTCGTCCTCTTTAAATCGTTCTTGAATCTGATAGATTTTCTCCAGGATTTGGTTATGGGAACACCCGGCGAGACGTTCGACGGAGTCGGGAATGTGGAAATCGTCAGTCTCTGGGAAAAAGCTCTTATCGGGGGGAAGAGGCTGGATGATGGATGAGGAGGAATCAGGGGCAGCGAGAGCCACACGGTTGTGTTCTGGTGTTGACATCGCGCCTTCCTGCTCGTCCAATGCTTGTTCGAAGTTTGTCATGGTGACAGGAACGATGGTGAGAAATTTGATGGTAGGAAAGATTCGTGGGTGCGTAAGAGAAAGTTGAACGAGGCAAGAGAATCCTTTGAGGAGATACATGCAATGAATGATGATGTATGACGATATCACATGGGATTCACCGTGGGTGGCAGAAAAAGGACCTTAGAAGAATGCAAGAAGATTGATGACTCATTAGTCTAGCTTAGATGAGGAGAATATGTCAAGACCAGGACCAGCGGCACGACAGCCTCAAAAAAGCTTGGATGGTGAGATGGTGAGAATAGCGAAAGGGGCTCTAGCAGAGGCAAAAGGCACAAAGATAAACCGCCTGTAGGTAAGTAAACATGCGTGGTGTGGGCGACCTAGAGGGGAAGATAATGACAACAACGACAACAATGACAGCAACGACAACAATGACAGCAACGACAACAATGACAACAATGACAACAATGAGAACATTGAGAACAATGGCAACAATGAAAGCAGTAGAGCAACTTAGGAGGGCAGCTGAGGTTAAATCAGAAGGCAGAACAACAGCCTTGGAAAACAATGGGCTAGACTGCGCCTCTGAAGGGACATGTAGGTCCTAGAGAGAAGGGCTACATGATGGCCGGCAATGAAGCTGCCGATGGCAATGCGAAATGCTGTCGGAATCACGTGATGCGCTCCCAGTAGTTACCTAGCTCTCTCTTCCCTTTCCTCTCCCCTGTCCCCCGTCAGTCCTCGGTCCCTTATCATTACATTCATTGCTTCATGCGTCTCTCTCCCCGGGATCCCTAGAGGCTATGAGGCCCCTGCTCCCTTGAGCCGCGTGTCCACCGCCGCCAAGCACCGCCGCCCCCCATTGTGAGCCGCCGCTAAGCCTTGCAGCCGCCGTGACGTATGCTAAGCCTCTTCTACCGCTGCCTTCATATAATTTATATGATTAACCCGAGGCACTCGAAAATGGGCGAAAAAGAGGTGAAAAAAGAGAGGCTAAAGTAGGGCAAAAAAATAAGAAAAACGGTACATTCTTGTGGAGACTTCCTAGTATTCTATCAATAGCACTATAGGCAACACTCAATACTCCATTTTCTACCCATTTATTGAGGCGTATCAGATGCAAATGCTCAATTTTCTACCAACCGCCGGCAGAATTCGTTTTGGCCTGATGGCAGTAATAGACTGTCGTACTACAGGCCCCCATTTCCCACGACGTCGAAAGAGTTAGCAGCCACAAAGGCATCAGCGCTATAAGGGGTCGCCACAGGGTTCCAACGTGGGTTCAATTCCTAGAGACGACGGGGATTCATGCGTCAAGCGCGTCCCCGAAAGGCTACTGCTTTGGCTTGGATGCAATGCATTGGCAAACTCCGCAGGCCCGTAAACGTCTCCGGTCATAGGCGAGAACTCCTCCTTTCCTACATCTTCCGGTAGCTGGAAGTCCAAGAAGTCCCACATACTAGGACTCAGGCCATTGGAGAGAATGGGCATTACATCTAGATCCGGGAAGCCGTCCGTGACAGGCATGGAGAGTGTCGAACTGGTGTCCCCGGGAGTCGATATTCTTGGAACGGGTGAATCAGTGGAAGTGGTTGGACCATTCAAGGTCTTCAGAATCGCCACCACCTGGCGGTAGAGGGGACGCTTCTGGTTCGATCCCGCATGGCGGTTGGCACTGTCATCTGAATTCTCTTCCAAATTCATCAGTGCCTCGAGGGCCACAACACTGCGCGACACCGTGCTTTCGAGCGGATCTTGGGGCGTAGCGTCCCCGGAGGACCTGTCAAGTGACGCTTTGGCACGCAACAATTCAATGGCTTCCCGAATGTGGTCCCGCGTCATTAGCCGACTGAGTTGGGCGCTTGACCGCTCAGCCTTGGTTGACGGGGAATAAAACAGCAGCCCTAAGGCCAACACAACGGTAGCGTTGAAGAGTTGCGTTTCGTTGGTGGACAATGAGCCACAAACCGTGCAGCGGGCTTGGATCTGGGCTTGCGTGTTGATAATATTATGAGCCAGCTGCTGGCAGGATGCCCGTCCTATGGGAGAGGAAAGAGTAGCGCGATGGAGGCGAAGGAGTAGACTCCACAGCTGTTGATGTAACATGAACCGCTGGACTGGGATGGCGGCCATGGAACCCATGGCTGTGAGTCCGACTGAGCTTCCCAATCTAAAGTAAGACGGCAAACTCGCCACATATTTTTCGTACTTTTGATTTAGGTGCTGACGCCGCTGGGCAACTTCGTTTGCGGTGTCCCCGAGATCAATTAATTCCCGCACAATGATGGACAGTTCCAAAGCGTGTACAGTATAGGAGAGCATGGTAAACTCAGACCGAGGGCGCTCGGGAATCTTGCCATGTGCCCTGAGCAGGTCGTCGTCATTGAGGTGCAATGGCATCCGGGTATTAAATTGTGAGGGGCGGATAGTATAGTAGCCAAGGGCTTGTCCGCGCGACCAGTCTCTCATAACAAGAGTCCACCTAGTGGTCCGGAACGATTAGCGCTTCTCCCCAAGTGAAAAGAAAAAAGGTATTCAGGGTGCCTACCAAATGCGAATCGCAATCTCGGTGCGAATTTGAGGTGGCTCAGCGGTCACAGAGCCATAATGTAATGAAGGCGTGGCATCCAAAGTCGCATTGCCTAAGCGATGCAATCCCAGTTTGCGCGCACCCGCAATGGCCGTTACCAATACGGCATCAAGCCCTAGCGAGGTCTCTTTTGTATCCAACAGGAGCATTATGGCCGCCTGCAAACTGGAGATAGAGCCACAAAAGAGGGAAATACCCCCCTGGAGACAACGTACGCCAAGGGACCGCCACGTCGCTGCAGGCTCATCGGAGGCGCGCAGCTGCTCTACGCGAAAGGTCAACGGGGTGAGCTGGACACCCAGAAGGGACGGGGTTGGATGGAAGGCGAGTCCGAGCACAAGCTGCGTAGAAAGTGTCAGCCGACGCTAGACCAAGCGGGTTTAAGGAGAGCGGCACCGCGAGAAGCAAACCAGCAAGAGAGTCCATGGATAGCGTACTGGCGATGGCTTCGTCGGGGGAAGCCATACTCAAGCAGTGGTTCAATTGGTCGGCTTGCTTCATGAAGCTCGGGGTGTGCACCACATTTCCCAGTGGTCCCTGGCAACGTGTAACAAAGACCTCGTAGAGGAGTTGGATGATATCCCATTCCGGCAGGGCGTGGACCACATCTCGGATCAAGGCAAGTTTTTGGTCGTGCCTCTGCGGATCCGGGGTCAACCAGTATCGATTGGGGATGTCAGGGGCCACGCCCGCTGATTCGGTGGGGAGAGGAATGACATCCACGAAATGCTCCAAGATCTGCGCTGTTTCTTCGACCCCCGGTTCTTTCTCTTCTTCCGGCGTCACCTGACTACGGTTCTGTTCTGTATGCTTGGTTTTGGTCCTCTTGGCTCTCGGTTGACGTTCATCTTTGGTACATAGGTGGGCGCAGTCGCGCTTCACGCATTCCAACTAGGAACAATGAGTTTGGCGTTCTCATGGGATTCTAGGCACACTCACACAAGGTTCCTTGCGGTCGCATTTTAATTTGGAGGCGCGACACCGCGAACAAGAGAGGGTGAGCTTCTTGGGGACAGGAATATCCATGTTGAGTGGGATGTAGGGGGACAGGAGCGTGTACAAAGCCCATTCGGCTCGGCCAACGTCAAGTGGGGGGAACCACGGAATCGGTCCATCTCCCGTCGAAGCGGTGTTGATCTGATTTACATTCACATTTACATTCACATTTGCTATCAAATAAATATCCTCACATCTCTCTAGATCACTGAGTGCCTAGGCAATGAAGGTGTCAGATCACATGAGACGGGTACGCCTTCCCCCATAAATTGGCCGTCTTTGTTCCTCTTGATCAACCTGCTGGTGGCTACAAACTAGATGAATCGCTCTCGTATTTAGAGTCCGATGCATGGCGACCTAGTCTCATGGACACCCTGGCTTGGAACCCGTCCGAGGAGAGATCCGTGGAATCCGCGTGCTGCTTCCCTTCGTCTCGCAGACTACCCAAATCATGGCCAGCGGACACCATTTCGGAAGGGGCGACATCCGGACAATACCGGATGCCAGTCCTTCAAGATGGTGATATATTAGATCCATCGCGACAAGATGAACTCAAAGCAGGCTACAGAACCTTGTTGCTCATCTGATCAATATCCATTCAAAACACGACATGTCTTACGCCGGAAGCCTACTATCAGGTATCGAGACTAAGGTCTCACAGTTTTCCTCTATCATTGCAGATACCGTTACCAGTCTACCACTGTCCCCAAACTAGGTACATTGCCTAACATCTACTCGAGTGAGCATAGTCCAGTTATTCTAAGGTACCGATATATCATATCTGAAAACAATCCACTAAGACCTTTTATTTCTGCCAACGTATCTATTATTTATGTTACGTTGGTTAATACCGGACAAGAAGGTTGGAGAAACAAAACCACAATCAGTATATCACAACTCAGTTCAAAGATCTGCTGTCTCCGAAATGGCCTTGAGGCTGGACTCGTCCCTTTCCTTAGACTCAAATCTGTGGTCGCGAACAAAGAAAATCACAATGAAGAATCCCACAGCCGCAAATCCAATTCCTAACCAGAACGCCCCGCGGTAGCCGCGAATGGGGTTTTGTCCTCCCTCGTTAACATGAGACTCAACAGTGGCGGCAATACCGAGACCAATGGAGATAGAGTATTGCACAACCGTTGAGATAAAGGATCCGGCAACACCTTGCTCCTCAGGTAGGACGGCGTTGGAAATGAGAATTCCTGACGAGGCAAAGGATAAGTCGGGCCCGCCAACAACAAGCAGACAAGCAGGGAAGATGAAGGCCCAGTAGACGTTCGAGTAGTTCACAAAGCTCATGATCAGGTTGCCGATGAAGAAAGAGAACATGGACACGCCGAAGATATACTGAGCAGGCGTCTTGGCGATGAAGAGACCAACAGCCGTCGTAGCAAACAGTCCACCAATGACCAGAGGAACCATTTGAGCCACTGCGGCAAGCGGCTGGGTCTTATGGATAGTGAGGATGTAGACGGTAGTGTAGTAGAGGAAGACTCCAAAAGACATCCAGCCAAATGCCATGGCAGTGACTACGGGCGCGAAACCAGGGCGGCCCCAGAGGGAATTGGGTAGGACGGGGGCTGAGACGCGGGACTGGGAGAAGACGAATCCGCCGAGCAGGAAGATGCTGACAATGAGCAGGGCGTAGGTGTAGGGCTCTTGCCAGCCGACAACCGAAGCCTGGTTCCAGGCAAAAGAGAACAGAATCAGGGCTGACACGCCGAGCAAGCTACCGATATAGTCAAACTGGCGGAGGCTCAGACCCGGAATCGGAGAGCCGATTCGGTGAGGAACAATGACGAAGGTCGCTAAACTGAGAACGAGGCAGCCGATGGCCCAAAACCAGAATCCCCACCGCCAGGTGACTTTCTGACTGAAGGCTGCTCCGATCAAACCACCGAAGATATAGCCCGAGGGAGCGCAGAAGCCCAGGAAGGCAAAGGCGATGTTCTTCTTCACAGACAGAGGTGGGAACGCACGCGCCAGCAGCGCGAAGGAGTTGGGTACCAGTGCGCCATTTCCGATTCCCATCATGCCGCGGGCGATGTCGAATAGAACGACGTTATGGGCGAAGCCGCAGACCAAAGACCAAATTGCCATCCAGATCCAGCCAAAGAGGAAGACGTATTTGTGGCCGAGGTGATCACCCAGGCGACCGGTGACTAGGACGAAGACACCACCGCAGAGGGAATAGGAGGCTAGAAACCATGACATCTGTCCATTGCTGCTTGTGCCGAGAGATGCACCGATCTGTTCCATTGAGTAGGCGGCATTGCCTATACCGCCAACGGAGAAAAGTTGCGACAGGCCAATGATGAGGATAAAGACAGCCTCTTGGAAAGCCGAGGAGAAAGCGGTCGGCTCAGTTTCCGGTTCTGCCTTCTCGGCGGCTCCTGGACTTGAGATGGCTGCTTCTTTTTGAGGTTTGCTCATTAAGGTCGGAGTGGTGGATCCGTCGGTAGATGACATGATGTGCTAGGGAATATCGATGGGAGGTAGAGGAGGTGATAAAAGAGGAATTGAATCATTTTATAAACCATGATCAAGTACATTTTTATTTTGCTTTTCCCTTTTTTTTTTTTTTTTTTTTTGCCCTGCTGGAGCCATGGGGATATGGAGTTGCAAATTGGAGGTGAAAGTCCGCGGAGTTTCAGAATAGTCCGATGTCACCACCCGTGGACCACTTAGGCTTCCGTCCCACTCTAATGAACCATGCAGGATCAACATGAAGCTGAGTCAAGTTGAAAATGACGGAATTAAATCACATTTTGGTAATTATCCCTTTGAAGTACAGAATGTTCCAGTCTATCGGAGTATTCGCGATTTTGACCAAACGCTGAAAACCAATAGTTCGATGAACCAAGATGAGCTTTGAACCAGCGACTCAGTGATTCTCTCTGCTATGTATAGAGACAGTCGTCCTCTGTCTTTAATCGCCTAAACTACCTAGTCTCCTTTCCCCATTATAAGCTAATACGAAATATTAATATACTAGGCAATATATCACGCTTAATCTTTCAGGACACAAGCTTTACATGTTGAGGGAAGTCTCACAAATTTCGGGAATTTCTGCCACTTTAACTTCCCGACCTATTTCCGGAAGTGCTGTAGCAATGTAGCAATTAAAACAAGGGAAGTTCCGCCGTTTTAACATAATCGATATTGTCCCGATGCCCCTCGATACGTGGGATAGAGGTATTGAACAACCGATCCCACACGCGAGTCTGCTTGCCGTAATTATGGCTATTCTTCCAGCCCTTGCGATGATGAAGATCATGGTCCTCAATCACAAGCTCCATATCACACAACCGTAGCAGCCACGTCCATGGATTCGCCGCCGTAGCAATCATACGCAACCCACTGTGGCCAAGGATCTCCGTGAACACGACGTACTGCTGGCATATCCACCACTCATAGAAGCCCATTGGGAATCCCATTAGCTTCAATGTGCCGTATGCCAGGAGCGGTGTACCGATAATATCAATGAACTCCTGCACTGTATCCGCATACGCGGTCAATAGGGGATTCGGGTGCTTAGTTAGGTGGTGGGTGCGGTGGAATTGCCAGAGATGTTCCGTTTCGTGGGCGGAGCGGTGCATGATATAGTACCAGAAGTCGATAGCGAGCGGGTACATGCCAGTTTCGAAAATCAGCCATCCCCATCGGATTGACGATGGGCCTTCGTTGGCGCGGTAGGCGAGGAAGACGGTGAGCATGGGTCGGAGAACGATCACGGAGAGGACGGTTTGTACTGTTTTGCCGACCCCTACGTCGGGTACACCGTCGCGAGCGTGCTTGTCTCCGTCGAAGAATCCGAGGTTGTGACCCATGCGTCGGAGGACGTGGGTTTCTTTCACAGCGATGGATTCCAGGGCTAGACTGTAGTAGATGAATGCTAGCCAGGCCGAAGGATGACCGAAGACGGTGATGTACAGTTGGTGAAGAATAAGTGGGAGACTAGCGTGGAGGATGATCCAACAATGGAACTGCATCTCTGGCGCATATGGCACTTTTTCCGTTTTTTGATGAACGGGAACTTCTTGATCAAGTTCGACATGATGCACGTTTAGGTATTCGAGAAGCCAGTGACCAAATTTCCACTGTGAGCGATCCCAGGATCGCCAGGTGGACTTCATCGAGTCTTTTGGGTTACGCATTGGGGCGGCCATTCTGAGTAGCAATATGAAAGGGGCAGAAAGATGTCCGGGACATCTTCGCTCGCCCCTGCCACTGGACCTTATAATCATATTCCACCTTGAGAACACATGGAGGTGGGTCATCTAGCCAACAACGAAATAGTTGGGAACCGAGGTGTGGGTTTGCGGATCACTTCCGTATACTGCTTTACTCGCTAATGATCTTTCAACACATGAGGATAATATTAGCAAATGAGGAGCCGCATAAGATCCGATTGATGCAATGAATCATATTTGTAAATGTCATTGGCTGGCATCCAATAACCTTGATTCATATGGAAAGCCAGATAGAGGTGAATTAGCTTCTTCTTTACTATTTCAGCGTTGATCGGCGCTGGGGAGCATCTGATACCGAGGCATGGATTATGTCATATTTTCACACGTTTTATAAAAACTTTAGGCATCTCTAGTAATGGTAGCGATCTTCAATGTGGGGTACACTTTGTTCGCTCATTTCTAGGAATTGCACTTCACTGTTGAAGCTATCATTTTACTTTCTTTTCCTCTCCCATAGAAGTTTAATCCTTGCAAGGTTATCAACAAATTCAATTTGACAGGTTGAAAACTATGTGCAGTACTTACTTAGGTTGTTGGTAACCGGAAGGATCAAAACGTCTTCAAGACAAGTGTCAGGCAGAATATTGGTGACATTTTCACCTGGTTGCTGCTATTCAAGGTGGTGCCCCAAAGGTTATGTGCGAAACATGCGATCATACCTTCGATCCTCCAGTGGACGACCATTGTGGGAACTTCCTATAAATAAACACTATTAATGGTATTAACTGTCGGAAGATAACGCCAAAATCAAAGGATATTCGAAGGCCTATTAGACTCGGGTAGTATAAGAGTATTCACCCAATAATTGTTTCAGCAGCAAATGGAGACCTTAACCTGTCACCAGTCTCCCCCAAAATTGGACCCAATTTTCCAAATGAAAACAGATCCGCTGCAGTTCTCTGCAGACAACATGGGCTCCAATTATACGGCCGAGATACAAGCTAACCATCAGGCTTTACAAAATCAGCTTGTGCAACAATTCAAGTGCCTCGCATTTAGTAAATGTGAAGAAGAACTTGAGAAGGATCTCAATAGTTCTGCTCGTTTCGTGATACCTGAAAAATGCCTCGCTGTCCTACTAGAACCCAATTTTCAACAACAATGAGGATCTGATGATGGAGGCCAATTACATAGTTCAGCTTGTCCAGTCTTCGTTATTTTCGGGTTATACCAGATGAATCTTTACCTTTTGCTCTATGTTTTTCTTCACGTCTTGCCTATGCGTCTTTGGAATTAAACGTAATAATAGTGTATAAATTTTGCATAATAGCACACGCTAATCTATACATACCAAGCTAAACCCGCTAAAATAACCCATTACAATGACCATCCGATACTCCGACATCATGCACATCAAACAAGACGACCCCGAACCTCAAAGACCTCACTTGATATGAACCTGGAACAAATACCGCTGCCGAATCTGAGCAACATCATAAACAATGTACTCATTGTAGTAAAGCCCCGCACTCTGCGCCTGCTGCTGCTTGATCCCGACATCAGGCATCGTAACACCCTCCAAAGCAGGATTCAAACAAACGGCATCCTTCCACCCACCAGGGATATTGCGACCCTTTCCGAGAGTTGCGAGTTTCCCGGTCTGCTTACATACATCGCCGGCATTGTAATCGCTGGTCTCAAGTTCCAGCATTGGGGCGCCGACTTCGGCATCACAGAGTAGGAGAAGAGCCATGCCGCCACTGTTGTAGTGGCAGCAGTAGTTGGCGGATTTGCTGGATGTGTCGGCCAGATACACTCCCTTGCCGAACATGTAGCCGTTGACTGGGGCTTCTGGCGGTGCAATTCGGAGACCTTGGCTGAGGATTCCACCGAAGTTTGTACTGCGGGACCCGTGCCAGAGGAGGCGGCGGTCGCTGTTGGCGATACTGGCATAGGGAGATGTGTTGAAGCGATCATTTTCGCCTTGGCGTTCGATGCGGAAGATGTTGATAACTTTGTATTCTAGGTGGTGGGTTGAGCCACGGGAGTTTTGGAGGTAGTCTTCAAGCTCTTTGAACTCGGTTGATTCGGGGCTCACTGGTTGCTATTAGTTTTGCTCACATTGGTTGATGTAGTTTGGTACTCACGTTCAACCATCTCCTCCATTCCCAGACTCTTGAACTGGCGATCCAGCTCATGGATCTCATCGGCACCCTGGTTGTCTTTCATAATCTCGTTGGTGACATCCATATCGGTCAGTGCCTCAAGAAGCTCTACTTCCTTCTTGATTTGCTCATTGCTTCCTAGAGTAGGAGGTCGATTGCGGCCAAAGACATGGGGAATCAAGGTGTAATAGCGGTCGCTTAGGCTCTCAATAGCATTGATATATGGGAGCCCGTACTTCGCATTCGCGGAGGCCGGTGCTGCGATAAGCTCGGATAGTTCCTTCAGAGCTAAGAAGCCATTTGTCAGGGTCCTCTTGCTGAGCTTTCCGAGAGGCATTTTCTTTGCATCGTAAGACATTGCTGCCAGAGCCTCGAGGACGTGGTTGTTGTTGAAAATGAATTTCATCAAGGACTGGACCGGTTTTGAGAGACCACTCTCAACTTTGACTCCATTCTCCTGCTTGGCCCCGTTCTCCTTCTTGACCTCCTTTTCGTCTTCTTTGTCTTCGTCATCTTCTTCGTAGTTGCGCTCAAGGAACGTGTATTTCCCATTCTTCGGAGTAGCCAGGCGATCTTCCCACTTCAGGCCCGACTTATTCTTGAACTTGGCTTCAAAGTGTCTGATTGCTTCTTCCAAGCTGCCACTTCCAAGCCTGGCTGACTGTCCGTGCTCTCCAACCCGGCCCCATCGGGTCCAAGTAATGTATTGTTGGTTCTTGCCGACCAGTAGTTGGACGCGATAGAATTTGTTGGCATTGCTGGCCGACACAGTTTGATTCAAGGTGGCATCCCAGATCAAACCTGCGTCATCGATGTAGACCGTGGCGTCTGAGGTGAGGGGTCAGTCACTTATTTCCACGATATGTTGCCATCTCAACCCACTTGTAAAGCCGCCCCAATGCTCATTGAAGCCTTCGTCGACTGGGACATTCAGAAACTTTGAACTAGCCTTCTGGATGTCCTTTAGCTTCTTGTTAGGTTCCTCTGCCGGTTCATCCTTCACTGCACTGCGCTTTTTTGATTCAGGCTTCTTGTCAGTGCCGTTTCCATTCTTTTTGGTGTCTGGCTCAGGCGTAGGCTCGGCCTGGGACGCAGGGCGGTTTGCACCCTTGCCGAGGACATATCGTCCTTCTGGCAGTGGTTTCTTTTTCTCGGTCGATTCAATGAGCCAGTCAAGTGAGACAATTTGGCAGCCTGTGACGGCGCTTGCTTGTTTGTCTAATTGGTTTATCAGACAAAAGATCACTATCACTGTGTGATCGTACTTGGCGTACTCACACTTTGATGATTCCTTGTCCACATCCCTGTCTGTGGTGACGAGGTGGGTAAGGTCATCAGTAACGGAGGTGCTGAATGTAGCACCATTGTCCTCAATCATCGACTTCAAGTCCGCTAAGCCAGTGTCAGGAGTCAGCACGGTTTCAGCAACTAGAGTAATCAAACGTGATGCACTGTGTGGTGAAAGGGGTCTTACATTGTTTGAGCTTTGGAAATGTCCCACTCACGGCGATAACTAGCTTTTTGAACGATCTCGCAGGCATTGTGCAACAAGTTGACGAGCGACAATTGAGTCCCAGAAAGTAAACAAATTGTGATCAAAAGGGGCCGAGGGGCGAATACGAGGTGGGGGCTGAAAAGAAAGAGGAGGAGAGGGGGAGAGAACACGGGGACCGTGAAAGTGATGAAAGTGATGAAGAAGAGAAGAATACAGAGTCAACGGAATAGTGGTCGCCTTTTAAACCAGCGTTGTGGTGACCGTCACTCAAGATGGCCTAGGAAACCAGGCACCAATGAGGCTGCTGCCTGGCTAGCGCAAGGCAGCAGAGCCTTAGGTGGAGACCTTTTTCGTAGGGTTTTTGTGTGTTTGTGGACTATATGTAGACTGAATCTTTAATCTAATCTAATCTATTTCCAGGGGTATTATATTATGTATGTGTATACTATACTAACTCTTTGTCCTATGTTAGGAATCTTTGGACGTAGAACGGCACATTGAAACGGTACCTTCCACTTCAACTACTCGGTGTCCAATCTGTCTACTGCTACAGCACTCATCCCTAATTTGGTATTTAGGTGGTTAAACTTGCCAATTGAGCCGTCGTCGACTTGTGTCCTAGGGGGAAAAAAAGTCGCCGAAAAATCGACAATCCTATGAATATATTTCAATGAACGACGGGATAGGATATACGGTATATATAAAAGTAGGTCGCCCATTCTCCTCAAGTAGAGCCTTCTACCCATATCATTCATCTCCAATTCTCCCATTCCTTCGAACTCGGGTGACATTCACCATCCATCGGTTTCAGTATGAAGCTTATCAGGCTCTACCTTCTCGGTACCATGGCTGCTTTGGCTACTGGCGGGTAGCATATTGGAAAGTTCTATCTTGTATTCAACCCAGACTGCACTTGAGCTTAAAAAACGAGGCCATGCCAGGCGAAGAACAGAAACCCAAAATCTCTGCGACGATCCCCTTTCACTAAGTCTTATCTTGTTTGTCGAACCCCAGGTGTTGTTAGGCCGTATCTATCGGGTTTTGTCCCATAAAGGAGTAGACGAGTCTGCCTAATCTGAACCCCCTTCCACATTGGCAATAACGACCCGACGAGTATAGTAGCGTTTGCCGTTAATATTTTCGAATCCCCAAATCTATAAGTTCCTCAAAGTCAACCCCTGTCTATCAGAATACGTGCCAAAGTGAAGTAACGAAAACTCACTTGCTCAGCTGTCCAACCAGTGTCCACGCCTCGTGCAAAGGTTTGGACCCAGCACCCTCTGCTGAATCCATCGCCTCCCCCAGGCTCTACCAGAAAACCTTCACACCTGGTGATGCCATCAGGTAGGATCTCTCCTCGCAGGAATTTCGTTATTGAGTTATCAGTCACTTCCGTCTGAACCTCGACGTCCGGGCGCATGTTGCCTTTCATATCCCTCGCTCCATCAATAAAACGGCTCCAACTTTTGACGGTGCCGAATATATAATCTTTGTGTTTTTGAAGGGCCCAGTTCATGGTTCGCACTTCGTTTGTTCCAGCGAGGTTTCCAGTCGTAGTTTGGAGGACATCGATCACCTTCACCGGTTCTGGGTGGGCGTCAATGTTGATGTCTATGTCTTTCGCCGTGTATGTGGAAATACGAAGGCGGATATTTGTCAAGCAAATTGCTTTTCGAAGCGGCCAAGGGATTCCTTGCTATATTTGGGTCTCAAGCAATTAGCATACTCATCTATGAAACACTTCAAGTTACGCGGAAGAAGCAAGGTTCACGCCCATCATTATGGGAGTATGCTGGCTGGGGCTTAACAAGGATGATCAGTGGCTAAAAGGAGATTTGAATGGTTTTGTCATTCCAAAGTTTACTCACCATTTTCATCATCGGGTCTAACTCGCTCGTTAAGTTCTTGTCCTATGCATAGGTCGGTTAGCATTTGACTACGGACAGCCTACCCAGTCACAACCCTCATATAACTGATTGCATTTCTCATCTGAGGTTCAAGGCCCCTTACCATCACCCAGAGACCGTCGAGTTCTTGGATGGTCATACTGATCGGAGTAGCCATCTTAAGAGCACAGGCTTGGTCTCCAGTGCGGCTCACGCAACCCGTAGGTTTAAACAAGCTCACAATGAAAGTTCGTTTATGAGTTTTCTCAAATCCATCTCACGGCCCCTTCACGGTGTAATGGGAGCCTAACTCGCAACACAAAATCAAAAATTGGACATGGCAAGAGATTTCGCGTTATTATAATACCCCACAACCCCTTGCATTCCTCTATTACCTTAAATTCTAAATTTAAGAAGCGAAGGCGCAAAACGCTGGTTAAAGTTAACTAACTAGTCACTTCTGCATCCCTTGCAGCCTGCATCTAGTCATATCGGCATGCTTCCACCTAAATGTAGCCTCACAGGCGATCATTACTTGAGGCAGCCCAGTGGATCTGTAACGTAATCCACTACCGAGCCGGCCACCCCAAACAGCGAACTAAATGCGACGATTTACAACCTAATATCTCAACAACGGTAGTCTATTGGAGCTTCTCATTATAGCCTCGTGCTCTTCGTGCGATATCCAACCTATATAGGTTCATTAGAGAATATCCTAGACTTGATGATTAAGATATCATCATGATGCAACCTATTAACTTTCTTGAACCTAATATATAGGGCTGGGAAAGTCTTATCAATAGGTATCGACAACTAATAAAGTAAAATAAATCCGTGATTGCTGAGATGTCAAGTTGTAAGTTACCATTTAGTATGGTGTTTGGAGTGGCCGGCTCGGTAGTTGATTACGTTATTCTCAGTGAAAGTTAGAGGAAAGCCAGCACTATATTTGAGGGGATAATCGCAGCTGATGTTTGTGCTTTTCTTCATATCCACAATACATACAGGATCTCTCATCTGCCTTCTTCAAGAAACGTCATTTCAATAAGCTTATCACCCTCGATTCGGTAGGTGGTTTCACCAGAGTAACAAACCGAATATGGGACCGCGTTCCATTTTGTGATCTAGTAATTTTCCCGTCATCATTGTCGAAAATTTGTTGTCGGGTGGAGGTCTAGATCTACTCTAGCCCTCGACCTATTGTGATCAAACAGGGAGACTTTATATATAAGAGCGATTTCCTCGACCGGTCACTAGAGTCATAAGATGGAGCGAAAGGAGTGAATAATATCCCATTTCGCTAGTCCCATGTCTACCCTTCTGCGAATTAACCTGCGTCTTGCCCAGACTGCCGAGACTGCTGGCAAGAACACCTGCTACATCTCTAGCATCTAGATATTTCCACGGCTGTTTTACACAATCTAAAGGCAGCGTAACGCAGATTATTCTGTAGTTGACTCTATACTATGTATGGTACAGATCGTCGAACAATCGATTGGTGACGACAGTTGGCGTCCTTTGGTCGACGTATGAGACAAAGGTCGAATAAGGCTTACCTGCCAATACACTCTAATTCTCGCCTAATTGACTCGCCAGTAGGCTAATATGAGCTGTGGCCAATCTACAAAGATCTATCACTGAGTTGGAATCCCCTTAGCCACGGAGCAACAGCGGATCTGCTAGCTTCTAACAAGAGGGTGTACAACAGAAAGCAATGGGTACTAAAATGGAAAGAAAGGCCAAGATGCGACATGGAAGAGGCCGTAAGTAGGAAAGTGGTAGTGGACGCATATAAAGTCTTAAGAAAGGAAATACATCAATGGCGGAGGAAACTTTGCAAAGAAAATGTGCGTTACAAGCGATGTCACCTAAGTCCTACCAATAGAAGTAATTCGTAGGGAGACAGCCGTTAGTTCTCAAACATTTTCTGGTATTGTCCAATGATAAAGCAAACCAGTTTATGTTGTCCGTATCAAACAATCGGCTGTCGCTAACAATGAGCAAGACAGGATTTCGTTCTTGACTGCTTGTACATGGCATAAAATGGAAGGTTATTGTTATACTTGGACCAAGTGAACAATCCTTGAAGGACGTAAATTGTCACTTTAGATAGAGTGGAAAGTCTATCCCATCTTAGATAGGCAGTGTAAAAGACAACAGCCGCCTCCAGAATTGTCATCGCCATGGTGGCACAGAAGGTGAACATGTACAATCGCACAAGCGCCGTAGTCGCAGGTTGGAAGCACCGTCGAAGAATGAGGCTCGCGGTCTTGATGAACCCGTAGGCGTCGGATAACACAACTGCCACAGTGTAAGTGCTGTCCCCATAACGTGTCTGGCCCTCAGTAAGACTTACGCCACAATAAACAAATATCAGCCATCGTTGTCACTTCAGCAAAAAGCAGCGGCTTGCCGACAGGTAGGCTCACGTTCCAGGCTGCATATCCTTGAATAATCAGCAGACCACCATAGTGATGTAAGGTGTCCACAAACTTCAACCTTTCTTCGCAAAGAAGCTGAAATAAGAACAACGCGGAAAGAACAGCCGTTGCAAAGAATGCTGAGTCTCCAAGCTTAAATTTGGAATTACCGAAGCATGGATCAGACCAACGTCTACCTTGCATAAGCACCAGGTAGACAGGGCCCACACTGAACGTCAGGGAAATGGTCTTGAGAATGAAATCAATGTGGTCCATCTGAAAATTTCTCCGTTGTCGAGGCTGTAAATCCGAGTACGACTTTCTGTACCGGTTTCTGAAGAAGGCAGGGGTGAGAATACATCGATATAGGAGGCCAGCAAAAGCCACGAGGCAAGAAGTTGTGAGTGCAGAGTAGCTACTACCCCTCGTCAAGACCACACAGTCCAGGTATAAGGGGCTAGAGGGAGCATCCTGTGGGCTGAGACCAAGGAAGTCTTGGCAACCAGCGCTGTACAGGCTGCGCATTGTTGAGAGTCCTGATTTCTGTATTACGTTCATCAACCGGAGGAGTGCGAGTAATGGACACACGGCGCACAGCTAAAAGAAGAATGTATAGAAAATCTGCTGCTTTGATTGTAAGCATGGAATGAATCTTGAATGTATCGGAGGTTTTATTTACCTGGCGACTGGCGGTATCCACAGCTATCAAAGGTAAGGGACCTTCTGAACAACAACAATGAGATACTCCCTTGCTGACCGTTCGGAAAAAGTGGACGAGTCTTTTCTTCTCTTTTCTTTTTGGTATTAAGGGATTGCATTACGTTGCTACATTTTGTTGCGATTGCCTGGGCAGCTTAGTACCTTTTAGTATAGCGAGAGCATAGAAGATACGTACCTAGGGATTCGCTGTTTTGCTAAAAAAAAAAAAAAAAAAAAAAAATTTTTTTAGCAAACTACCTGCGTTCTCCCCTGAAGTTAAATACTGCAAGGCAGCGAATTGCAGGGATGGGATTTACCGCAGTGTTGGTTATTTGGCCCTGGAATTTCTTTTATTCTTGTCTTTGCGGAATTTCTTCGGGTATAAGCTGCGACTGTAGGAACCAGAACATCTGATTTTAGCAAGTCATTTAATCTTTTTACCTTTCAGTTGCACGTTGGTACGGGAATAACTATGATAAACCCAAACTCCCCACCTAATGCCCCCTAGTACACTAGCGCTAGGCACCTCCCGCCCACTCCCCCCGCTCGTGCATACCTTTATTGAACTTTACCTCCCTTTTCACGTAATTCCCCCTTCTATTTTCCGAGGAGGGAGCTACAGGACGTGAGTAAATAGAGAAACAGAGGTTGGTACCTATTATTAAATACATTTCTTATCCCTTGCCTCCCATAATTTCGCATTCCACTTATCCCAGTTATCCCTCCGGTAAAGGCTCTAGTGGGACAGTATCTCACCAACGTAGGTTCCACGCCATCTATATGTGAAAGTGAGTCCAACTGTTATCATCTACAGATTCGCGCTTACATGACGGTTATAGATTCGAGAAAAACGGATGTACCGACCCAAGAAGTCCATACAAATACGACAGAAGAATAAGTGTCGGGGCCAAACTTCATCTTCCAGTCACGCCCCAAAATAGCTACATTGCCGATTTTGCATCATGGGCAACGGAACCTGCCTTTCGGGACAAACGCCTATTCCCCTTAGCAATGCTAGTTCATGTGCTCTGGGATTTCTCTGTATGTGAGCTAATTGTTATTTTCCCTTTTCACCATTCGATAGCACCAAAATCGTACAATTTGTATCTCCCTCAAAGTGGCTAAATCTGATCCATGGTGTATAGGCCTCAATACGACAACGGAGTATCCACCTGTCTTTTGCCCACCAACGGAGGCATGTCACGCCATTCGGTCAAAGCCCGTTGACAACGTATGTTCCACGCCCCAAGGACGCTACGAACCTATCGTTTGCCTCCCGGGACACTATTGCCCACCTGGTGGACGAGAACAAATTCGGTGTGAACAAGGCTACTATTGTCCTCAAGGCACATACCAACCGATCAAATGCAAAGCTCTATCAATCTGTCTAGAGGGGAGCGAGCGAGAACTATCGCTGGTCGGAATTGTCTCTTTAGCAGTGATATATCTGCTGTGGCTTCTGTCATATAAATTTTCAAAGCGATGGGAAACCATCCAAGCATGGGTGACACTCGAAAGATACACTAGAAGAAAAAGGAGCAGGAGGCCTGACACCGAAATGGTACAGCTTGCGCCCAGCACAACCGACGTGTCGAAATCTGGGGAAAGAGCAGTTGCAGAGAATCCCACCGGTGTTCATTCACCCACTATTTTTGAGACGTTGATCAAAGACAGAAACATTCACGAACTGGGCTTGGAGTTCTCTCTTCGCGAGATACAATGCAACTTGGGTGATAAGTTGCATCCAATCTTGCAAGGTATTTCAGGAAGAATTATGAAAGGCCGTCTTTTTGGAATCTTGGGGCCTTCTGGAGCAGGAAAGTGTAAGTTCACTATACCCGATACAGCTGCGCTTTGTGCTAAAGCTAAAAAAAGCTACATTGATCAACATTCTGGCGGGAAGATCAAAGCCCACCTACGGGTCCATATCTATCAATGAGGTTTCAGGTGATCCGACGAAGTCAGTTCAGTGCTACGCGCGGAAACGTTCATTTCTCACGGGCCTTATAGATTTCATAGCGTTATTGGTCTCGTACCGCAAGATGACATTGCTTTGGAAGATCTCACTGTCAAGGAAAATGTTCTCCATGCCGCGCGTATTCGGCTCGGTGGGCTATGGGATGACGCCAAGATAGGATTGCATGTTGACCAAATCCTCGATTATCTTGGACTAACACACGTGATGGATCAGCGTGTGGGAAGCATTGAGAAAAGAGGTATTTCCGGGGGTGAGCGCAAGCGAGTTTCCATTGCCCTTGGAATTGTTGCTATGCCGATGGCAGTTATTCTGGACGAGCCAACTTCGGGTCTGGATGCAACAACCGCCCTATCGATAATGAACCTGCTGAAATCGCTATCAACCTTGGGTATCACCGTCATATGCGCTATTCATCAGCCTCGGAGAGACATCTACCAGCTGCTAGATGACATTATTGTTTTGAATCTTGGCAAACAAATTTACCTTGGGGAGACATCTACTGCGCATAAACACTTTGAAACACTTGGCAGTGTCTTTCCCCCAGGATGTAATCCTGCTGATGTTATCATAGACTGCGTCACTAATTTACCATTCTCAGCTTCGCATCATTATCAAGGAAGTCCGACTGATTGTTTACCAATGCCCTCGGGAGACAGAATAAGTGGAAGCACTATGCAGGTGGCGGAGTTGAGGACATCATTCGTTCAACACACGACGACCTGGTACCGTCAGGTACTTTTATATCTGCTATGTGGCATCAAGCAGCAACATCGACAGATTTTTAGCCTAATGCTTGAAATTAGCACCTCGGCAGCTGCAGGGATTTTAATTGGCTTATCAATATACGAATTCAAAGGCCACATATTTCAGGGCTATTTCCGACAGCCTTTCGGTCCCTTATCAAGCGCAGTCAACTATACCACCCTTCCAACTGCCGGTATACTGTGTAGCCTGGCAATCAGTAAGTAGATATTTTACATCAAGAGGCTTTAGATTCAAACTTGAGACTAAAAACTTTTTGCTATAGGCCTTTCAGCCGCACCAGCTGGAATAAGGATCATTGCTGATGAGAGTTCGTGAAATATTCATACATAGTTACGACCCTTTTACTAACCGGATTATATCAGAGCTTATCTTCTACCAGGATGTCTACACAGGTCATTCAGCAAGCGCCTATTTGCTTGGAAAAGACTTAGCCACCTGGCCACGGATTCTCGTGTCGTCATTGCAATTCACAACATTCTACATGATCCTCGCAACCACCGTGATCCCTTTTCACATTTTGTTCTCACTTAATGTGGTATACTTCTTCTGTGAGAGAACATTTAGCTCTGCGAGATGTTGCCATGCTGATTGTACATCTAGGTATCTATGGGCTTGCGTCGCTTGTGGCGTCGCTTGTCAAGCGCCAGGATGCGCTATTATTGGCTATGCTTGCAACTCTGATATGCGGGGTTCTGGACGGCTTTGGCCCACGTCTAACCCTTGTCAAAACATGGGGTATGGAATGGCTGTGGTATATGTGCCCTGGTGTAAGTTTTTTGCGCAATCGTTCTTCCTATAGTTTTCCGGGTGATTGCTGACATCGAGCGAGTAGACTTGGTACGCCGAGGCCTTTTTCAGTGAACATATTGTCCCCTTCTCGTATTTGTACGACATTGATGCTGCTGCAAGATTTGTTGGCTATGTAACAGGAAGAACTGCCCTCGACATCTGGTATGTCAAATCCACCCTCGTTCTTGGTCCATACAGCTGACTGATTTTATTAGTTTAATCTTCGCAATAGGTGTTCTTTACCGCATTCTTGCTTATATTGTGTTGATATTACCGATCATGGATTTCAGAGTTATAGGAAGGTTTTTTGGGTCGAGCCAAAAGGCCGTTCTTAGGGTCTATTCTGCTCGCTCACCGGGCAATAGTACAGACTAAACGGACAAGAAACGGCACATTTTCAAACACACGTCTACCAGACATTCCTTGTACTATTGAAAATATCCCGCTTCACTCAGTCACGCTCCCGCTGCGATATAAAATTTTCGAGACTCTGGACCTATTGAGTTCTGTAAGCCCTAGGCACTAAATTAAATGATCAATAATATCTCAGTGTTATCGATTCTCTACGATGCTTTCTGTAGGGCTACTTGCCAACATACTGTCGGCAGAACGGCCAATGCGGCAGGCTGACGCTCGCTAAAAGTTCCTTCGCACTAAAAAGAGCTTACAAAATGCTTGTGCTGGGGAGTAGACTCAAATCGTCTCATTTATGGACACTTGCTGGAATCATGTCTAACACCGCGTACATCGTGTATTACAACCAACACTAATCAAGTTACCGTAATTGATCTCTGTGAGAGAAGCATGTTCCATGTTATAACCTAGTCTTAAACAAAAGGATTCAAGGGCTAAGATGTACGTATCTAGTAATATCTTTGTAGGTTCTTGACAGGTCCTGGGAACTAGTGGCATTAATGTTATATAGAACGCGAGGAAACGAGCAGCATCACGTAATTGGAAATCATTATAGAAACTGGTCTTTTCTGGCCTTGTCTGAGTAGTCATGACTTGTGCTTTCATCCGGCTAATAACTTCATACTTAGTGGCTTCACCGATTATTCTATGAAGACAACCGCTGTTGAAGTATTGTTTTGTAGGGATGTGCTAGTTATAGCGCTAAGTATAGTTCACTCCCACCCTTTCCCCAACCCAGAAATGTTGTCTAAACTTCTCCAAAACCGAACTGACATGGGTTTTAAGTCCGACTTCTATAACCCAACCTTACCGAAGACCTAATGTTAGGTACCTACTAGGGCCCTTGTCGTGCCTTCATTCATTTCCACGTGGTTTCAAATAATGTAAAAACTTTGATGATATGGCAGTTAACTAGTTACCATATTTGACACGGACGGTAATTCATTGGCGGTATAATTATACCCGCTACTGATCATCGGTTACTCCCACAATTTTCACCGAGTCCTCCCAAAGTCTGCCTTCGCTCTCCCTGTCGTAGGTGTGACTGACATAGTCCGCACTTGTCATATCGCTAAGATCGTCTCCACGCTTTGCCTCAGCACAGTTAGAGAGATACCTGCCCTCTTTATTCTCCCATTCCTTGCCAATAGCAGCCCACACCGTGGTCGCAGCACCCTGCTCCGGGCTCTTCAAGCTCTTGACTAGAGCCTTATCTTCTAACATTGCCGCAAGATCTGCTTCCGGGATGTGCTTCGAGAGACCAGTTGCAATTCCACCAGGGTGAACACTCGTTGCATGAAGCCCTTGAGATCCATAGCGGCGCTCAATCTCATTGGCCATGTATATGTTGGCGGTTTTAGATTGCGCGTAGGATACCCAGGGGTTGTACCCCCTTTTTCGAAATTGTAGTTGTCTGTTGCATTGATACCGTTGAGACGGTGGGCGGAAGAGGACACATTGACAACTCGAGAATGGAAATTAGGGGTAGTGGCGGCCAGTAGCGCTGGCTTCAACAGCTGGAAGAGGAGGAAATGAGAGAGGTGGTTGGTGCCAAACTGCAACTCGTGGCCATTTTTGGTGAATTCAAGACCTGGCACTGCCATGATTCCAGCGTTGTTGATCAGAATATTGATCTTGTCGGTTTTTCCGAGGATCGCCTTCGCAGCGGCACGTACGCTTTCGAAGGATTCTAGATCCATTTCGATGAACTCCGTACGGCCCGGTTCAGAGATGTCGGTCAAGGCATCCTTGGCTTTTCTGATATCTCTAGCTGTCAAGAAAAGTCTCGCTCCAGTAATGGAGAGAGCACGCGCCGTTTCAATACCAAGGCCGGACGAGGTTCCGGTGATGACGATCACTCTGCCCTCAAGCTTTCCTTCCATTCCTTCATCTTTGACCACCTGCAATGCTGTTGGTCGAGAGTCGCCTGGTCCCTCCGGGCTAACGTGAGCTTTAGCGTATCGAGACATCTGAAAGCAGTGGGTGTGAAGACTGCCAGGATTGACGTGGAAATGAATAGCAGAGGAAGCGGTGAAAACAATTGTTCTCGTGTTTATAGAAAGACGAAAAGTGAAAGGGGAAAGCAGCATATTTATATATCTCGTCTGTCCTCGCATTCTATGCCGTTGACACCCAGGCCAGAAACCTTTGGGACTGGCTGACAAGTTTTGCCTGTTTAGTCCATTCGTGGTTATGCACTGAACCTTAGCTCGTCGCCGGTTTCCTCTTGATTTTACGGTTCAATATGGGGCTTGCTGACTATTTTTGCCTCTTTAGTCTATTTCGAACAAAGTGGTGATACGCTAAGCATTAGCTCTCATCCTTCCGAGGGTTGCCGGTTCCTTTCCATACTTAACGTTCAACTTGTGGGGCTGGCTGACTAGTTTTGCCTCTTTCTCCCTAGCTAACTTATCACATGGGTTCGCCAATGTGCCCTTGTCGATATATAGACAAATCTATCCTTACTTTCCGGCCACCTGGAAGCTGACCGTTCTCTCCTTTTTCGTCCCTGTTAAGAGAGCTCAAAAAAATGGACCCCCAAAAGGATTGTGATTACAGAGACCTTGACCTATCGTCAAATTTTATTTGGCATACTACAGAGGCGAAAAAATCCAATCAGGACTGGACAAGCACCGAAGATAGGAAGCAGCGGAAGAAAATCCAAAATCGGATAAACCAAAGAGCTCATAGTAAGTACACCGCTCTCCGCGAAGCTTGCTGTGTTTTGTCTTCGATTAATCTAGTTAACTGAGTGCATTAGGAAAACGAATCAGCGAGATAAAAGCCCAAAATCCAAAATCTGGACAACGCCCGTACCGAGTGGATCGTTGGCGAGTTGCGAACAACAAAGTCTCCCAACCCAACGACAATATATCAACCTCGATGAACGAATTGGCAAATCAAACTCCATTTCGTCAGAATATTGGAAGCGTAATTGGATTTGCGCCTGTGTCTGGACATTCTCACCAAAGGTCAGGCGTAGCTGCCATTTCAGCACAGTCTGACAAATCTCCCCAAATCCAATTTCCTCTCCCTTCTGACCATCTACTACATCTTATCCACTACAACGTATTTCGTGCACTTGTTTCCAATAAAGACGTCTTGAGGAATTTTGCGACAATAATCACCTCAAATGATGATGTTGACAATCCGCAACGTGGCAGACGACTTTGCGATGGCCCCACGGTCATACACCCGCTCTATCCGGGCCCTCCAAGCTCACTCTTTCCAACATCTTTACAGATGGTTCATCCTCACTCTAACTGGATTGACATGTTTCCTTTTCCACAAATTCGGGACAATCTGATCCAATGTGAGGCCTATGTTGACGTTGTGGATTTTCTGAAGGACCTCTTTGGAGACATGGTGAACGATAATTTATCTATCACGCCAGAGACATCTGGATCCTTTTCAACCTCGGCCAAAATTTTAATTCAAGGGGAAGATGACGACATGGTCACTGCTGGGCGCAAAGGCCTGATTGTATGGGGGAGGCGCACTTGAAAGAGAGCTGGGAGGCTACTCCGGGGTTCCTCAAGAAATGGGCATGCCTCTTAAAGGGCTGTGAGGAATTGATTGAAATAAGCAATCGCTGGAGGACAATAAGGGGAGAAAATCCCATTGTTCTAGCTAATTGATTCGCTCCTTCTCCGTGGGACTTGCAATTAGCACGTCTCTGGCATGACTCTTAGCCTTCGCATAGAGGACCAGCAATTGGTCTCTTATTACAACCTACACATATATTACCGATAGACTGTATTTCCCGAACTCATCCTGCTACCTAGAACCTCGCAGGGTCCTAACAGAAATACTTTATGTCTGTGGGCTCACTAAACGCAGTCTGAGTACTTAGTGAGCACAACCTGAGTGCTCACCGAGCATAACCTGAACATTATTTTGACATTACTAAGTATACGCTGAGCATCACCAAGTCCAAGTACAAATAAGTACTCAGTGAGCATCACCATTGAGCGCCCTCATGAAGCGGCTGCACCCCGACCGGGAAATTTGCATCCGCGGCCTAGAATCCGGTCTATAAAGCTACATATATGACCCACAGGAAAACTCATGATGCTAAAAGCTAGAAGTAGCTCTCGCCGTTCATATGTGGCATAGATTCGGACTTTCTGCTTTAGGCAAGTCGCCGCCCGCTCCGGTGGCGGGGAACCCTTCTACCTCCGCCCTCCGGGGAAGAACTGCAACTTCCAACCCTGTAGTTGAGATGTGATTCATGATGGAACTGACATTTCTGATTAGCCGTGACGGAGACAATGTCAAAAGAGGGCAGATAAGGCGTGCGTGCAACTCTTGTCGTCAGAAAAAAGTGAGCTACAGATATGCATCAGTCCAGAATATCCACCCTAATTCTTCTTAGAAACGGTGCTACCACAATGAAGAACCGATCAAGACAGATGTTTCGAAAGGACTACATCATAATTCCAGCCGTATTCCTACTCCCTATGACACCCCTGAGCGCTCGAGAAGGGACTCAGTGATCCGAGGTAGATCCGCATCTCCAGCCAGAGAACAGCAAAGTGACTACACACTTGAAAGGTCCCGGGTCCATGGGACCGGTAGCTCAACTGTCTCTGAGGCAAGTCCACTTACAGACCAAGAGCATGATTCGCGTCAATTTGCGTGCGACTCGAACCCAATGGCGACTTTGATGGACAACGACGAATCACGGTTAAAGAACAGTCAGGGCAAGAAAGGCGATGTAGGAGCGTGGTTGTGCCCTGGAGAGAATTACCTTGATTCATTAGAGAACTGCAACACACTACAATTGCCGCGGGGGTCGCATTTGCAGCCAACAGACATCAACACAGATTACCTGCCACCAAAAAAGAGCCAAATAGCTTTGATAGACGTCTATTTCCGTCGGATACACCCCATACTGCCTCTTCTCGATGAGCAGATAGTGCGAGACAATTTTCAAGCCGGCTCTCTGCATGTTCGCCTTCTCCAAACGATATGTCTTGTCGCAGCAAAAGACCGGACCACAAGACCTCTTCTGTGCCTCGGCCAGAGCTCGGAAGTTCTCCAACTGGAGAGGTTTACTAGTATACTCTATACCGACATTATGCAAAATATACCAAGGACACCCAGAAAGAAGATAATCTACATTCAAATCTTGACCCTTTTGTCGCTCCACGAATGGGGCCCTACTGGCTCCGAAGATCGTTCTTTGAACCTGGCGCAGGCCATCCACCATGCACATACCATCGGCATACACTTGATGAGAACAGACCAGCAGCCTACTACTTCACTAAAGGCTCTATTTTGGTGTTTGTGGAGTTTGGACAAATGGAATGCTGCTATGAATGGCAGACCGATCGTGATACATGACCGCGACATGAACCAGCAAGTGGACGACGTTAGCTCATCGTTCCCAGCCTCGTTCCGGCTCTGGCTTCGTATCGCCGAGAAGCTGGGTAAGGTGATTCTATTTTATCGGCCGATCATCAACGGGGTTGATCATGAGGAACTTGAGCTTCCCGCCTTTGAAGAACTTATTAAGGATTGCGATGCGTGGAAATTACCATCAGACTTGCTTGGTATGAAATATATACTGATATTCATTTGGATTGGTACTAATCTATATTAGAGTCGAGCGAGCTCCTGTATCACGCGGTTACTATTCTCTCCACACATTCCGATGGCCTTCAAGGGCGTTCACGGCCAAGAAATTCAAGTATTCGACAAACCCACTCGATCTTCTCTATCGCGTCTTTGATCCAAAAGAGAGATATTCAAATCCTATCCCCGTTGCCAATGCTCGGTTACACTATATCCCTCGCTTTCTCAGTAACTTACAAACAACTAAGAGAAAGTCAATTAGCCAGCACCCGCCACACAGCCATTGGGCACATGCGTCAATTTCATCAATATCTTGAACAATCTTCTTCTACATGGTGGTCTACTGCCGTGATGGCTAGACTAGGAAATCGCGTGCTGGACAGCATCCAACCCACCATAGATGATCAAGATTCCACAGCCCCAGTGAATGATACTCTCCGACCGAATTCTCGACGAAGAATGGGATATCGGCGCTCACACCATGATGAGGATGAAGTTTTGGGGTCACACTCCAGCGTGGACTGTATGCAAGGGTTGGGGCGGGCAGAGGCCAGAATAGAGAGGGTAAGCCCTCTCGATATTCAACTACGGTCAGATGACTTGTCCAATTTGGACATTTCCGTCGCGAATCCATTTCTGGGAGCTCCTGGGATCGAAGATTATGACATTTTTTTCAACAATTTCCCTGATGTTAACTTCCCCAGCGGAAATGATCAACTGTTGATGGATCTGGACATGTCGGGGTTCGAATATGATTGACCGAGGGATGTATAGAAAGATACCACCGGAACAAGTTTTCAATAGTCAAATCATCATACCCCATATTTTCTCCGTATGATTTCATACGTGGCCAAACAGGGCCATGGCCAAGATAAAGTTCCGTTCATTGGAATCTGGACTCCGACCCAATTTGGGAAAGTCCGCATTCTTCGCCGACGCGAGTACAGCGTAAATAAAGTGCGATGGTTCCCACGAAATTAAATCTACCGGCTGGAATCCCACAGAAGTATGATTTCAAGGTTCAATTCTTTAAGCTTGAAACGCTCCTCAGTTCGCAGCATGTTCGGCAAAGACATAGCTAGCTCTGAGTTAAGGTATGGTAACTGCTTCATATGATTGGTTATTCATCTATGATTCTAACTACAATTTTTTCAGGCTCGATCAATCATGCATTTTCGTGCAAGAAGGAAGGCATGAGGAGCTATCGCCTTCCATTACTGGGAGATTTAGTCTCTCGCTCGCTCAACCCGCCACCTTCAAAAGCATCCAAGTGAGACTTAGAGGAATATTGTCAATGTAAGCAACTTTCGCAGAGACCCTACTGTTAACTATAATCTGAAACTTGCTGTTAATAGTCCCATCGAGGGATTCCTGGGCCCGGAGATTCGCGAACAGCTTACATTTGACCGTCAGCAGGCACTCGCAACCACGAAAACCCTCAATGCATTCCAAATGCCAGCCGGAGACCATGAGTTTCTCTTCAGCATTCCAATTCCATCCAAAATGTTCTCGACCGTTATAAGCTCAAATCACCAATATCACAAATACAACGTTGAAGTCGTCATTGAGCGGCGTCTGAAAAGTGACTTTGTGGTCTCTCAGCCGATACATGTGTACCAGCTTTGCGGACTAGAACAAAGCTATCTAAGACCATACAATCCTTTGGTTCGTTACTATGTTCCTACCCGAGATTTCGTGTCACAGCTAATGGCCTGGCATATGTAGACTCTTGAACGTCAATCTGACCAAAATATCCAATACTGTATTTCCCTCGCTGATCGCAATATTCCTTTTGGTTGCACATTCCCGGTGGAGTGTTGGTTTGCTCCGCTTTCCAAAGGCACCAAGCTCAACGCAGTCACGGTCAAAGTCCAGGAGAGACAAAGTGTGCGCTTGGATGCTACGGCCGCCGAATCGGTGCGACAGAACATACACTTTGTAACCTGCGCGCACAACCACACTGTGTTTTCAAAGAAGATAGACTTTGCCGATGGCAATGAACCGACGGGTGCTGATTCGATGGAGACGGAATGGCGCATTAACACCTCTGTGTGTTTGCCGCGTACTTTGGGTGGTTGTTCACAGAGTCTCTCCACGAAGCACATTAAGATCAAACATGTCTTATCTATAAAGGCAGAGTTCTGTGATGAAGAGGGCCAGGTGACTGCAGAGGTATGTGCATTGACCTTTGAGGAAATGAGTACTACGACTAACCGTGGTCTAGATTTCGGAAGTTATTCCCATCGAGATCTATATGACACCGTGTGTCATTGGTGAGAATGGGTTCATCCATGGACGGGATATCCAACAGCTGCAAGGGGATGACCATCCTCCCCCGGCTTACAATGACCACTTGTCCGACCTGATAATTTTGACGGCTGCTGACGTCGACCTTTGTGGAAGTACAATCGTTACGGAGATGAACATTGAGCGCAGTTCAAGTCAAAGCTCTTCCAGCCGTTCATCCTACGATCCTGCACCCTTGTATGTATAACGAATGATTTATCTGGCTGATGATGTTAATATCTCGGTTGATTTGTGATGTTTCTCAAGTGTTTGTTTATTCTGCTCTTATGTTACTCTTGGCTCATCTCAATCTGCATATCCACCCAAGCCGCCAGCCACATATAACTTATAAACGCGAAAGCAAAATGCTACTTCGTATTTAATCTACTGCAATTTATAAACCAATCCTTCTTCAGCCCCAACCTGACCCCGACACAATATTTTCCAGCCTTTCTCAATACCATCACCCAACACACCCTTACCCCATACAATCTGCATGCCAGGCACACTCAAGTGTCGCTCAGATAACCACTCATCCCAAAGCGCATCCTTCATGGCAAAGTATGCCTCATGACCCATCCTCTCAATGACAGTATCTTGAACACCAGAAGTATTAAACTGAACCTTCCCAAGCTCCGCCACAGCCGCGCCTTTAGCCAACATCTCCTCAGTAGAGTAAACTCTCTGCTCACTCCCAACCTGAATAATAACAACCTTACAATCCTTTAAATCATCACGACTCTTAACCAAATCAAGCAAGTCACCGAGAGCATTCCCGCGAGCTCCAAAGTCAATAATAACAAGCTTCTCAGGCTTCCGCCCAGCAAGCCAATCCCCAGTCTCCCCAGACCCAACATCCCCATAGCTAACAGCCTTGGATGGAATCCGAGTGGCCAGGTTCTGATCGGCTTCTGTGATACGTGACACGGACGATGTGACATGCAACAAACCAAAGGGCGTTGAGCCCTCCGGCTTTCGTGATAGGTAGTACGAGAATACACGGGCCGTTTTTGTCGACGCGGCTAGGTTGATCACTACCGCTGAGGTGATGTCGCCGTCCGATGGGGACCAAGGGAGCTTGAATGCTGCTCCTAGGGGGTGAATGGAGGGTTGAGTTTCTGGGTCTGATGAGAAGACGTATTCGCTAAGGATGTAGCCGGCTACGCCGCCGATGAAGAGAGCCGTCCATGCCATGCGTTCGAGTTCTTCTTGGGCGGATGGTGACGGGGTGGCTGCGGTGGTTAGGTCGCTGACCGGGTTTGATGTTGGTGTTACAAAGTAGCGGTTGTACAGGGGCATCATCTGTTGACGATGTCCGCTGATCTCGACCCAGTGACCGTTTGTCTCGCCACGCTTGAGTTGGAGAACGGCTGGTGTGCTCGTTGTTGGCCAGAACCCGTAGAGAACTGTGCCTTTGGGCAACTCTGGGATGGTGGTTTCTTCGACCGTCGCGTAACCCCAAGCAGGGACAATTCCCCATGTTGATGGGTCGTTGTATGGTGCGGGATAGTTTTCGGACACGGGGTATGCGTCCCACCTGGAGGTAATAATTAGTTTCCGCATGTATACTTCGATGATTAATCTTGATAATGGGCGTATTACTCACCAATGCAACATTTGACCCATTCGGGCGTAACTCAAGTTGTTCGAGGTCAGACTTACAAGTAGTGGACGAAGCCTGACTGAAGACTCCGGTAGCACGGACTGAGGGATAGACTGGACATCAAAGCTAGCATGTTGACTGTTGTCCAGCTTGGAAACCACATGAACTGCCATTGTGGTGGAAGAAAATGGTTGGTCGCAGGTTAAGTCGAGAGTTGAGAATGTCAGCCTCCCTACATAAACCCCAAGACTAAATATCAGTGGATTACTGATCGGCGCAATTCTACAAATGCCCCGGCGGGGAACCCCCACCTGAAAACAGACGAGGCTGTGTTTTTCCCGGTGACAACCGCATATAAAGGTCTCAACTTAGCTTTGAGTGTATCCGCAGGTCCACCGTCAATTTAAAATAAGCGCAACGTGGACAGCAGTGAGGTTAATTCTACCCGAGTTTGCAGATGTTTGCGAAGGCATCATACAACACATGGCTACTCAAACCTCGAACGTCACCTACGGAACACAGAGCAACTGGACACTCAAAGTCTAATAATTGAACTAAAAAAGCGCAATTGGATCTTAAGTCAGAGATACGAAAGAAACTTGAAAAAGACATCGCGGACGCTGAGGAAAAAAAATCCCCGGTCCATACTCTCTGTTCTCCAACGCTCAGATTCAACAGAATGTCTTGAATCAAAGTGCAACTTGCTTCACAATTCTCCATGGCCTTCTTGAGGCGTGCGGCCTTACTGACCAGTTCATTCCTTTTCTTTGAGATTGCCATGTTTTCACCGGCAATTTCTGTCAATTTTGCGTCCTCGAACTCGCCTATCAAACCCGGGGAACGCAGTTTCAAGGGACAATCATCCCCTATCATGTGTCGTTCAGAGACGTGAACAACCACATTGTCGAAAGAGTATAAGTATTTCGCCGACACAATATTCAATTGAATTCAACCTCACTGCGGTTATCAAACCCTAAAATCACTATACTTCAGGTGGCGTCGCCCCCAAAGCACACCAGATAAGGCTGCAGATAATATCATCCACTCATATGGGATTATAGGTCGGAACGAGTCTTGACCTCGCATGAACTCCCCTGTCAGAGATCTACTAGCGCCTTTGGGACGCAGGTTGATTGCTTCCGAGCAGAGAATGGCAATGTGGTTACTCTGGCGGACATTGTATACCATTGTTGTTCAAATACGTCGAATCCTATTTGCAGTGAAGGGATATGGATATGATATATGCGTGGCTGTTTGTCATGTCTTCTTCACAGATATGTAACTTTGTTGGTATGATAACTTATCATAACCACGTCTTCGTATTAAACGGCATGAAATAGACGGGTATCCATCAGGAATATGCACTGATAAATCTACATGCATCCGGTATCCAAATGATAGAACGCAGTAAATCAACACACCTACTAAAAAGAAACCAATCAACATGTATTGCAACAGAAATAGAAAAAGCGTGCAAAATGCAGAATGCAAAATGTGAATACCATTTGAAAATTCCATAAACCGGCATAAAACTACCACCGAAACAAAGAACCCATGAAACCACTAGATAAAAACGACCTATGTAAGGATCGACATGAAGAACGAAAACACCCAAAAGGAGAGGAAACCCCAAACCAAGACCAATGTGACATGCGAGATGAAGACGAATATGCGAAGTGTGCAGAAAGGAGAGTAGTATAAACAGGTTGGGGTTTCGAATGCTGGGTTCGAGATTGGAAGATGAGATTGGATCGCTGAGAAAAAATGACTGTTCACATCTTTGGCATGCGGATATGCAAGATAGTGTAAGACTGGGACTGGGTCTTGATTATGTGTGTATTATTGTCGGAGGGTGTGGTTGAATGGAATGGATGGAACTTGCTAGCAGAAATGGCTGGATGGGGATGCAAATAGGTAGATATAAAGAGATGGAATGAGACGAGATGGGATGGGATCGTAAATGCGTCGTAGATGAACTCAGAAAATGACAAAACGCTTCTGTTTCTGTTTCTCGGGTTCTAAAGAAAAAAAGTCAGAGGAAAAGTATACCAAAAAGCTCGAATCACAAGGACTCACCTTGACTATGAACCTGAGCCTGAGCCCTCGGCTCAGACTTCCTCAATCTCCCACCATTCCCGGAGCCCTTAGAACGCACCCCATCGGCCGCAGCACTAATCGTAGCAATACGATGCCGAGCCCGCTCATCACCCTGCTCAGCAGCCTTAACATACCAAACATTCGACTCGAGCGGATCACGCCGACACCCAATGCCCATCTCAGTAAAGTACCCAACAGCATACTGAGCCTTAGCAAGACCCAAATGCGCAGCCCGCACAGCCCACTCATACGCCTCGCCATCATCTTTCTCCAGAACAGGTTCCGCCCCAACAAGATACCAAGCACAAAGCGCCATCATAGCAAGCGGATGCCCGTTTTGCGCAGCGGTCGTGTAGAAATGGATACTGAGCGCTGGATCGCGCGGACAACTTAGCTTGCCGTGCTCGTATGCATCGCCAAGTCTGTAGCACGCCTCGACGTGGCCCAGTTCAGCGGATTTGGTAAACAGTTGCGCGGCGTATGCCTCGTCTGGGAAGACGTCGTCTCCGAATCCTGTCTCGTGGAGTACGCCTAGCTCGTACGGGCCAGAATTGTACTGTGCGTCTGCGGACTCGGTGGCGCGCTTTAGCCATTTTATACCCTCGCGGTAGCGCTTGCCAAGGCCCATGTCGCCGGCTAGACAGGCTTTGGCCATGCGCATCATTGCGCCTGGGTGGTTCTTTGACGCGGCTTGGCGGTAGAATTGGACGGCGCGGCCTCCGTCGGGGCGGGTGCCCCAGCCGAATTCGTAGCAGAGGGCTGTGCGGTAGCAGGCTTCGACGTGGCCGTGTTTGCTGGCTGCTACGAAGAGGGGGAAGGATCGGTCGTGGTCTTCTTTTCCTTTGTTGAAGAGACCTGAGGCGTAGCCGTCGCCTAGGTAGTATTGAGCGAAGGGATAGCTGCGGTCTGCGAGGCGTTGGAGGATTGATTTGGATTCGCGGAGGAGGCGGGCGCGGGTAATTGGGCTTGAGTCTTCGAGGTCGACGGCTGGCATTTCGCGCATGGAGTTTATCATGAAGACGGCAAATTCGTAGAGGACTGTTGGCTCATCGGTCTTTTTGACGTTTGCTAGGTACATTTCGAAGGTTTCTTTGTGGCTGAGGAGGGAGGCATTATTGCCGACTCTGGCCTGGAGGCGGGAATTGTCGAATTGGACGGCTGTCGGTCCTGGTTGGGGGTAGGAGGTGTTGAGCAGGTCGATGACTGACAGAGGCCGTGTATCTGGTGATGCGGTGGAGTTTCGTGATGCGGAGCGGCCGTGTAGGTACGGCGATGCGGAGAGATTGCGGCGGTGGCCTCCGACATCGGAGTTGGACGAGTATGCCGAGAGAGGGCGTGCCAGCCTCGACCGCCGCACTGCTAGCTTGTCTGTCGATCCTGACGGGGTCTCTGGGGGATTTGGCACGGGCTTGCCTGCAGTTCTCGCTGGCTGTTGCTGGTGATGGTAGGCAAGAGGCTCGTAGCTGTCCGACGCGTGCGCCACGCTATCCAAGCTGCCCCTCGAGGAACTATTGTAGCTCAGACCCTCACGGTCTAGAGAGGAGCCGCTCTTTTTCGGGTTCCCGTGTCCTCCATCTTCCTTGGGCTCTACCACCGACCACGACCCGCTGCTAGCAGGGGTGTGTCCGTAGGGGTGCGGATGTGTGTACTGCGGGGCCTGTGTTGAGTCCCTTCGTGGGGGATATGAAGGGTTCCAGCTCTGGCGCGGTTGCCGCACTGAATCCTCGAGTGTCATGTCTGTGAACTCGGGGAGCTCCAATTGGGGCGTGATGGGGCCATTGTATGGGGGTTCAATTTGAGCACTGGACGGCTGAGGGATGGGTGCGCCATGATCGATCTTGACCGGTGAGCGGGGCGAGTTTTGAATCACAGGTGATGTTTCCGACTGTGCAGGGGGAACTGGTTTGCGACTAAGGTTCAAGCTCTGGGGGCGATTCGTGATGGTTCGAGGAGTTGATTCGGGAGGAAATGGAGGTGTTGATCGGAGGTAGGCCGCCGGCGGACTCGGCAGGGGTTGGCGATATTCGCCTTGAACAGGACTGGCCATTCTGAGAGAGGCGAGAGAGGTGAGAAGCGAGTGAAGGTCACCAAAAGAGCGAACTGGGGAAAGCTGTGGAGAAAGGACCCGTTAAAAGAGTGGACCGGGAGATCTGATCCCATTCACGTTATATGAAGGGTGAAATGAAATCAGCAAAAGAAGTTAATCAGTAAACGAGCAAGAAGCGAGGGAGGGGCGACAAAGAAGTGATGTTCCCCCACTCAGTTCGCTAGAAATCCCCTCAGATGTTCATTTTATGAACTATGGAGCCTGTTGTGTGGCCATTAGATGGCGCATTCGTATTTCTACGCGCCACGCATTCGGTTTTCTTTCCCCGTACTTCACCGCAATACTGTAAGTCTATAAGAATGATGATTTGTACGTGGCGACCGATCAGACTCATCCGAGACATGCCATCTAAGAATATCTGCTGACCACATAAGACACTTGACTTGGCATGTCTATCAACGTGGTCCAGCTCTCACTTCCTACTAGCAATGCAATAGACAGCATAGTTGTGCACATTAATCCGATATTTCCGGATACAGTGCGTGGCAAGTATATCACACTACTTAGTCCCAGTGCATTATTGGAGCGTACCTGGCGGTTAACCAGCGACTGGAGCCTACGCTCTGATCTCTTGATCCAAATCCCCCGAAACAGAGGGGCTTAAGCCATAGCCGAAATTACATTCCCTTTATTATCCCTTTGGCTCCTTGGCTCAGAAGAATAGATGCGATTGAGTTCACCGTACCTTGTTTTTGACGGGAAAGTTTCGCACGGCCCGTTAACCATAGCGTTGTCGATAGGTTATAAACTCCTTACGTAGCCATAGACAATAGCCTTCAAGTATAATGTACGGTGCTAATTGTCATAAAGAATGACGACATTCTATGAGTATCCCATGCCTTATTCGAAAGGATATCCCTCGCTGATAATCCGATAATCGGAGTCTGTGCTTCATTCCACAGAACGTGGAAAGCGTGGACCATGCACTCAGTGAGAGTTTGAGAGTTTGAGTGACCGTCTGGTCTGGAGCATTCCTGTAAGATCCGAGGCCAAGTTGAGTTCTCAATTCACAACCGAGTCAGAAATCAGCAAATGGTAAAAATTAACGAAATCGTTGGCCTTGTGGTACGTGATACGTTCGTTTTTCTTGTCGGTGTGTGATTAGTACAGTGAGTAGGATAAATAAATAAAAGAAGAAGATAAAACAAACAATGTAATATCTGGGGATAACGTTATTCGATATGGTGCATATGAGGCTTTCGGAAAATGGAGTCAGCGGTAAGGATCGACAACTGGCGGTTGATCATTTCACTATTGATCGTATGGACATGTATTTAGATCTAATTCTCAGCTTCTCAGCCTGAGCTACACAATTGAATCCAGTCACACAAACTTCGCCACTGAGATTGTGTTTGAGAATGCATAGATGGTGTGCATAAATCTTTGACAAGATCTAGACCACACCGACATGCTACTGTTCGTATTTGAAGTCGACATAAGACTGTGCATCACATAGATCACATCCAATGTTTTCTTTCCATTTGGGACCTTGAATCACCAGAGCTGCGTGGCAATTAGGGCGTGGCAAAGAACCGTTCCCAGCACTAAAAGCACTAAAAGCACTAAAATAGAAGCCCCGTGATGCGAAGAAATAAAATAAGCCCTCGGCTTCTCTTCCCCTCTGTAACAGTCCAGTCCCTTCGGATTGGGTCGCTTCGCCAATGAAAGACCCTTAGGATGGGCCGACTGAGGTTAAAAGTGGTCTGATTGGTGGGTGAGGTGCTTAGGGGGGTCTTAGGGGATTTTAGGGTGGATTAGCCCCGGGTTATTGCCCCTAGCGACAGAAATAGAGAGAAAGAGAATATTATATGCAGTTAATGCTGGGACATAAGACAAAGCGGCCAAACATGGTCCCGGTACGGAGTACATTCTCCCCAGTCTCAGACCTTTCCCTTCACCCTCGTTTTTGACCCTCAGCTTCTGCTCCTTAATTTCCACTCTCTGATTTGCTATTAACCTGCAAGAGTGACCTGTGACGTTGGGTGGGACTTTGTTGTTCTCCACCCCCAGGCTCGTTGCACAGGCCGACCGTATCTTTCGCATCAGAGCTCCTTAGGTCTCGATCTACCCTCAGATTGGGAATTCGAGACTTACCGCACAGTCATTGGTGTCGCTTCGAGGATCGGATTAGTGCATTTGATATGTTTCAGTCGGCAATCCACAGCTCAACACTCTGAACAGTCTTCCCCATTCAACCTGCTATTGATGACCGGCAATTTATAAAAGTGAGTTCGACAGCGAAACGGACTCTGAAACCTACAGGCGAAGGTTCAGATTTGCTGACGTCGGGCTCATCTGCAGGAAGATGTCTTTGCCGCAGAGGCCAGGCAAGGCCTCTCCTCGGCGCGAGGAAGCCCGCGCATTTCGCGAACCATCTCGACGTCGACGACGGGATATCGACTCGGGCACTTACAGCGATGACCCAAATACTTCCCCTTCACACCGACGCCATCGCCGACACTCCAGCCACCGGCGGGCAGCCGACACCGACGAAGAGCGCATGGAGCGGGGCGGGGATGTGAGACGCAAAAAGAGCATGGTGAAGCCAGAGCGCCGGAAAGCAGACCCCGACCACCCCAATTACCATTATCGCCAGCGGTCACACCACATGTCCACTTTTCCTTCTGCGACAGGCAACGATCCATTATTAGACCATCGGGATGGCGAAGCTGAGACGAACAGTTCGCGCAGCATGGATATAAAGAGTAAGGAGGGGTTGTACGGAGCCCAGGGTAATGTCAACAAACCCATGGAACGGGTTCCCAGCAGACATCGCTCGAAGAAGAAGAAGAGATCGAGGCGGTCGTCGAAGGGCGCGGTGGAGGAGAGGAAACGCTTGAAGGAGATGGAACAGAGCGGTCCGCCCGAGTTGTGGCCTACATATTGCGCGGTCCTGACATTTTTCATTCCTGATTTCGTCCTGCGCTGCTTTGGTATGCCACAGAAGGAGCAGCGGACTGCTTGGCGAGAGAAGATCGGCCTGATCAGCATCATTCTGATGATCGCTGCTTTTGTCGGTTTTTTAACCTTCGGTTTTACTGCTACTGTTTGTGGCTCGCCTCCGCTGCGACTCAAGGTCAATGAGGTGAACTCCAACTACATGATTTTCCATGGCAAGGCCTACGACTTGACTGGATCGAAACACGGTGCCGCAGAGGGGATTCCTAGTGATACGAATGTGCTTTACGATTTGCCACACAAGTATGGTGGACAAGACGGCAGCTTCTTCTTCCAGCAGGTCAATGGTGCGTGCAAGGGTTTGATTACTGCTCAGCCGGATGGTGGTGTCCCCACGGACTCTAATGGAAACCTTGGGTGGTATTTCCCCTGCGCGCCGTTCAACCAGGATGGTTCGTCTTCGCCGAATCTGACAACCGATTACTACCTGGGCTGGGCTTGTCACACCAGCAAGTCCGCCCGTGAACCTTTCTACACCCTGTCAAGCGATGGAGATGTTTACTACACATGGGAAGACACCAAGAACTCGAGCCGAAACCTTGCAATCTATTCCGGAAACGTTCTCGATCTCGACCTCTTGGCTTGGTTCAACAGCAGCCAGGTTTCATATCCGAAGCAATTTGACGAGCTTCGCACGAATCCTTCAATTCGGGGCGTCGATCTGACCTACTACCTGCAAAGTGGAGAAGAAAAGAAGATTGGCAAGTGCTTGGCACAGATTATCAAAGTGGGCAGCATTGACACCGAAACCGTCGGTTGTATCGCGTCAAAGGTCGTGCTCTACGTGTCTTTGATCTTCATTCTGTCCATTGTGGTGGTCAAGTTTGCCTTTGCCCTGCTCTTCGAATGGTTCCTGGCGCCTAGGTTTGCCGCGCAGAGCACAAGTATGAGCTCAGATGCCAGGACTCGTAACCAACAGATCGAAGACTGGTCCAACGATATCTACCGACCAGCTCCCCGAATCGCCGACCCCATCGTTCCTGATCGAGTTAGCAAACGCGCCACCTTCTTGCCTACCACTTCCCGCTTTTCCAGCCCTTATAATGTGAGCAGCAGCGGCGGCAGCAAACAAAGACCGCAGTACGTCACGATGGCTAGTCAGAACTCGACTTCCCGTCTTATGCCCAGCTCCAACCCTGGCACCATGTATAAATTGAGCCACAACGGGAGTGGTGGTACTTTGAGCGCTGATAACTCGCGAAACAATGCTGCCGCCAGCCGGACTAGCTTGGTTCCTCCTGGTCAGCAAGATCCTGGTTACTCCACATTGATGACAGACTATGAGGGCCCTGGTCCTGCTGGCTTCATTCACGAAGCCGTCGTTCCCCAGCCGCCCCCAGAATGGCAACCATTTGGTTATCCTTTGGCTCACAGTTTGTGTCTGGTTACTTGCTATTCAGAAGGTGAAGAAGGTATCCGATCAACACTGGATTCTCTTGCTATGACCGACTACCCGAACAGCCACAAGACAATTCTCGTGATTTGCGATGGTATCATCAAGGGTAAAGGAGAGGATTTCTCAACACCAGACATTGTGCTCGGCATGCTGAAAGACCCTGTCGTTCCCGTCGACGAAGTCCAGCCCTACTCATACGTGGCTGTGGCTACCGGCTCCAAGCGACACAACATGGCCAAGGTCTACACTGGATTCTATGACTATGGTGACACCTCGGTCATTCCACTGGAGAAGCAGCAGCGTGTCCCCATGATGGTAGTTGTCAAGTGCGGTACTCCCCAGGAATCGACCCAGTCGAAGCCCGGTAACCGAGGCAAGCGAGACAGTCAGATTATTTTGATGTCTTTCTTGCAGAAGGTGATGTTCGATGAGAGGATGACGGAACTCGAATTTGAGATGTTCAATGGCATGTGGAATGTCACAGGCATACCGCCAGACTTTTACGAAGTTGTCCTCATGGTTGATGCCGATACGAAGGTCTTCCCGGATAGTTTGACACACATGGTCTCAGCCATGGTCAAGGACCCTGATATCATGGGCCTCTGTGGAGAAACGAAGATCGCCAACAAAACAGACAGCTGGGTGACCATGATCCAAGTCTTCGAGTACTTCATCTCTCACCACCAAGCCAAAGCCTTTGAGTCCATCTTCGGTGGTGTCACCTGTCTCCCGGGTTGTTTCACCATGTACCGCATCAAAGCACCCAAAGGCGGCCAGAACTACTGGGTGCCCATCCTGGCAAACCCAGATATCGTCGAGCATTATTCCGAGAACGTAGTCGACACCCTGCACAAGAAGAACCTGCTCCTCCTTGGAGAGGATCGTTACTTGACCACCCTCATGTTGAAGACCTTCCCCAAGCGCAAACAGATCTTCGTCCCACAAGCCGTGTGCAAGACCGTTGTCCCAGACGCATTTATGGTCCTGCTTTCCCAACGCCGTCGCTGGATCAACAGTACTGTGCACAACCTCTTCGAACTAGTCCTGGTCCGCGACTTGTGCGGTACCTTCTGCTTCAGCATGCAATTCGTCATTTTCATCGAGTTGGTCGGAACCTTGGTCCTACCTGCCGCCATCTCCTTCACCATCTACGTCGTCATCTCCTCTATTGTCAGAAGGCCAGTCCAGGTCATTCCTCTCGTCCTGCTCGCCCTCATCCTGGGTCTACCTGGTGTCCTAATCGTCGTCACCGCCCACCGCCTCGTCTACGTCCTGTGGATGTTGATCTATCTTATCTCCCTACCAATCTGGAACTTCGTCCTACCAACCTACGCATTCTGGAAATTCGACGACTTCAGCTGGGGTGATACTCGCAAAACTGCTGGTGAAAAGGACAAGGGCCATGGCGACGCCGAGGGTGAGTTCGACAGCACGAAGATTACGATGAAGCGGTGGCGCGATTTCGAAAAAGGTGAGTTTAGTCCCCACGCTTTCTTGCGCCGGTGCGCGTGAAGTATATTTAAAGTATAAATTACTGACATGTTCTCAGAACGCCGCCTGCGCAATACTGCATGGGCGCAATCCCATGGTCCTACGGAGGGATACCCATCGCACTATGAGACGTATTCACACTATTAACGAAAGCGAAAGCGGAATTTTCATTATGTATTCTTTTTATTCTTTTATTTTCTGGAATTGTCTCCCCTGGTCTCGGGGTTCGTTGTGATTTATTGTATCATTTACATACTGGCGTTCAGACATTCATATAATACAGCCCGGGCGGGCTTTACTTTGCGCACGAGTACGAGACGAGAGACGAGTGATATTCAATTCTGTTGATTACATAAATTTATGTACAGCGATCAAATGGTACTTTTACGATCTGATACAGAGTACTTCAATATGATATGGAATCCAGAGTATGGAATTTGAACATAAAATATGATATGAGATTTTATCCCCTTGCTCTGCTGTGTACTGTAAGATGTCAGACTAATGCCCGACATCGGTACCTCATTGGATCATGCACAGGATTACTATTCCAAAGTGCACCATGCTCTTCCCCTGTCCACATAAGCTCTCAGCCTCTCCAGGGCTGCCACTCTGGCCTTTTACAGGCTCTTCGGCCCAAGCTGTGCCTAACAGGATCAAAGCGCAGGTCACCAGGCTTGCCCGGCTTAGATCTGCAGTGCGTCGCTCCCTGCATTATTATTTACATATGCGAGGTTCTCTCAACTTAGTTATATCCTTGGATGCCTCTGCTCTATAAAACTTGAAATCTATAGGGAGTGCTGACTAACGAATCGTTGCTCCCCGGAGCCCCTCCTGTAATTCTATCTGTCACCTGCAGCCTACCCTGTACGTCCTCTGTAGTCTGGACGCATTTTAACATCTCCCCCGCGTCATCTTACATTCTCGGGCTCTCCACGTTCCCACTGCCACGTTCTGAATAGACAATTTCATCCCTCGGATCTCCCCCTGGCCCCTCGAAACGGAAAAGTCTACCGCTTTGTCCGGCCCCTCGAGTCCGGCGTTTCATAGCTAAATCTTTCCCCTCTACTTTGATTACTTCCCCTCTCAGCTTCTCTCGCGGTTGACTCGGCATACTGTCTCGGCCGCATCCCTGTGGACGTACGCCACGCAGTGTAGGGACGAGTGAGCAGTCAGCTTTGAGGCGACCGACGTCAAAGCAGCAATCGTCAGATCCCGGCTTTAACCTCTACCCACTTTAGCTTGTGCAACCCTTGCCCTGGCTCGTGATTGTGATCGCAACCGTCACGCTCACTCTCACTGCCACAGTCACTGCCGTGAGTTCCAATATCTCGGCAGGATTCCCTTTTCGGTATATGGCGGCGGGCGATGCTTCATTCCTGTGATTCGAATCGCCCGTCATCCCACCACCACCCTCGTCGCGATACGACATGCCATGTGTCATGTGATATTGAGAGGTCCCCGCGAGTCATGAATCCTTCTTCGCATTCTTCCAGAAATCGATCCTCCGTCCCGGAAGACGATTCGACCTTGCACTCGGATATCTTTTCCCACGCCGATCATTCTGCGCAGACTAATATGGCCTCCGACGTCGATCGCCGTTTACATGATGTCGGTGTCGCCGCCCTTGCTGCTGTTTCGCAGTATCCTCGCCCCGTAAATGATCACAGCGGGTCGTTTTTAGTTTCTGAGGTCGTTAACGCTGTTACTGGTGCTGGTAGTCCTCCGGATTTTCATGTTTTCAGAGGGAACTCCCTCCTACCTGGGCATAGGAGTTTTTACCCGACACCGTCTGACACGGATAGTGCTTCGGGGCCGGATTTTGTTTTTGGATCTCGTCCTGATCGTGATGTTAATATGGACTCGGTTGTTCGGCAGTTACTTGATCGCGCCGCTGGTCATGACAATATGACTATGATTACGCAGGAATGCGACGATAGTGCGCGCGACAAAGATATGGTTATGGATTACGAGTCCGATGTCGTCGAAGATAATCCTTCTCCGCCTTCTATCCCAGATGATGAGTTTGAGGACTTTATCCGATTCTATCCGGACGAGGAGGAATACTACCGTCAACGCAGAGGCAGCCCGACCGAGGATCTCCCGATGGCGGATTTCGATCTCAATGACTTTTATCTCAATATCAACTACGACGATATTGATGTGGATCTACCCCAGACGCTTGGCATCCCAGTTTTAGATCCCTCTGATACCCCAGACTTTGCTGATCAGCCGGAATTCCCTGGACCTCACCCGGCATCTATCATTCACACCTCTACGTACGAGCGCAACCTCACTATTGATGAGTTCATCCAGCGCTGGATGGTCCAAACCAATGTTATCCCCCACGGCTTCCACAGCGAAAGCAGGATCCCGCCACAGCTCCGCCCATTGTCCAAGATGATTAGTTGGAGTCCGCCACAGACGGTCGTTCGGCCGCATGAATGGAGGCGCGACTTTTACGATTTACAGCAGATTCCTTGGACTGAAACGCTGCGTGTCAAACGCTCCGATGCTCGAACACTGCGTGATGCTTGGTACACATCATACCATAACTTGGATTATTCGCATATGAGCCATGCCAAGCGACTTCCGGGAAAAGAGTCATTCTTCCGCGGGACCTCCATGCACACTTCATACAAAGCCTCCATCGAGCATTTCCAACTCCGCAACTTGATCTCCACCCCAGCATCCAATACTGTCCATTTCGCCTGCCATTCCAAGGTACTATCATGGACACCAACAACCGGCGACGCACGCTGCCTCATCGATCTAAGCCAAGCAGACCCAGACTCCGGCTTCCTAGGGCCAGTCAAGATATCAACAATGAAAACAGCCCACGACCTCACAATCGCCGGCGGTTTCTGCGGCGAATACGCCCTCCGCAGCTCAACCGGCTCCGGCTCCGGCACAAAAGGCCTAGTAACCCCCGACTTCAACGACGGCATAACAAACCATGTAGACATAATCCCGAACCGAACGGGCCCCTCCCCAATCGGTGTCTTCGCCTCAAACGACAAACACCTCCGCATCCTCGACACAGAGACAAACATCTTCACCTCCGATCACGAACTCTCCCAACCAATAAACTGTACCGCAACCTCGCCCGACAGCCGCCTCCGGGTCGTAATCGGCGACTCGCCAGACGCGTGGGTCATAGAATCCGATACCGGCCGGCCAGTCCACCCCCTCCGCGGCCACCGCGACTTTGGCTTCGCCTGCGCCTGGTCACCGGATATGCGCCATATAGCAACAAGCAACCAGGACAAAACACTCATCATCTGGGACGCGCGCACGTGGCGACCCCTCGAAACAATCGACTCCGACGTGGCAGGGTATAGATCTCTACGTTTTTCGCCTGTCGGCGGTGGTCCGCGGATGTTGCTGTGCACTGAGCCAGCTGATCGAATTTCAATTCTGGATGCACAACTCTTCCAATCGAGACAGGTTCATGATTTCTTTGGGGAGATTGGTGGTGCGGATTTCTCGCCTGATGGCTCGGAGATTTGGGTTGCGAATACTGATCGCCATTTCGGTGGCTTTATGCAGTATGAGCGGAGGCAGTGGGGGCAGCGGGTTGGGTTGACGGATTTGCCTAGTGAGTGGGCGAGTGAGGTTGAGTTGGAGGAGGATTCGCGGTGTGTGTTGAGTGCGCGCGAGAGGTCGTTGCGCTTTTTGAGGAATTTGTCAAGTGATGAGCATGAGGCTTTGATTCTTTGAGGATACTCTTTCTTTTTTTCCCTTCGTTGATTTTGTTTTATGTCCTGGATTGGTCTTTTTGAGCTTTTCATCTGCATCTGATACCCTGGTCTCGGCGTTGGTGGTCTGTTTCTGTTCTGTTTCTGATTCATAGAGTACTTGGATGTGGATGTCCCTAAGTTATCATAGTTATATACAATTACTATGCGTAACATACCTTGCCTGCACCTACACACTCGATCGAGATCGATCGAAGTTTGAATTAGGTGTCGATCTATCTACTTTAACTAACACCAAGTTACTACTAGTGCTACTACCAACCCCTAACCATGCCATAGCCAACAAGTAAATTAATATTCTCCCTAAACCCAATAATCAGCCCTAAACAGCTAAACAAACCCATAATTGGCCCACCGATCAATCGCCTCTGACAACGTAAACAAGCCCCGCAGCCCCTCCTCCCCTCCTCAGCTGAGCTCACTTCCCTGTGATTCCTTCTTTCCGCTTCTCTTGTTCCTCCTTTATCATCTTCCATCTTCATCTTTCATCTACCTCATTCAACTCAACCACCTCAACCAAAATGTCTTACGGAAACCAGGAATACGGCGGCGGCGGCTCAGGCGGTAGCAACTACTACGACCAGAGCCAAGATTTCTCCGACCGCAACGAATCCCACGGAAACCAGGGCTACGGTGGTTCCAGCGGTGGCTACGGCGGAAACCAAAACTACGGTGGAAACCAGGGTGGCTACAGCAACCAAGGCAGCAGCTCCGGCTACGGCGAACAAACCCAATCCCACCACAACCGCCGCAACAGCAACAACGGTGACGACTTCAGCAGCGCGGCGCAACACGCACAGGAACACCACGACAGCGGTGCATCCGGGTCTCTCTTCAACTCCGCATTGGACTTCATCAAGGAGCGGAAGAGTCAGTATAATGATTCTGAGGTTGATGAGGAGCATGCTGTGAAATCGCACCAGGCTATGTATGGCTCTGGATCTGGATCTAGTTCTGGACAGCATGATAGCCAGACTCTTGGTGCGGGCGCTGCTATGCAGGCTTTGAAGATGTTTACTGGTGGTTCGAGTTCCGGGTCTGATGGCGGTATGGATAAGAATAAGTTGATTGGGCTTGCTATGGCTCAGGCTGGGAAATTGTGGGAGGAGAAGAATAGTTCTGGGAATGTGGTATGTATTCTCTCTTTCTTTTATTTTCCTTTTTTTTGGTTATTGTTACTTGGTTGCTAATTGTTGTTGTGGTTTAGTCTGGTGATAAGCAGTCTGCTGTTAACAATGCTGCCGAGATGGCTCTTAAGATGTACATGAAGAGTCAGGGTGGTGGTATTGGTGGTACTGGTGGTCCCAGTGGGTTGATGGGTTTGGCCAGCAAGTTCCTCTCCTAAGGGATGTATGCTTAGCATAGCTTGATTTTACTTCCATTGTATGTAGTTCGACATATGGCCGGCATCAAAATGAATATGAACTTGTATTTCTCTCCATTGGCATAAAACTGAAAAACGGTATATATTGAATGGAATGGAATGGAATCTACGGTAAAACACAAGGCCACCAAAGTAAGCCAATAACAAAACTGGAACAAAGACTCGCTGTCTCTTGTCGACGAATACATACACACACATCCATACCACAGAGCCAGCATGGAAACTCGAGAAAGATGAACGCAAAGGTCAACGCTAAGCGCAGAAAAAGTCCAACACCGCGACCGACCATAAACAAAGCTCACACGAATGCTCAAATCTACCACTCGTCGTCGTCATCGTGTTTGCCCTGCATGGCGCTCTGCCGTGCCCGTAACGCTTCAGCAAGACCACCTGCTAGACTGGCGTTCGATGCGCTGTTGGGTGTGCCGCGGCCACTGGCGCCAGAGGAGTCGCCTGAGTTCATGCTCGTGGTGCTATCCCTGGGTGCGGGTGGAGGTGCGGGCTTGCGGCCGGCCATGTTGGGTCGCTTGGCAGGAGGGGCTGGCGGGGCGGGCTTGCTCTTGGCGGCTGCGACTGCGCCGTTGGGGGTAGGGCTGGGGGTTGCGCGGGGTGCCGCGGGAGGTGGAGGAGGGGCGGGTTTAGGCGTGGGAGCGACAGCTACCTCTTCAAGGTAGGCTTCGGGGGTCCAGCCTTGCGTAGAGGTTGTTGTGTTCATGCACAGCCACCAACCTGTGATAATTAGTATTATATCGTCAGAGTAGAGGAATGTACGTACCGTTTCCTTCCTTGGACACAATCTGTACGATTTCGCCCGTGCGGATGGAAAGTTCGTTGGCCCGGTCGCTGTTAAAGTCATACTTGACCTTTGCAGTGGGCTTCTTTGCAGCTGGAGGTGCAGCAGGGGGAGGTGGTGGCGGGGCTCTCATAGAGCTAGTGGACTCGTTGCGGGTGTGGGCAGCGGCCGCAGCTGCCACGGGTTGAGGCACAATCCGCGACTGGGTTGCAGGCTGCGGTGCTGTTGCAGGCTGTGGGGTAGGCCGAGGTAGAGGTTGCTCGGCAGGGACAGGTCTGCGAGCAGCCTGGGACAGTTTCGAGGGACCACCACCAGGGCCACCGGGGCGGAGGAGTTTGCCCTTGGTGACTGGGCGGGCAGCAACTGCCTTTGGTCGTGGGGTAGGCTTCGAGACAGAGCTGGGAGGTTCACCAGCACTCGTATGAATAGTGCTACTCTTGTAGCTGTCGACATTCCCAGCAGCCGGGTCCTTAACCGCTTTGACCATAGCCAGCTTGCCAGGCTTCTTGTTGTATTCAATGCTCTCTCCAATCTTTAAAGTGAGAGAGCCACGCAGGACGGTATTGAGGTGGGTGAAGAACTCGGTCTTGAAGACACAGTTGAGCAGAGGATCGGGCTCCTGGGCTCCGATAATCAACGAGAACCAGTCATCCTTGAGATTCGAGGTGCTGACACTCTTGATAGCTCCAACAGGGACCGTTCGTTCCGAGGCGATGACAAGCTGGTTGTTGACAATGCTCTGCGATACAATGAAGACATGTCGGGTCGTCAATACCAGAATCCGAGGAACTGGCTTGCTGGAACGACCAAACTTGGAAATCAAGAGCTCGGCACGGCAAGAGAAAACTATGTCCTCTGAACCGCTGATGCCTGCACCATTACGGATCATTTCACCAGGACCACCAGCGTTGCCAACGCCGAGGTAATCACCGAGGAAGCGTCGAGAGCCCAACAGACTCATTCTCCGGCGCTCTTTGCGGCCCTGGAGCAATTGGTGCCCCTGATCACGAACCTTGATGAGCTCGAGTCCACCGTTCATGCGGCGCCAGAAGCGCTGGATACGGATCGCACATTCGATACGGTACCTGAGGTAGTTTCTCCAGGCGCGCTGAATGCGAATGGCCATGTTGTGCCAGTACTTGTCACGCATGGCTTCAAGTGCGAACAGCGTCTCGGGAGTCTTGACGAACACCTTGGTAATACCCATTTGGTACTCCTCGGCGGGAATACGGGTGTCCTTCAAAATCTGCTTAGCACCAGTTTCCACATCACCACTCCATGTGTAGTCACCGGCGTAGGAGGTCTTGGGAGATAGAAGGTAGAATCGTTCAACAAATTTGTCAAACGTTTGACGGTAGGCAAATCCAGCACGACGAATGCGAACGTTCTCCTGAAGACCAAGGTACTTGATCTGGTGCAGAACATTGCCAACGTTGTACTCCTTGGGAGCCTTGTTGTCGTTGGGCTTGATGGTACGGATGTAAGAAGGCTGTGCCTTCATGAGCGTGGCCACAAGATCATTAGCAGATGCCTTGATCTTGTCACCAGCGGTAGGCGGGCGACGCTTGTCATCCTGGTTAACCTGGTTGGGGAACAGAGTGTGAACGAATTCATTGCTACTCGATTGGGCGAGATTCAACAAGTCCTTCAACAACTGGTCCTTGTTTTTGTCCGTCATTCCCTCAACAGCGTAACTGACATCACCGGCGTAATGCTTAATGATGAACTGGCCCTGGCGACCCTCGAAGTTGGGGTTCTGAGACAGGAAGTTCAACCTGCCAACAAAGGTATTATCGGCAGCACCGGAATCGGCGTGGGCAGTTGCGCAAGCATCGTTCAAGGCGGCGAAGACACCAGGAGGACGCTTATCCTCAATCAACGAACACACCACCTTGTTGTCGAAGTACTTGATTGGGGTCCACTTGATCTCCTCGCGAGCATACTCATCCTGCTCGGCCTTCAGGGTCAACTGAATAAAAATCTGCTGCAACTTTTCATTAACGTAGTTGATGCAAAGTTGTTCGAACGAGTTCTTCTCAAAGATCTCGAATCCGTAAATATCCAGAATACCGATCGAGTTGCTGATAGACCCACGAGCAGTCAGTGACTGATTGACGCGACCCACGATCCAGTCAAACAGGTTGAAATAGATTCCCTTGGACAAAGCGTCCCGAACGGCGGAGGCTTGGACTGTGTTGAGTGGCACCTCGTAAACAGAACCTCTGCGGCCTCCTCGAGCGGTCTCCATCAGGCGAATTGTCAGGGCCTTGTTCACTTGGTCGGCATCAACCTCCAGCAAATAGGCAACAAAATCGACAACGGACTGATCGGTAATCGTAGCATTGCCAGAGTCATCCTCGCTGAACTGAACATTACCAATCCATAGAATAGCGGCCAGCATGCGGAACACATTGTCCTGTTCTGCGTCGCTCATTCCAATAATCTTCATCGCATCCAAAGTATCCTTGAACTCGGCAACATCGTCGACTCCGGGCACATCGAAACACTTCGAACGACTCGTGTAAAGGTATGATTGCGGCTGCTGTAGACCGAAGTTGTCCCGGTACTTTTGTGGGGCGCCCTTTGTGAGCTGGTAGAAAATGTGAAAGTTTCGCTCGTTCGCAATCTGGCCAACGACTCGGGACTTCTCCAGTAAGTAGTTCGTAATATTGGCACCCACCGGCTCGCCGTTGGCATTGAACTCCAATTCCAGGTACTTGCCGAATCGCGACGAGTTGTTGTTGCGCAGGGTCTTCGCATTACCAAAAGACTCCAGTAAAGGATTTGTCGCCAACACCATGTCCTTGGTCTGCTGAATAGAGGAATCGCCGCCGCCAGATACACTGGCAATGTATTGCATGATCCGCTTGGCTGCCTCCGTTTTTCCGGCACCGGATTCACCGGAAATAATAACACACTGGTTGTCCTTGTAGGACTTCATATTGTAGTATGCCGATTCGGCGACTCCGAATACATGAGGAGGAACTTCGAGACGGTTCTTGCCGCGGTACGAATCGAGAACATTATCGGTGTAGATGCCCACTGGATCGCACTGTCAGCAAAGCAGTCAACCTCACCGCGGAGCAACTTACGATCTCGGAAAGGGTTCACAGAGACCAACACATGGCCAATGTAGGTCTAAACATCTCCCGTCAGCCTGTACTCGTGTTCGCGCTCAACCCCGCAGTCCGCGTGCGAAAGCGATCCCTTACATAAATTTCGTCATGCTCAAATCGGAGCTTCAAATTGTCGTTGATGGCCTCGTTGGAGATCTTGCTGAGTAGTGTAAGATCTGACACTCCGATCTCCTTCTTCTTGCTGCTCTCGAACGTGGCCTTCTTGACCTGCGGCTTGCCCCCCGCTTGCCGGCCATCGCCAACGTCGGCGACTGCTTTGGACCGCCCGAAGCGGCTCTTCTTCTCCCCACCTGCGGGGCGTCGTGACTGACCCTGTTCCGCAATCGGGTCAGTGTGGTGCTCTCATTGCGGTCACAGTAGGCCTACCATCTTGTGTCAAGCTGTCGGGATGTCGCGCCTAGGCGACAAATGCAAATATGACCTGTCAACTGCGCAGGTATTGGAGGAATTGAAAGAGTGTACAAAGAGTGTAGAGTGTAGAGTCGAGCAAGTGTGAGTAGAGAGGAATGGGTGACTGGGGGACTTACGTACGACCAGTCAAACGAAGACAAACACTGCGCCACACCAGGGTCTTCCGATTGCTGCCTCAGGGGGCAAATCAGACGCCATATGGCTTGGGTTTCTACGATTATTCAGACTTCTCCTCCACTCACATTGCTTTCCTCTGTTAATTCTTTTCCGACCGCCACGCGCGTCACGGCTTTGTGGCTAATGCGGGTCAAGAATAGAAGCAGCGACGTCATTGGGCATAACCCTTCAAACATACTGCCTAATCAGCCACAATCATTGCAATTGGGCTTCAAGTTTTTGGCCCAAGGGTATGGACACTGTATGTATAAAATAGGGTTCTAGATCGTAATATGTTGATGTCTGTAAATATAATTATAAGGTGGCTCTTCCGCCAGGGTAGGAACGACATGTTCATAGAGAAATCATGTGTAGATGGAAGATACGGAATGATAGCAGCAGGACATAATGAAAGAAACCAAAGGGATGGGTACGAAGACTATTAAAGGAGAGTTAATTTGAAGCCTGACCGTGAGTCTATATACATCAAC